CGTTCCAACTCCTCCTCCCTCCACTCACTGCACCCATTCAACATATGTTCCAACGTTTCCCATTCCTCCCTGCATAGCCTACACCACCTCTCCTCATCCGCCATACAGTATCTGTTAGCTCTCTCCTCGTTTCCACAACGGAACCTAGCCACCAACTTCTTCCCTTCCTCATCTCCTTCCAATAACAAGTATCTAGGCAGCCCCTCCGTTATTATGTCCATGTACCTTTCGTTATACCTCCCCTCTTTTATTTGTGTCCTTCTTTCCTGTCTCTGCACATCTCGGTCCCTATCTCTCAACTCCCTACCCACCCTTCGTCTACTATTTATCTCAGTTACCGAGTAGCCCGCTCGTCTATAATAGTTGTCTCTGTCTCCTTTCCCATATCTGATCTTTCCCTCTCTAATTTCCCTCCAACACTCCCCCAAGATCCCNCTATTTATCTCAGTTACCGAGTAGCCCGCTCGTCTATAATAGTTGTCTCTGTCTCCTTTCCCATATCTGATCTTTCCCTCTCTAATTTCCCTCCAACACTCCCCCAAGATCCCGCAGTTTGGCCTCCCTTCTATTCTTTCTTCATATTTCACTGCTCTCCTGCCCGCCTCCACTCTGACCTTATCCACCTTTACCTCTTCCCTCGCTATATACCCCGGTGTTTCTCTGGCCACCCCAAGCACCCATCTCCAGTATCTAGCTTGCACGTCCTCCAGCGTTGCCTGCTCTCTCCATCCCCATACCTCTGCTCCATACATCATCACACTGCTAACCAGACCTTCAAACATAATCTTCCTGGCTGCCACATTCCTTCCAAAAACTCTCCTCCCCCAATCCCATACTTGTCCCATCATCTTATTCGCCTTTTTTGCCATAGCTATCACATGCGACCCTCCTCGATCTCTTTTCCCTCCCACCTCCAGTTTTCTGTTCTTTTTCTCCCCCCCTTACAAAACTTCATCATCCTTGTCTTCCCCACATTCACTTCCAGCCCCTTCCCCCTAAAATATCTTTCCAATGTCTTTATCATATCTTTCATCTCCGCCGCTTCTCTCGCCATGACCACGATGTCATCCGCGTATCCTAACATATGCACCTTTCTAACTCCCACCACCAACCCTCCCATTTGCCCCTTCCCCAATCTATCCTCCAGGTCCGCCGTATACAGTGCAAACAGACTTCGTCGTCCAGAACACGTCGCTCAGCTTATCTCCCACTTTTACCCTAGCCATAGTCTCCATGTATATTTCCTTCACTCTCGCAATTAGGTGTTCCGTAATCCCCCTCCTCCCCATCTCCTCCCACAACTTTCCCCTATCCACCTTATCAAAAGTCGCCTTCAAATCTATAAACAGGGCGTACAATTTCCCTCCCTTCTTATCCACCTCTCTATCTGCCAGATGCTTCAACACGTACACGTTGTCGATTGCTCCCCTTCCCTTCCGAAAGCATGCCTGCCCATCCGGCAAAATTCCTCCCAACTCCATCTCCTCCTCCAGTCTTCCCAGCAGTATCTTCGTGTATACCTTGTATGTCGAGTCTAGTAGGTTAATTCCTCTGTAGCTCTCTACCCTTCCCTTATTACCCTTTTTATATACTACTCTCTATAACTAATATACTCTCTTTTCTTGTCGGATTACTTGGACCAGCCATAGTAAAACGGAATACAACGATTATCACAGCATGGCAGTAAAAATAACATTTTATCGAAGTAAACATATTTGCGCTTCTTTCTGGCAGTCTGGCCTGATTTCGTATTTTTGTGCGTTCTCTCTACGAAAACAAGTCCGCAGGTTAATCCAACGTTTTTGAACCTCGTTACCTAAAATTATAAAACTACAGTGTGGTTTATAACATAGATACATACCTGTATTCTTTTAAAGATATTTAGCATCTGAATCTAGTTTTTAAGCTTTATCATTCCAATATCTTATTGGATCATCAAGAATACGAGATAATATAACGCTAGCCTCTTCTCTACTTCTTCAATAAGGTTTCTGATCAATTCTTCCGAAATCAGCGACATTGTACAACTAATTTCTGACACTTTATACGTATAGATTGTGATAATTTTAACATTCTCTTAGTTCACCGAGAGAACATAACCTAGAAATTGTGACAGAGAGATTTTTTGTTGGTGAAAATCTTATCTTAAACCGTTTTGTTTGCTTCCAAAAGTATCAATTATTATAGTTCAGCTCCTAAAGCACATTTTTCATCCATCTTTTGAGGTTTTAACGTTATTTTGAGGAAGAAATCCTTGATTTAAATTTGAATTTTTCCAACTTTACTCATTGTTGAAATTTGGCATGTACTCCAATGTATGTCTGAAAACAAGAAAAGACAACGTTGAATACGAAGTTTTATTACGTTTCATAAACGAATAAGGGAGAAATCAACGAAAAAAGAATTTAATTTTGAAGGTTAATTCCGAGAAAAATCAAGAGATGACGCTAGTTTCGAAGCAAGAATTTTGAATTTTGAAAAGGGCGCGAAGCTAAGAGCCAATCAGAAACGAGGAAAAAACAGTTGGAGTGCCGGGGTATATAAGGAGATCGCGAACAGGGAGTGAGAGAGTCGTCGTCGGACCAGCGTCGAATCCACGTCGTCAGATAGAAGAAATTTTGAATCTCAAGAGATAACCTCAAAAATTTAAGATAATTTTTTTAAAAAGTCAAATCAACTTACAATATTAAAATAAAAAGTGAATCATCCTACAACCTATTCCGAAAACTACCGATACTTCTTCGAGATCATCCAAGACCCTATTTCCGAAGAACAAACAGTTTAATTTCCCGTAAGAAGAATCCTGTAGACAATCCAGAAAATTAGTTAGTGCCCCCAACACAAGAGACAATCCATAATCCAGATACCACATTGAACTCCAATCCTTTCTTTTTCACAGTGAGTCGGATGATAATTTTATTTTATTATTTAACATAACCTACAAAAAGAAAAATCAAAGAATCAAACTCAAAGAACAACTCACAAGAGTTTCCTATAATTTTGATCAATACTTACTTGTGGGTAAAGATTTATTAGTTTTCTTGAATAACGTTCATTTATTTAATTCTATTTTTCTTCAACGAGTTTGATGACAACTTAAGACATCGGCCATTTGTTATTTTCAAAGAACGGTTCTAACGAGTTTTATCCTACTCTCTCTCTCTCAAATAATAAACGGGTTCTCTCTAATATCGATATTTCAGTCGATAACCGCAGTTATCTATTTTATTTAAAAGTTATCTCTCGTAAATAAGCATTGTTATTAAAGTAAATTTAGGAAAACAATTTTTTTTTGTTACTCATAAAACGAGTTAATTTGATTTTGTGTTTAATTAAATGAATTTTTGTCGAACCTGATTAATTTTCTTTTTGAACCTGAACTTGCCCGAAACCCTGAGTTTAATAAGAGTCTCTTAAAATTAAAGAAACCCAAATTTATAGTTTAATAACTTGTGTAAAAACACACAAGTAAAACATCACAAGATATATCAATATCTTCAAGATGTAATGAGTGCAAAAGATAAATGAGTACTAAATAAATATATAAAAAAATTAATTTTTATTTTCCTCGTTGGTTCATTACGTTAAGCTTGTTAATTTATTTTCGGTCAACTAACTTTCGCGTAAAGGGTTGAGTTTCGGTAATCTAGTAAAACGTCATTAGGAAACCAGCTAACTTTCCTAAAACGGAAACTACGACAGGCGCGAATTGTTTTCGGTGCCAATTAAGCCCGCCAAAAATGTCCTAAAAGCCGGATGAATCCCCGACTTTAACTCCAGGTGTGCGAAACGAGTTTGAACCGTTTTAATAGACGAATTTTCGAGAATTGAAGTTTAATTACGACGAAAACTTTTAATAGGAACTTCACAAATACCCCATCTTTGTTCCAATCTCTAAAAAAAACTTTCCTTACGTTATTTACTTTCAATCGCACTCTCAGACACATTCTCGCGAAAAACTTTTCCGTTGTCGAACGTGGTGTTATAGGAATGCAGAATGAGGGATGCAACTTCTGCATTTGAACACTTGGTGCGCATAAACACTTTTTCGGAACTCTGTGTTTTCCCCGAACGAAAAACGATGCAGTTCCTGTGTTTTCCTATGGGAGAATAACGGATTACCAAACGGGTGTTACTTTTTAGCTCTGCTTTCATCGATTTTATTTCAAAATTTTTTTTTCAAAATTATTTTAAAACTTTTTGACGTGCTGTATATACCACCCCCGTTGTATACAGCAATTAAAGTTTACTGCGAGGTTATTTCGGAATTTCCTAACTTTAATTAAACCCCTTTTGTACGCGGCCGGTGTAGCACGCTGCCATTTCATACGTGATTCTTTTTACCAAAGAAGATTTTGATACAGATGACGTCTTATTTTTCGAAAAACAAGTTACACTTAAAAAAAATTGATCATTTTCTTAAATTAAACGTCCCCATCTTAGATTCTATCCCCCATTTTAGCAATATCCACCAGCGGGAAACCCTAATTATGAAGTTATAAATTAAACCTCATCGGATATTGCTCCATTTGATAGATGATTTCGTGGTTTTCATCGCATTAACGCCCCAAATTTATACGATGGTTACACTCAAATTAAAATTTCAAAACCATAAAATACAATTTAAGAGTTGATTTCCTAAAAATGACGATTTTTTGTTAACCTAATATAATAACTCATTCTTAAATCCTCGTAGGGAAGAAAATGTCACCATTAAGATGAGTTATTTTTATTAGTATTAAAGTAAGAAAATGTGATGAGGGGAGATTTTTATTATATTTCTCGACTAATCGTGGAAAAAAGATTATTATTGTGATGGGGCTCGACTTATTGCGAAAAGTTTTGATGAATTAAACCCCACCCTCGGAAAAGCAATAAAAGTAATAAAAGTACTAGAGAGAATCGTTCTATTCTCATTGAATATTCTCTTAAACTTTACGAGAACAATGAGGATGAGTTATTGCGGTTTTTATTTAACTTTTTGTTTGTTTTATTTCTAGGCCCCTCGATGCGAGATAGTTTAAATTACCCGATTCATGTGTACGAAGGAGACGACGCATTAATAACGTGCGTCGTGAAAAATATCGGAGAAAACTCGGTTATGTGGCGCAAAGAAGACCGGGAACGTCACAGTAGGACCGTTTTAACAGCCGGTTCAACGAGGGTTACCGCCGATAAGCGATTCTCCGTACTCCACGATTCAGGTGGGTGATAAAAAATTTTTAATATCCCTAGTATTAGGAATTTCGCAGGAATTTTGGGGTAGAGCTGTGGTATATTAATCGAGACAATACGTACACATTCCTCGTACCGAAACAACCCTCCTTCTTGTTCACTCTCCTAGTTTTGATGAAGCTTTGTTGTTAAGTTACACACTTTTTTTCGAACGGCATTAATTAAAAGATCCAACTTTTCCAATAAAACGCCTTCGTGTCCCCTAATCCCGCCGAAATCGATTTTTCGTTAGGAGTTTTTGACATTTATCGTGATTGGCGGTCCCTCTAATTCAATTATTTCTGAAAAAAGGATAAAAAACTTTGAGTGGGTCTATAAAAAATGAATTAATAGCATAAATAATCCATCGAAGTTAAAAAAATTACCTTAAAATGCACTATTTTAATTAAACTGACATTGACAGTTAACAAAATCTTAATCTCGAACGAACTGAAATTCGTACTTTAACAATGAAGTTCGCCCACTAAATTAAAACACTTAATTAATTTGCGATTTATATTTATAAAAATTAATAAAAATGGTTAATTTAATTACAATAAAATTTGATTTTGTATTAAAAAAAATAAAATAAATTATATTTGAAATTAAAACGTTGAATGTTACTCTAATGCCATCTATTGGGAATTATATATACTATATGTATGTATAATTTAGGATTCTATTTCAAAGACTAAAAATTAATTAAATTGTTTAAATTTGACGTTAATCAAATTATAATCAACTTGGTAACTTACTAACTTAATAATAAAATAACGATTAAATGTCAAATTAATAAATTAAATTTGTGTGAGTAAAATTACGATTTTTTGAATTAATCTTTATTTTATAATCAAACTGAATTAAAACTTTTAATTTAACGGAAATAATATTGACTTAATTGAAAAAATAAAATAAATTATATTGGAAATTAAACCATTGAATGTTACACTAGCGCCATCTATTGAGAATTAAATATACTACGTATATGTATCTTATTATAAAATTCAATTTCAAACAAATACTTATAAAGATTTACATCAAAAATATCATTTTAATGATTAATTATCAACAATTAAGGTTAGTTTCTAAATAAAATTAATTATTAGAAAAGTTAAAAACGTTAATCTCCAATGAAGTGAAATTCGTACGTCAAACAATAAAGTTCGTCTACTGAATAAAAATATTTTTTAACTAATTTTATATTTTAAAACCTTAATAAAAACTTTTAATTCAACGAAAATAATATTGAATTTATTCAAAAAATAAATTAAAGTATATTGGAAATTAAAATATTAAATGTTACTCTAACGCCATCTATTGAGAATTAAATGTGCTACGTATATGTTAATTATAAGAGAATTTAACATATTATCATATATAACACATTTTTGTAAGTGATTTTAATGTAATTTTTATTAATTACTAATTCAAATTCGTTATATTTAATAAATTCATTTTTATATAAGTTCTAATTTAAAACTGACATTTGACATTATGACATATCTAATCGTTTGACAAGTTACAATTGATTATTTGAATTGTTGGAGTTAATTTCTTAAAATAAATAAGTTTTATTGTTTATCATTGCATAATAAACAAAAAATATCATATTTTTGATGATTTTAACACGGTAAGTGCAATTTTTTGTATCAAAATTTGAATCATTACCCTAAATCACGCTTTTGGAGCCGGATTTTTGGCCGGGAAGCCCTTGCAAACAACATTGAGAGAAGCATTTACCTACCTTTTGATTGCATTACTGAAAACACAAAAATATAATTACAAATTACGTTGTACTTAAAGAATATGTCAAAAATTATAATAACGCGCATTGTTGCCAACTAATAATATACAATCTAAAACGCACTCTAATAGTAATAATAAACATTCTTATTTATTGCTTTCAGCTCCAGCTCAAGAAAGTTGGGAAGTAAGATCAGGCGGTGATGTTTGGGTTTTGGTTATTAAAAGTGTAAAACCAAGTGATTCGGGGATTTACGTGTGCGAGATCAACAGCAATCCAATTGTTAGGAGTTTCCACAAATTGAGCGGTAAAAACATTTTTGAATTCTCAAAAATGTTCGAGTAGCTTTATGAATAATAAACTCCTCGTACATTTACCCCCTCTCAACTGACAACACTAAAACCACTGGGTCGGTTAAAAGTTTTAATCGCGGATTACGAGCAGGCAGCCGCGAGGTTAAATGTTGAATAGGAGGCACCTTTTAACTTTGCGCTGTTTCCTTCGTATTCAGAGGATTATCTCTCCACAACGTTCTTTACAACGTTCGTTTCCTTTGTAGTTTTATCCAAGGATCTACAGCCACCGCAAAACGTCACCTCAGCCATTTCCGAGGGAAGTTTCGACGATTTGAAGCCGCCCGTTTTTAGTAGCCTAAACCACAATTACACCGATTGCTGTTTATCGAAAAATGTTACCGTTAATTGTTTGGGTTTTTGTAACATCCAAAGTATTTTGGAGGGAAGTACAGGGCAAGATCCTGAACATTGTGAAATCGATTTTCCTTCGATCGTTAAATGCATGGCTGATGGGAGAAATCATGTTCCTTGTTGTATACAAGAAAGAGTGCCGGATATTTGCCAAGATGTTTGTCGAGGAGAATACACCGCGATTACAAATAACATTAAAACGCATTTTTCTTGTTCCGCGTATACCGAGCAAACTTTAGCTTGTATTATCGAAGGAATTGGTGAGTTAAATTCAAATATGCATTAAATTAAGTGGTGTTTATGAAAATTTTTTTTAGAACTTTTACCCAAATCGCCGGAAAACCTCGAAGTTGAAGCGATAACCGAAAAATCGATCAAAATAACTTGGTCAAACCCCCCGGAAAACAACGAATCATTCCCGACTTACACCGTTAATATAACAGCATTAAAAAAATTCGATCCTCACATTTCCGAGTCGAACAATAACACTCAAGAGACGATTTTAATTAAAGTTCCCGCCCATCAAAATCAAACTTTAGTTAATAACCTCAAAGAATTTACAATGTACGAAATCACGGTGTTCGCGACGAATAACCACGGAAGTAGTTTGCCGACTTATTCAGTAAGGGCATTAACTTTAACTCCGGATACGCGAAAAAACGGCGGAAGAATTCCCCAATTACCCGATACGAGAAAATGTTGTTCCGACCGGGGAATAACCCAAAAAACGTGTTTAAATAAATTATGCGACCCCTCGATTATTGACGTCGCGGAAATTACGGATTATATGATTTGCGCCCCGTGGGCGCCCACGACTTTTAGTTGTTTAGCCGATAAATTAGATCACACCGCGTGTTGCAAAGAACGGGGTTTACCCGAAAAGTGTCAACAGTTTTGTTTGGGAAATACGACGGTTAACATCGATTTTAACGTTTTTAAATGTTTCCGGTATATGGGGGAATACAAAAATTGTTTGTTCCAAGGATACGGGGTTTTACCAAGTCCCCCCACTCAAGTTCACGTCACTAACATCGACACGGAATTTGCTATTTTGCATTGGTTTACGCCGAAATCTTTGGGTGACACCGTTTTGTACTACAACGTTAAATTTAGGATGTTAACGACGTACGATAATGAGTATAGGGGGTTGTATAAAGTGCATAGTCCCTATATTTTGGAAGGATTAGAAAGCGATATGGATTACGAGTTTTTTATCGAAGCTGTTAATGCGCATGGAGTTGGGGAGCCGAGCGTTAGGATTAATTTTAGGACTGGAAGTAAGGTAATTTATTTTTTTTATTAATTAATGTTAAAGGTTGCAATCTCACGTCGAATAGTTTTCTACTACACGCCCCTACTTAGATGACGCTTATGTATTCTTATAGTAGTAAGATTTCATTACTGTATGATCTGGAGCTGTCAGAGCAGTGTTGCCAACCCTACCGATTTTCAAAATTTAACAAAGTATTATGAAACACATCGTACTTAAAATAAATACAATTAAGTATTTATATTGCATAAAAGTATATGCCAACGATATGGCAATGTCGATTCCCAAATGTTACCTTTAATAACTTGAAAGAGCAACAAATTCAAAAAATTTTCATATTTTCGTATCTACCTCGATATTGACGTATCTAAGAGCAAAAGTGCAAGAGAGCAATATTGTTAACAATAAAATTTGCTACAACTTTTGTTATAAAAGATTTCCTATAACATGCTCCGATTCCCAAGTGCTACCTTTAATAACTTGAAAGAGCAACAAATTCAAAAAATTTTCATATTTTCGTATCTACCTCGATATTGACGTATCTAAGAGCAAAAGTGCAAGAGAGCAATATTGTTAACAATAAAATTTGCTACAACTTTTGTTATAAAAGATTTCCTATAACATGCCCCGATTCCCAAGTGCTACCTTTAATAATTTGAAAAAGCAACAAATTCATAAAATTTTCATATTTTCGTATATATCTCGATATTGACGTATCTAAGAGCAAAAGTGCAAGAGAGCAATATTGTTACCAATAAAATTTGCAACAATTTTTGTTACAAAAGTTTTCTTATAGCAAGCTCCGATTCTCAAGTGTTATCTTTAATAACTTGAAACAGCAACAAATTCATAAAATTTTCATATTTTCGTATATATCTCGATATTGACGTATCTAAGAGCAAAAGTGCAAGAGAACAATATTGTTAACAATAAAATTTGCTACAACTTTTGTGCTACAAGTTTTTTTATAACATGCTCCGATTCCCAAGTGCTATCTTTAATAATTTGAAAAAGCAACAAATTCATAAAATTTTCATATTTTCGTATCTACCTCGATATTGACGTGTCTAAGAGCAAAAGTGCAATATTGTTAACAATAAAATTTGCAACAATTTTTGTTATAAAAGTTTTCTTATAGCAAGCTCCGGTTCTCAAGTGTTATCTGTAATAACTTGAAACAGCAACAAATTCATAAAATTTTCATATTTTCGTATCTATCTCGATATTGACGTATCTAAGAGCAAAAGTGCAAGAGAGCAATATTGTTAACAATAAAATTTGCTACAACTTTTGTTATAAAAGATTTCCTATAACATACTCCGATTCCCAAGTGTTACCTTTAATAACTTGAAAGAGCAACAAATTTAATAAATTACAAGGTTTATTAGGCAAGTTTCATTACGTGTAATTGTTACTCTGTTCGTTAATAAAGTTATTTGTAATAATCATAACAATTAACAACATCTTTTGATCCATTTCCCAGGATTACCACCTTGAACGTAAAACTTATAAACGATGGTGTGTTGATAGGTTTCGCCGGGGCGTAGAATTGAATTAGGAAAATTTGTGTGATAAATCGCGTTGGGGTAATTTTGCGTCCGAAACGCGATCCCTCCATGTCTTTTATAAATCGCGTCGTTCTTCCCGTGAATTCGCCCATCTTTATAACAATTAGGGATTATAATTCCTTTCGGTTTCCTTTTCGGCATTATAATACTATCGTTTCGTTTATTATTTATTGTGTTATTGCTTGTTTTAGATTGAGTCCCATTCATTAAACTTGTATATTTAGCCAGAATTTCTTTCGAACTATTTTTACTCTCACGTTTAAACACATCCCGATCAACATTTTGGGAGATATCCATAATTTGATAAATTGCTGTTTCAACGTCGACTTCATTTTCGACAGCTTTTTTCGCGATTTCTTTAATTTCAAGTAAATAACTAAGCTGTAAATCTTTCGAGATGTGCTCAGCCTCGAAATCGGGCATCTCTTCCTCCCCAACATTTCCGTTTAAATCTTTCTTTGGGTAATTACACCGTGTTAATTTCCCGATTAATCCGATTAATTTTTCTTCATCTTCTCCGGATTTATCGCCGTTATCATTAAATTCTTCATCACTATTTAACATAATATAATAAATCGAATCGAGGATTTTGAAAACATCATCGTCAGTTTCGGATAAGCAATCGGATGATTTATATGGAAAAGGGCAAGTTTTGATTAACCCAGATCCAAAATCATTCCCAGTACTAAAATTAACACCCCATTGGTTGCTATAAACCTCCAAAATCCTCCCAGAAGGAACGTGTAAAGCCCTCGCAGCGAAACATATCCCTTGATCGATCCCTTTATTAACACAATAATTTTGGTCGAAACCATCATCAGGAACAACCCCTAAACAGCTTTTTAAAACAATCGGAATTTGGAAATCGAATTCGGTGTTAACGACGTTTTGTATATCGCCCGTTGGAAGTTTATCGGGGAGTTTATTTTCGTCATAAATGGTGTAACAATTCGAATTTATTGTTACGGTATGCTTATAAAGCTCTTCCGGGCCGCTTTGATGGCCCGCCAAATTAAAATATAACAAATTCGAGAGATTTACCAATGTGGGTTTGGTCGTTGAAGCTTCCATGTTGATGGTGAATTCGTTTTTTGTGGATAATTCGAATGTGATTCTGACTGTTAAGGTTCCGGGGAATCCTTCGTCTAAATCTGGTGATATGTAACTTAGGATTACTTTGGTTCCATCGACGTAAGGGGTAAAAATAACTCCATCGAATCCGGTTATTCCACCGTTATAATTGTGTTTACCTGTAATAAAAAAATACTTATATAACTTATTTCAAAAATTTATTTCTCAACAACTGAAAGTAATTTTTCAAAATTAAATTTTTTTTTTTCAGCTAGTCTTTTGCCAGTATCTACTCTTCTGCTAGAATTTAACCTTTTTAGAGTAGTATCTAGTCCTCTTAGAGTAGTAGTTACTCTCCTGTCAGCAGTATTTAATTTTCTGTTAGCATTATTTAGTCTTTTCTAAGGAGAATCTTGTCTTGTGAAAGCAGTATCTAGTCTTATACTAGCAATATTTCGTCTTCAAAGAGCATGTAACCAGTATCTTCTAGTATTTTCTACTAGCAGTATTTATTCTTTTACATGCGGTGTCTTATCTAGCCTTCTGCCAGCTATACCTAGACTTTTAAGGGTGATGGTACTCTAAATTTTGACAAATTTTTTTAACCTTTTGGCGGATTTAATACATTACTACTTCATTTCATGTGGAAATTAATTCTAAAACTTTTCTTACTCGTATTATTTTTTAAAAAACTTTATCGTTTTCATAAAAAACTTAAATAACTAAAGACACGTATTTCGTAGTGTTGCTTAAAATAAGAGAAAATTTAGTAGTCGGCTATGAAATTGTACGTCAAAGTTGACAAATAGGGTATAAAGTTATTTGACGACAAGGTTTTCTCCATCTTTTCTCCATCACCTTTCATTCTTGAGTTATGATCGATTTTAACACCAAAAGTACCCAATTTTGACATTTTGGGGATTTTCTCTTTATCACCTGAAAATCATTACATCTAAACTAAATTTGTTTATGGATGATGTCTTCTTAGTTGACAATAAACAACTTATTCCTAAAAAACTTTTCTCCATCACCTTTCATCCTTGAGTTATGATCAATTTTAATACCAAAAGTACTCAATTTTGATATTTCGATGATTTTCTCTTTTTATCATTAGAAAATCATTATAACTAAACCAAATCTGTTTATGAGTAATGTCCTTTTAGTTCATAATAAACAATTTATTTCAAATAAACTTTTCTCCATCACCTTTAATTTTTGAGTTATGATCTATTTTAATACCAAAAGTACTCAATTTTGACATTTTGGTGATTTTTTCTTTATCACTAGAAAATCATTATACCTAAACTAAATTTGTTTATGGATGATGTTTTTTTAGTTCATAATAAACAATTTATTCCTAAAAAACTTTTCTCCATCACCTTTCATCCTTGAGTTATGATCAATTTTAATACCAAAAGTACTCAATTTTGATATTTCGATGATTTTCTCTTTTTATCATTAGAAAATCATTATAACTAAACCAAATCTGTTTATGAGTAATGTCCTTTTAGTTCATAATAAACAATTTATTTCAAATAAACTTTTCTCCATCACCTTTAATTTTTGAGTTATGATCTATTTTAATACCAAAAGTACTCAATTTTGACATTTTGGTGATTTTTTCTTTATCACTAGAAAATCATTATACCTAAACTAAATTTGTTTATGGATGATGTTTTTTTAGTTCATAATAAACAATTTATTCCTAAAAAACTTTTCTCCATCACCTTTCATCCTTGAGTTATGATCAATTTTAATACCAAAAGTACTCAATTTTGATATTTCGATGATTTTCTCTTTTTATCATTAGAAAATCATTATAACTAAACCAAATCTGTTTATGAGTAATGTCCTTTTAGTTCATAATAAACAATTTATTTCAAATAAACTTTTCTCCATCACCTTTAATTTTTGAGTTATGATCTATTTTAATACCAAAAGTACTCAATTTTGACATTTTGGTGATTTTTTCTTTATCACTAGAAAATCATTATACCTAAACTAAATTTGTTTATGGATGATGTTTTTTTAGTTCATAATAAACAATTTATTCCTAAAAAACTTTTCTCCATCACCTTTCATCCTTGAGTTATGATCAATTTTAATACCAAAAGTACTCAATTTTGATATTTCGATGATTTTCTCTTTTTATCATTAGAAAATCATTATAACTAAACCAAATCTGTTTATGAGTAATGTCCTTTTAGTTCATAATAAACAATTTATTTCAAATAAACTTTTCTCCATCACCTTTAATTTTTGAGTTATGATCTATTTTAATACCAAAAGTACTCAATTTTGACATTTTGGTGATTTTTTCTTTATCACTAGAAAATCATTATACCTAAACTAAATTTGTTTATGGATGATGTTTTTTTAGTTCATAATAAACAATTTATTCCTAAAAAACTTTTCTCCATCACCTTTCATCCTTGAGTTATGATCAATTTTAATACCAAAAGTACTCAATTTTGATATTTCGATGATTTTCTCTTTTTATCATTAGAAAATCATTATAACTAAACCAAATCTGTTTATGAGTAATGTCCTTTTAGTTCATAATAAACAATTTATTTCAAATAAACTTTTCTCCATCACCTTTAATTTTTGAGTTATGATCTATTTTAATACCAAAAGTACTCAATTTTGACATTTTGGTGATTTTTTCTTTATCACTAGAAAATCATTATACCTAAACTAAATTTGTTTATGGATGATGTTTTTTTAGTTCATAATAAACAATTTATTCCTAAAAAACTTTTCTCCATCACCTTTCATCCTTGAGTTATGATCAATTTTAATACCAAAAGTACTCAATTTTGATATTTCGATGATTTTCTCTTTTTATCATTAGAAAATCATTATAACTAAACCAAATCTGTTTATGAGTAATGTCCTTTTAGTTCATAATAAACAATTTATTTCAAATAAACTTTTCTCCATCACCTTTAATTTTTGAGTTATGATCTATTTTAATACCAAAAGTACTCAATTTTGACATTTTGGTGATTTTTTCTTTATCACTAGAAAATCATTATAACTAAACCAAATCTGTTTATGGATGATGTCTTTTTAGTTCATAATAAACAATTTATTTCAAAAAAACTTATCTCCATCACAATTAATTTTTGAGTAATGATCGATTTTGATAACAAAAGTACTCAATTTTGACATTATGGGGATTTTCTCTTTATCACTAGAAAATCATTACATCTAAACAAAATCTGTTTATCAATAATATCTTTTTAGTTCATAATAAACAATTTATTCCTAAAAAACTTTTCGTCATCACCTTTCATTCTTGAGTTATGATCGATTTTAAAACCAAAAGTACTTAATTTTGACATTTTGGGGATTTTCTCTTTATCACTAGAAAATTATTATGCCTAAACTAAATTTGTTTATGGATGATGTCTTTTTAGTTCATAATAAACAGTTTATTCCTCAAATTACTTATCGATAAACAATCAAATTTTGACGTTAAAAAATATGTTAACGTCAAATTTTGAAATTAATTATGTCAAAATGACGGTTTATGAACGCACCCATTGGTGACGTTCAACAAACGTCAACGTTTGCAAATTTCGCCCCATTTTAGCAAACGCCTATGGTTCATTATTAATTTATTAATATTCTTAATTAATAGAAATTAACAAATTAAACAATAAATTAATAATTTTTGATAATTAATAATTTTAACAAAAATTAAAAACTTTGACGGTTGTTGAACGTGGCCAATGGATACGTTCATAAACCGTTAACGTTTTGTAAATGGCCGCCATTTCAATAAACGTCAAATTTGTATGTTTTCGTTTAGAAAGAGAATTTTTTTTAAATATCGTTGTTATATGAAATAAATTATAAACAGTTTATTCCTCAAATTACGTACAATTTCACAGCCGACTACTGAATTTTGAATGATTTTAAGTAGCATTAACAAGATACGCGTCTAGATTTTTGAGTTTTTTATGAAAACGACAATGTTTTTTAAAAAATAGTAAGAGCAAAAAAAGTTTTAGAATTAAATTCCACATGAAATGAAGTAGTAATGTATTCAATCCGCCAAAAGGTTAAAAAAATCTGCCAAAATTTAAGGACCATCACCCTTAATCAACCTTTTGAAATGCCTCAATTGGTCTCAACTTGCTACCAATTAATACCCTCGGTACACTCATAACGTATACCAAATTTGGTTTTTCTAGCTTAATGTATTACGAAGATATTCAATGTTTTAAAAATTTAAGACCCAACTTTGAAAGCCTATAACTCCTCAGAGGTACAACTTGGTATAGAGATAAGTTGCGTTAAATCATCTTAATTCCTCTACATGTCCCTGCTCTGTGTCGGTTCTTATGTGAATCACCCTGTATAGTTACTATTCTTAGAAGAGATAAATAAATTTATCATTTTTGAAAGAAAGTGTAATGAAAGAATAATCATTGGTGTTACTAAAATCCAACTAAACCAAGAAATTATTGGCAACTATGTAAGAAACACCATATCTAGCAGTTGAAAGATCTGCAAATGTAATTATGTAAGATATGACATTTAAAAATCGTTGCCAACTTCACACCATTAACCAAAACTTAGGTTATAAATTAATTTAAACGTCAAATTAATACGGACTCATGTTATAAAATCGTTTAAGTCTAATTTTAAAGATAAAAAATTATTTACTTTCATTTGAAGATACCCAATACTGTTTTCCATCAATAACAAAAGTACTATTTTCAATATAACTCGTCACCCTTCCCAACGTTGCACCAAACGGATACGTATCATAATAAACATAACCAGCCAAATCTTTATACCCCAAAGCGATATCATCAACAACTCCCTTTTTATTCGGCATTTTAATACTTCTTATTCTTGCCCCGTAAGTAATCACTTCCACTTCGATTTTGTTATGATTACTCCAAGTGTATCGAAAAACTTTTTCCCGGCATCCTTTCGCATTTTGAATCATCCCAAAAACATCCTCAGTTAGTGTAATATTTTTGTTATCAACATAAATTTTTGATTGAGAACCATTTTTAGGTTTATCGACTTTTTTAGGGATTTCAGGAGGAGGTGGGACATCCACTTTACTTGGGTCGGGTTTTACATCTTGTTTAGACATTTTTTTTATTTTTGAGTTCAAATACTATTAATTTTGATTAATTTTTTCCAAAAATTGATTTGAAGTTACAATTAATTAATTAGTGTCATTTATTTTATGTCAATATTCTTTTATTCTCAGGTAATCGAAGAAGAAATCGAGCAATCCTTAACATACAACGTCACGGAATGTTGCATCGAAGCAGATTTAAGCGACCACTGCCTCCCAATATGTTCTTACAACGCGAATATGACCGATATTAAAACTCTCGCTGGAGTTTGTGCGTCGGAATTCCATAAAATCGTGCGATGTGGAGCTGGTGGAAGAAATCATGGTTCTTGTTGTTCCAGGCGTGGGGTTCCCCCAGCTTGCGTTTCGTTATGCTCGGGAGTTATCGTGGATTCTTTGTTGTTAACAGCAACTACGTGTATGCCGTACATCGGAAATATAGCTTTGTGTTTTGAGGAAGGTACCGGGAAATTACCTGGACCAGTTTCTGATTTACACGCGGATGTTTTAGAAGATAACTCGGTTGTGTTAGAGTGGGAACCCCCGACGGATGGGAGTCAAGTTATCGATTATGAGATTCATTACCAAAAAGTTGATAACATGTCGATACATGAAACTTTATTAAAACTAGATCATCAATTAAACGTTACAGAAACTTCAATTATTTTAAAAGACTTAGAAGTTGATGGGTTGTACCATATGTTTGTGGTTTCGCGGAACAAATTTGGAACATCTCTACCGTCTTCTATGTTAATGATTAAAGTTAGAAGAAATTTGCAAGTTAATGGAGTTACTTCCCCGCCTCATTCTTTAGCCGTTGCGAGTCATAGTGCAACTTGGGTCACCATTTCTTGGCAACCCCCCGAGTTTAGCCACCCATCAGAAAGAATCATTTACAATTTATTTTATAAATCATCATCAGAGGAAGCTTTTAATATCACAAACACAACAGTTACAACTCACATGATCGATGGATTATCCCCAAACACTCAATATATTGTTTATGTTAAAGCCATTTCGAAAAAAGGGGCGAGCTTACCATCGGAAACTTTAATCGCTTGGACCGATCCCGCTTATCCAGCGTTTGTCGAAGTAATTTTAACACATTTTACTAATTTTAGTGTTGATTTGTTCCTGTTTTAGCCTCCAACCGTTCATCCAATTAATTTAGTCATCGAAGGAAGTAGTATGACCATTCTTTGTATTGCTATGGGGACTCCCATGCCGACAATTTCATTGTATATCACCGGGCGATTGGTTCGACAAGAAACAACTCGTCATATGGTGACTGTTGTTCATAATGTTACAAGAGATATGGATGAAATTTCTTGTTATGCCGATAATGGGTATGGTACACCGATGCAAGCTTCAAAAAAGATTACAATTAGTCGTAAGTAAACACTTTATCGATAAACAATCAAATTTTGACGTTAAAAAATATGTTAACGTCAAATTTTGAAATTAATTATGTCAAAATGACGGTTTATGAACGCACCCATTGGTGACGTTCAACAAACGTCAACGTTTGCAAATTTCGCCCCATTTTAGCAAACGCCTATGGTTCATTATTAATTTATTAATATTCTTAATTAATAGAAATTAACAAATTAAACAATAAATTAATAATTTTTAATAATTAATAATTTTAACAAAAATTAAAAACTTTGACGGTTGTTGAACGTGGCCAATGGATACGTTCATAAACCGTTAACGTTTTGTAAATGGCCGCCATTTCAATAAACGTCAAATTTGTATGTTTTCGTTTAGAAAGAGATTTTTCTTTTTAATATCGTTGTTATATGAAATATAAGATATTATTAAAACATGTCAAGATATACCAAGGAAAAAAAAAACTGTTAAAGGTCTAAGGCAACATTGCAATATCTACAATATATAGAGAAATAATAGAAGATGCTGGACGATATGAGATACCAAAGTCGTTATTCAACGATATCAAAGCTGAGGTTATTTTGGAAATTGTTGAGAAAGTGAGATAAAAAGGAAAGAAATGTATTAGAGGTTATATTGGGAAGAATGTAAAGTGATGCACTCTAGAGACGATGCACTCTACCATCGCCAGTTTAAAGATTTCCTTGAAGAAATAGATAGCCAGTTTTGCAGCAGATTAGATGCTGCTTAGGAAGGCTTCTTAGTGCTTGCGAAAGACAATTTTTTGCTTGCAGAAGATTATATACTACTTAGAAAGACTCCTTACTACTTCCAAAAGCTACATACTGCTTTGAAATACTCTCTTGCTGCTGGCAGAAGACTAAATATTGCTTAGGAAAGTTTCTTAGCGATTGTAGAAGATCATATACTGCTTAGAAAGATTCCTTACTACTTTTAAAGAGTTGGATACTGTTTCTAAATATTCCTTTATTACTGGAAAAGTACTAAATACTGCTTAGGAAGACTTCTTAATGCTTGATGCTGCTTGGGAAGGTTACTTAATGGTTGTAGAGGACAATTTGCTGTTTGCAGAAGATTATATACTGTTTACAAAGACTCCTTACTATTTCTAAAAGCTACATGATGCTTTTAAATACTCTCTCGGTACTGGCAAAAGACTAAATACTGCTTAGGAAAGCTTCTTAGTGCGTGCAGAGGGTCATATACTGCTTAGAAAGACCCCTTGCTACTTCCAAAGAGCTAGATACTGTTTCTAAATATTCCTTTACTACTGGAAAGGTACTAAATACTACTTAGGAAGACTTCTTAATGCTTACAACTGCTCCTTACTATTTCCAGAAGGTTGGATACCGTTTCTAAATACTTCTTTACTACTAGAAAAGGATCAAATACTTAGAAGGTTGCATTTATTTATACACCCACATCTCAAAAGCCTCCAGTTTTTTTAGTTGTGGCTCTGATCCAGGATTCCATGCCGTATAACATATTGAATATTAACAGCAACAGAATAATCATAAACTAACCTATAAATAACTACATTTTCAAATTTATTTCCTAAACAACTAATTTAATTCATTTTTTTCCAGATCTTCCTCACATTCAAGCTTCCGGAATAACAATGGCAGCATACGGAGATACGGTTCTATTAGAATGCAAAGTGGATGCCCACCCAGAACCAAAAATGATTTTCTGGCAAGACCACGAAGATCGAAAACCAGTTATCCAAGGTGGAAAATACGACATCCTCATAAACAAAGCAAAAGACAAAATCGATAACTTTAAATACATCATGCAACTAACAATCAAAAACATAGTAGATACCGATGTTGGAGATTATTTTTGCCACGCCGAAAACGCCTTTGGAAGCTCAACCCAACCAGTTTCCGTTCGAATACGTCATACAGCTACTGTAACAAACATAACACAATGTTGTATTGAACATAACGTTTCAACTTTATGCATGGATGCGTGCTCTTTTTATTTAGACATCGATGCGGTTATAAATAAATTAGAATGTGTTAATGATTTTGATAAATTAATTAAATGCGCTGCTGATGGTTCGGATCATAGAAAATGTTGCGCGGACCAAGAAGTTCCAAGATCTTGCTTAGATTATTGTAGAGGTGATCCAAAATCATCTAACAAAGCTTGCGTTTTATCATACACAAAGCAAATAATGAATTGTTTCCACGAAAATAAAGATTTATTACCGGGGCCACCTCAAAATGTTAAAGTTGAAAATTTAGATTCGAAAGCTATCCGAATTTCTTGGTCACCCCCGGTGAAGAATCCCCACAAAACCGAAATGTATAGGGTGTATTGGAAATTAGAGGACGATTTAACATCAAAAAAAGAAGACACTAAAGATAATTTTATTATCTTGAAAGATTTAGAGGAAGAAAAAACTTACGAATTCGTCGTTAAAGCGATTAATCACCGTGGAACTTCGATTTTAAGCGAATCAATTAAATTTACAGTTGAAGATTCTCAATTAACTTCAACGAGTTTAGAGAATTCGTCTCACGTCGGAGTGGCAATTGGGGTTATTTTAGCTTTGATTGTAGTTGGGATGTTGATTTTTGGTGCTTTTTGGTTCGTTCGAACGAAAAGGGGGGCGAAAAACCAAGGAGGGGTTGCTTTTGAGAATCCTAGTTATTTAAGGGAAGTTAATATGGATCATATTCAAAGTCAAACCGATTCCAGTTCTATGGTTAATGGAATTTCTTCGGTTTCTGCAACTTCCGGGTGGAAACACGAACCGTTACACGTTCCATCTTCACACGAAGTTAACCCAACTTTATACGAAGAATTAAAACTTGGGCAAGATGGGGTTGGATTTAAAAGATTGAAACCATAGCGAAAAATTTTTCCGAAAGAATCTCGATTTTAATAATTTAATTAATTTAAAATGAAACGAGATTTCTTTTTTTTTTTTTTTTTAGGGTTTAATAAAGAAGGAAATGTGATTTTTTTAGTTTAATACTTGTAAATGTAGGTTTTGTATAAATGTTGTAGGAGAATTCACCCAAAAAAATGTAAAAAGATTATTTCGACTGAAAAAAAGAACAAAAAAATTATTAAAAATAAAATTTTTTACATTTTTGAATAATAAGAAAATCAATTTTTGATATAAGGAGGGTAAAAAGGTTAAATTTTCTTTTTAATTCTAGTCATGTGATGGCGTGAATATCAACCGATAAATAAATAATTAAAAAAAAAAACCCCCCGACTTAAATAAATTATTAAATAAGCTCAATACCCTTCTTATAAGTGCAAAAAAAATTATCTAAGTAGATTAAATATTTGTAAAATAAAATTAGGGACTTAAAAAAATAATAAAATTTAAAAAAATTTATTAAAAAAAAAATTTAGTGACTAAAATAATCAATATGTGCCTTCATACTTTTTTCCTGTTAATTAGAAGAAAAATAAAATTGATGTATTACCATTTGTAAAATAAAAGTACACTTATAATAAGGAATAAAAAAAATTCAAAAAAAAAACATGAATTTTTTATTAACTTAATAAAGTCAAAAAATTTAAGTCAACTTTAAATGTTAATATCTCAAAAATGAATGGAGTTTTTCAAGATCGGTTTTGTTCATGAAAAAGCTCATACTTTCTCTTATTAGTGGGCGACGTTTCATAAAAATATCTTAAGAATTCAAATTTTTTAAAAATTATTGATAAAATTTGTTAATTTCATAAAGTCAAAAAATTTAAGTCAAGTTTAAATGTTCGTATCTCAAGAACGAATGGAGTTTTTCAAGATCGGTTTTGTTCATGAAAAAGCTCATACTTTCTTTTATTAGTGGGCGACGTTTCATAAAAATATCTTAAGAATTCAATTTTTGGCGATTTTTTAAAAATTATTGATAAAATTTGCTAATTTCATAAAGTCAAAAAATTCAAGTCAAGTTTAAATGTTCGTATCTCAAGAACGAATGGAGTTTTTCAAGATCGATTTTGTTCATGAAAAAGCTCATACTTTCTTTTAATAATTGGAGGACGTTTCATAAAAATATCTTAAGAATTCAATTTTTGGCGATTTTTTAAAAATTATTGAATTTCCTAATTAAAATTAAAAACTAATCGTTTTAGTAATCCAGGGACTGTTTAGACTCATAATCTTTACCATTAACCAAGTTTTAACCATTAATTTTGCAACATTTACAAATAAAACACAGTTATTTAGTTTTTTTTACATTTTGTTATTACATAATTAGGTACTACAAGTTCAAAGTGTTCAAAGCAAGTTTAAAAATTTAAAAAAATATATTATATAATATAAAATTTAAAAATAAGTTTATAACAAATATAATTAACTTTTAATTATTTATTAATAAAATAAAAAAGTATTAAATTTCTACTTTACCAACTTACCAACATTACAGATTTGTTTACCTTTGACGTTTGACAATTTTGACGTTTAACGTCCAGTGACATTCAAAAGTAAGGTTAAGTTAACCTCATTTTAAGCAAAATTATCGAAAATGACCGAAAAACAAGAACTTTTAAATGGAAATTTAACGAAAAAATCGAACAGCCGATCGGGTTTAATGAAAATTTCGAGTTATATCTTAGCGTTAAGACCATGGTCGTGGAGTGGAAGTTTAATGCCAACCCTTCTTGGGTCAACCCTCGCCTACAAAAATCTCAACGACACCACCGACGGTACCGATTTTAATTACATAACGTTACTTTTAACGTTATTCACCGTCGTTTGTGTTCATGGAGCCGGAAACCTCGTCAATACCTATTTCGATTTCATAAAAGGAATTGATACCCGAAAATCCGACGATAGAATTCTAGTCGATCATATTTTAACTAAAGACGAAGTCGTTTCACTTGGAGCGTTACTTTATTTTTTCGGCTGCATTGGTTTTATTCTTTTAGCCGCTTTATCACCTGCCAAAATGGAACATCTCGCTTTAGTTTATTTCGGCGGTTTATCATCAAGTTTTCTTTACACCGGTGGAATTGGACTGAAATATATCGCATTAGGAGATGTAATTGTGCTAACAATTTTTGGACCTGTAGCTGTATTATTCGCTTTTATGTCACAAACTGGTCGTTTGGAATGGGCAACTATATATTATGCCATTCCTTTAGCTTTAAACACTGAAGCTATCTTACATAGTAATAATACCAGGGATTCTGAGCATGATAAACGCGCGGGGATTGTTACTTTAGCTATTTTAATCGGCCACACGGCTTCTCACGTTTTATATGCGTTTTTATTGTTTATTCCTTACATTATGTTCGTTGTTGCGTCAATGAAATACTCAAAATGGTTCGTTTTACCGTTAGTTACGTTACCGAATGCTTTTAAAATTGAAAAGCAGTTTCGCTCGAACGATATTGATTTTGTACCGAGACGAACTGCTAAATTAAATTTGTATTTTGGGTTGTTGTTTGTTATAGCGTGTTGTTTTATCGAGGATTTACCGTTTATTAGTAAAAGATAGGTTCTTTTTAAGTTTTTTTTGATATTTATATTTATTTTTTTCTATGTTTCTAATTATATTAAAAGAGAGGCTTTAAAACAGATTTCTTTTCGTTTAATACTTCCAGTTTATGACAATAATGATTGATTAAAAAGAAACAGAAATAAATTAAAATTAGATTAGACTGTATTTAAACAAATAAGTGGTTGTATTGTATAATAGATCGGTTTAAAATAATAAAATAACTAACAATTTTAAGGTTTTTTAATAATTAATTTAAATTTTAAAAATTAATTCTGTGTTACCAACAAAAAAAAATTTGAGTGGATAACCTCTTTACCGGCTACGTCAAATTTCATGTCAAGAACTGTCATTTCCTTCTAATTCCATCCGAGAAGAATAAAGCGTGCAAAAACGATGAGATAATCGGATTAATTTTCCTCGATTAATACGAAAAAATAACGTTCTTGAGATGATACTATTTAAACATGACCTGCATTGTTTAACTTTATGAAGTTAGCAATTTTTATCAATCATTTTTAAAAAATCGCCAAAAATTGAATTCTTAAGATATTTTTATGAAACGGCGTCCACTTATAAAGGAAGGTGTGTACTTTTTCATGAACGAAACCGAACTTGAAAAGCTCTATTCGTTTCTGAGATACTAACATTTAAACTTGACTTGAATTTTTCGACTTTATAAGTTAAAAATTTTTATCAATCATTTTTAAAAAATCGCCAAAAATTGAATTCTTAAGATATTTTTATGAAACGTCGTCCACTTATAAAAGAAAGTATGTACTTTTTCATGAACCAAACCGAATTTGAAAAGCTCTATTCGTTTTTGAGATACTAACATTTAAACTTGACTTGAATTTTTTGACTTTATGAATTTAAAAATTTTTATCAATCATTTTTAAAAAATCGCCAAAAATTGAATTCTTAAGATATTTTTATGATTTTAAACAAATACGTGGTTGTATTGTATAATAGATTAATTAATTTTAAAAATTAATAGTCAGTGTTACCAACAAAAAAGAATTTGAGCGGATAACCTCTTTACCGGCTACGTCAAATTTTATCACAAGAACTGTCATTTCCTTCTACTTCCATCCGAGAAGAATTACGCGTGCGAGAACGATGAGAAGATAATCGGATTCATTTTCCTCGATTAATACGAAAAAAACACGGATCGTTTACCGTTTAGGAAATTGAAAACGATGGCGGACGATACTTTGGGGTACTTAAGGAGGCCGGAAATCTTCGGGATGATGTTGCGCATCGTTTTCGTATCCGCGATGTCTTACTACGGGATTAAATGGTTCATGAACCAAGTCGATCCGACTAATAAAAGCAAAAAGAGTGCGCGAAAAAAAGCCACGGAACAATTAGCGCGGTAATTACAAATTTTTAATTTTGAGGTTATGTTGCTTAAAAATTAATTTTAGGTTAGCTAAAAGTGGAAGTCACGTCCTTCCGATAGAAAAATTATCCGATTATGAAATTATGATAGCTTCTCACTTAATACATCCTGAAGATATAAACGTAACATGGTCTGATATCGCTGGATTAGAAAGTACTGTTCAAGAATTAAGAGAAACGGTGATTTTACCAATTCAACGTCGCGAACTCTTCGCTGATTCTCAATTAACTCAAGCTCCGAAAGGTGTTTTATTACATGGACCTCCTGGTTGTGGAAAAACTTTAATTGCAAAAGCGACAGCGCGAGAAGCGGGGACTTGTTTTATTAATTTAGATGTTTCCATTCTAACTGATAAGTGGTATGGTGAGAGTCAGAAATTAGCGGCGGCCGTGTTTACTTTAGCTGTAAAAATACAACCTTGTATCATATTTATTGATGAAATTGACTCGTTTTTGCGCGCTCGAAATAGCACAGATCATGAAGCGACCGCGATGATGAAAGCGCAATTTATGTCGTTTTGGGATGGTCTAATAACTGATCCAAATTGTACTGTTATTATAATGGGGGCTACAAATCGCCCTCAAGACTTAGATAGAGCGATTTTGCGCCGAATGCCCGCCGCGTTCCATATCCCCCTTCCTAACGCCACCCAAAGGCGGCAAATTCTCGAATTAATCTTAATTAATGAACCAGTTGAAGATAATGTTGATGTTAATAAAATTGCGCGTTCAACTGACGGGTTTTCTGGCTCAGATTTAAGAGAATTATGTCGAAACGCTTCTGTATATCGCGTTCGTGATTATATGAAGAATAATAGAGTCACTGTAAGGTCCACACAATCGACTAGCACGCTGGGGGAAAGCGAGGATGAATTCCACGACGCTTTACGGCCGATTTCAATGGATGATTTGATGATTTCCATGAATAAGATGAAAGAATCAAAGTTACATTGCGGTAGTTTACACACTGAGAGGATCGATCTTGATTAGTATTACGAGATACTCGGGTGTTACTTGAACGGGGGGGACGTGAAGGATAATGCGGTTTTTGAACGATGTACTCGGTATAAAAAAATGTAGGAAATCGCTTCGAAATCGATTTTTTTTGTTCGTTTTGTTAATGAAAATGATGTGAGAAGTTTAAAAATGCCTTTTTGTTTTTGTAATAAATAGTAGTTTTAATTTTTGGGTTAAATAAAATAAAAATTTATAAAAAAAAAATAATTTTTAGGTTAGATTTATGTCAAATTTCCTACATAACCTCAATTTTTATTACAAATTTTTTTTATTTAATATTATTAATTTTGGAGAATGAATTAATTAATTAATGTTATTTATTTAAATTTAAAAATTGATTTTTAATGTATTATAAATAAAAAAAATCGTGTTCTAATATGATTTAGAAAATGAGAAGCGAACTCATATATATACTATCTTCTATATCGCTGACTAAGGCAGCAAAAGAGTGTAAACACTAGAGTGCAGATATATATATATCTGTCTTTGTCGTACCCCCGTCGACTCAAGAGACATGTGTGAACACGTGATGAGTACGCTTTTATCTTATTGGACGGTGAATTAAAAATTAATAGCAGCTGATGACCTTGATGTTTATAAATCAACAAATAAATGTTTGACATAAACATAACCTAAAATCTAAATATTTAGTTATGTATATTATAGGTTTCATGTGTATAATAACATAATTATTAACATATTTTAGGACTAAGCAATTTAAAATGTAATTGTTATTTGTTAAGAAAGTGAAGCAAATGTGTTAAAAGTAAAATAAAAAAGAAAAAGAGTAGTGGAGATATTTTTGGGTCCTAAAAATTGGTTGAGCAGGTAGAAGGAAAGGTCTCAGTGTAATAAAAAAGAATTCAAAGTCCTCCTTTTCTTGAAACATTTTTCTTTATAAACATTTAGAGTACATATACTCTAATTTATTTGATGCATCAGAGATAATTTATAGTTAAACCATCTATAATAATAATTGCATTTTAAAGCTGCATAAAATACGCGCGAAACACTTCAAACTCTTTAAAATTTACGATTCGCGCTAGCGCTTTCGCGACACGGGGGTACGACAAAGACAAAACATATATCATTCCGTCTTCTTTTGATGGAAACGCTCGCCACTCATTGCTTAGATAGGGAGTCAGCGATATAGAAGATAGTATATATATGAGCGAACTAAACGAACTTTACTACATAACCTCATTTTTTATTACAAATTTTTTATTTAATGTTATTAATTTTTGAGAATGAATTAATTAATGTTATTTATTTACATTTAAAAATTGATTTTTAATTTATTATAAATAAAAAAAATCGCGTTTTAATATGATTAAGAAACGAACTTCACTGTTAATACCAACTTATAAACAAAAAAATTCACTAAAACGTGATAAAACCAGACGGTGGACAAGAACGGTGGCGTTCGGTGCAGCAAAATGTCTCGTTCGCGTTCGTTTCATTTTCGAATCGAGAAGAAATTCGCGATAAACTAAAACCAGATGAAACGTAACGAGAAAGCGACGTGATTAGTGAATGAAAGAGTGTGAAATGTTAAATCGCGTGTGAGATGGCGTCGAACGCGTTCCTTTAGAATCTTTTTTTGTTATTGGTTGTTATAAGAAGGCTGGTGAAGAAGAAAAAGAAGTTTTTGGACGTTTGATCGAGGAGAAAAAAAGGCGAAGAAATTAAAAGAAAAACTAAAATAATGTTCGAGTATAATAATAATAATAGTAAAGGGTGTAAAAATAGAACGTGGTCTATTAGTGAGTTGGAATCATCATTATAGTTGTGTGTCAAAAATTAAAAACAAAAAAAAGTAAGAAAATTATGGTTTAGTAGTGTTTAAGTTATGATTTTTTTAACACAAAAAAGAAGTTAAGTTAAAGAGGAAGAAGAACACGGAGGTTTTACTTTTTTATGGGTATCTGTTATAGTTGTACAAAATCGAGGAGGCGATTTAAAGGTTAGTTATTGTTTTTTTTTGTGCGTTTGTTTTTGATGGCGTTTTTTTGGTTAAAACATCGATTTTGTGGTTTTGGATTTTTTTTTTCTATAAAAAGAACTTTAACACGATCGGATTCACCGGAAACACGGTGAAGGTCGCCTATGTGTGCATAGAAACAGAATATATTTCAGTATGTAAGTAATAATTAGCGCAAAACTTTAATTTCAACATAACCTAAAAAAAATTTCTCTTCAATATCTTCAAAATTATTTTATTTTGATTTATTTTAGATACATAATGTTTCTTATTAACAAAAACTCCAAGATAAAAAGAACAAAGAACTTCCTAGTATTGATTAGTTAAAAAAATTTTTTTATTCTAAACATTAAGTTTGTTTTAAATAACGCAATGTTTAAAAATACGAATTCATATTGAAAATTGCACAATTTTTTCCTCGATAACGTAATTGTTTTGGGCACGACTCATCCAAATCAAAAATTGGAGATTCATATATAATTTTTTTTAATGCTATTTTATTGAGATTAATTTTAATGGGAAATTTAATCAACATTTTTTCACTAATTTGAGATAATATAGATAACCGATTTTATTATGTAGGCAAATTTATGACATTGTTCAATCAGGATGTTGTAAAAATAAATAAACAATTTTTGCTTACAACAAAAAACTGAAAAAAAAACAGAATTACAAAATAAATAACAACATTCAGGTCGTTTAAACTAAAATTATTAAACATTTTTGGTTGAATCATTTTAATAAACATTTCATCAGTGTTTGTTTATGAAATTTTAGATATTTTGAGATACACTTATTGAGAGTAACTTCTGCCAAGGATCCGTGTCAATAAATCAAAAAGTCACTCTGACTGGAACTACATATTATAAAGAATTAAGAAATCTTGTGATTAAGTGTGAAAAACGTGCTTACATTACAGAATGTGTCTGAAAAGTGTTGGGAAAAAACAATTTATTACAATGTAAGGTTCATTCTCTCCCACAACACTTAAAAAACTGTAGAGCCCACTGTAGGGTTGATAATTTTATTAATGACATTGGTAAGGCAAAATTTGGCCCTGGTGTGTAAGTTTGTGATATTTTAGCTGAATTACATAATATATGATCAAATGTTGTGTGTCCTGTAATCTTACCTCATATAGCAAATATTATTAATACTTGTCTAAATCTACTATACATTGTCCAACATTGGTTTATAATTTAGCAAAATTGTTCAAAATGTTTCGAAACAGGTTCATAGCCATCTCATGTTGTTCTAAGTCATTGAAAACTAGTTGAGCATAATTTTATACTTGTCTAAATGATTAACAACTACTTTTTAAACAATCCACGTTGTTAAAAATGACTGAAAACTGGTTGATTGTCATTAAAAACTTGTCTAAGTGTATAAGAACTAGTTTATAGCAAGACCAGGTAGCTCAGAATGTCTGAAAATAGCACCAACATTGTCTAAATTTAGTTTATAAGGTAGCAAAATGTTTCGAAACAGGTTCATAGCCATCTCATGTTGTTCTAAGTCATTGAAAACTGGTTGAGCATAATTTTATACTTGTCTAAATGATTAACAACTACTTTTTAAACAATCCACGTTGTTAAAAATGACTGAAAACAGGTTGATAGTCATTAGAAACTTGTCTAAATGTATAAGGACTAGTTTGTAGCAAGTCCAGGTTGCTCACAATGGTGGCAAAATTGTTCAAAATGAGAAAATTTAAAATAACAACAATTTTATCAATTCTAACTTTCAATTTGAGTTTTTTATGTTGAGAAAACCAAAACATTGAGGAAATAAAATGGAATATTTGCAAAAATGGGGTTAATAAATAATTGATATTAAAGTTATTAGTAAATTTCTTTTTATTGAATTTATATGAAATGTAGTCGGGACTATAAAAATGTTTCAAATCAAACAGAGCCTATCGGTACACAAATATTCCATTCGTCTCTACAATGATTTTCAATGCATTTGCACCGTAGAACTGGTAAAATAGTTTGAATAGGACACCCTGCTTTTCCACAAACATTGTCACAAACTGTCGTGTATCCATATTCCTCGCTTATATTGTCGCAGCAATCTTCTACGAGGTAATAAAACTGTTTAAATATTTATGCTATATAGAATTTCTTACCTGCTGAACAATAATAAACGAGTACCATCACTACAATTATTCCTGTTAGATATTTCATCGTAAACTCTTTCAGAAACGGTATAAAAAAATAAAACATTTCTGTTGGTTTATATACCCCAGGAATTGTAGTAAATTATCTTGAAAAGAAAAATAAATATGTTGGGAGTTGTATTTTTTTCAAAAGTAATTGTTGTCTGACTTTTTATGAAAAGTTAAACATTCATTATTTACAAATCTCAAATAATTCTTAGTATAAAAAGAATACATCTTAACATTTTTATTCATACCTCTAAAATCACAGTGAAAATTAATTTTCACGATGAAGTACGCAATCGTTTTTGCCATTTTAGTGGCCACAACTTATATAGCATGTACAGGTAAACTTCAAATCGATTTTTTAAGTTTATTTAATTGTAATTTTGGTATTATAGATGCATGTGAATGTGGAGGTTTAAATGAAGTTTATGGGGAAGGTCCATCTTGTGACCAAACCTGCGCAAAGCTGGATCAATCCTGTTACATCGTAAATATTAAAGCCAATAAGAGATGTTATTGTATTGATGGTTATGCTAGAAATGAGTGGGGTATTTGCGTTCCAAAAGCTTTTTGTAGACTCATAGGATAATAATTATAAATCAAAATGAACGATGATTTTATTTGTACAAAATAAATGTTTTTATCGTCAGAATGTTTGCTCCAATTGCTTTTTCCTCAACTCTTTCTTGCGTACTCTCGTCTCCATATTCCTGATATCTCAACTGCTTCATGAGACTTCCTTAGTATGTTCCAATCCAACGCAATTTCTTCTCTTTGATTTAGTCATTACTGGGTCGTTGGGTTTTTTTTTCCCACAAGTCTACCCATACAAGAGGACTCTACTAACATAAGTATGACACAAAGTGTCTACTTTACAACCATAAAATCCGTTTTGATTTATCTCTCTAAGGAGTTGAGATATAAATTTTTGAATTCAATCGAAATTTCTGGAAAATTTTAAGTTTTCATGAATTCATTTTAAAAATACGTAAAAAATCGATTTTTTGGAAAATCATTACGAAATTTTCACCAATTATGAATCAAAGTGTCTACTTTTCAACCATAAAATCCGTTTTGATTTATCTCTCTCAGGAGTTGAGATATAAATTTTGTGGAAAATTTCGAATTTTCGTGAATTCATTTTAAAAGTCTACTTTACAACCATAAAATCCGTTTTGATTTATCTCTCTCAGGAGTTGAGATATAAATTTTTGAATTCAATCGAAATTTCTGAAAAATTTCAAGTTTTCGTGAATTTATTTTAATAATACGTAAAAAATTGATTTTTTTGGAAAATCATTACGAAATTTTCACCAATTATGAATCAAAGTGTCTACTTTACAACCATAAAATCCGTTTTGGTTTATCTCTCTCAGGGGTTGAGATATAAATTTTTGAATTCAATCGAAATTTCTGGAAAATTTCAAGTTTTCGTGAATTCATTTTAAAAATACGCAAAAAATCGATTTTTTGGAAAATCATTACGAAATTTTCACCAATTATGAATCAAAGTGTCTACTTTACAACCATAAAATCCGTTTTGATTTATCTCTCTCAGGAGTTGAGATATAAATTTTTGAATTCAATCGAAATTTGTGGAAAATTTCAATTTTTCAAGAATTCATTTTAAAAATACGTAAAAAATCGATTTTTTGGAAAATCATTACGACATTTTCACCAATTATGAATTCAAGTGTCTACAACCATAAAATCTGTTTTGGTTTATCTCTCTCAGGAGTTGAGATATAAACGTTTGAAATCAATCGAAATTTGTGGAAAATTTCGAATTTTCGTGAATTTATTTTAAAAATACGTAAAAAATCGATTTTTTTGAAAATCATTACGAAATTTTCACCAATTATGAATCAAAGTGTCTACTTTACAACCATAAAATCCGTTTTGATTTATCTCCCTCAGGAGTTGAGATATAAATTTTTGAATTCAATCGAAAAATTTCTGAAAAATTTCAAGTTTTCGTGAATTTATTTTAAAAATACGTAAAAAATTGATTTTTTTGGAAAATCATTACGAAATTTTCACCAATTATGAATCAAAGTGTCTACTTTTCAACCATAAAATCCGTTTTGATTTATCTCTCTCAGGAGTTGAGATATAAATTTTTGAATTCAATCGAAAGTTCCCGCATCTGCCATGTCATATTTCACACAATAATAAATGCCCGAACCTAAACACGTTCATTCATGTCTGTGGGATTCCCCAATCATAGCTATTAATACATTATTAGCTATTGATAGGCTAAACTGATTAATTTTTGAATAGATTAAATTTTTCTGTCTACAAAGTGTAAATTTTTTTCTGAAAACTCTTAGTCCCATGTGTTGATCATTATTTTTTAAGAAATAATGGACACACATATTTAAAGCGCCCATAATTTATTACCGCGTTCCAGATTTAGACATTCGAGGATTTTGCACGATGCCAAAAACATTTTTTCATGTTTCTTCGTCTAAGTCCATTAAGGTTACGTAAAATTGAATACAAAATGAATCGTTTTCAATTTAAAATAAAATTTGTAATCAAATTCTTTTCAAATAGAAAGTATTGCGAAATTTATTAATATTTCTATAGAAATAAAACAAATAATGCACTATGTTTTTTTGTCTACCGCCTTGCAGTTTAGATAAGATAACGATAAATCCAATCGACTCGACCACAAACCATTTGGTGTGTTATAAAGATCGAATTCGGTTTTAAAATGTGTGCGACTCAAAATATAATGTGTTTATGAATAATACAATAAATTTAAGAAGAATAATTAATAGGAAGTGAAACGTTTAATTAAAAATATGAAAAAAATTATGAATTATATCCAACGTAAATTACATCTACACAGTTGGGGTAAAATTTTTAAATAATCGTTTTTAAATTTGATTAAATTCTAAAACGTGCGTTTTGTCTCGTGCGTAACGTTTAGTTTTTGATGTTTGATGTTCGATAACCTTGTCAGTGCGTCCGTTCGTTCGTTCGTCTGGTTATTCAAAGATAAACGATAATTGCCCACAGCTAACGATAATAAAGCGATTTTTTTACATTTAAATTTCTTATATCCTGAAATTTTACTTGAAATAAATTAATTACTTAAAACGTATTCAAATTAATTATTGAAACGGAACAAATACGTTTTGAAATGCGTCTTATAACATGGTGCTTAATAGACTTGACTTACAATTAGATCTATATGAATTATAAATGACCTATTTTCAGTAAACACCTTATTACTCATTAAATTTGAATTTTAAACGATTCATGAAATATGTTTTAATTTTTAATTGTTTTAGATAAAGGAACTAAGATATGTTCATCTCTTCAATCGGCGGTTTCTCCTCTTCACATCCAACAACACCCCATCCCAATTGAAGTTGAAAATAACGTAGTCGCGGTGGCTAACAAAAGTGATCCGTTGAACGGTGGTATTGCGCCCCCGCTGCTGCTGCCGCTGACGACCGTCAGCGAAAATTGCGGTTCGTCATCAGGCAACAACAAGGGGCTAGTCGACCAAAAACGACAAAGTATGTCAAATGCAATCAAGCAAATGGTCAGCAAACGTAGGAATCGTTACAAAAAGGACGGATTCAATCTTGATTTAACCTGTAATTAAAATTATAATAATAATAATAAGAAAATACATATAAACAAATCTTAATTTATTAAATGAATACATTTTTAGATATTACAAGAAACATCATAGCGATGGGTTACCCCGCTTCGAATATAGAAGGAGTTTATAGGAACAAAATCGAAGACGTCGCCAGATTTTTACAATCAGAACACGGGGATCACTACAAAGTGTACAACTTGTGTTCGGAAAGGAACTATGACAAATCGAAATTTTGCGATCGCGTCGAACAATTTCCGTTCGACGATCACAATCCGCCAAAAATCGAATTGATCCAGCCGTTCTGCGAGAGCGTCCACCGTTGGTTACAGGTGGATTCGAAAAACGTCGCCGCCGTTCATTGCAAAGCCGGAAAAGGACGAACGGGAACCATGATTTGTTGCTATCTGTTGCATTCGAAAATGTTTACCGATCCGACGAAGGCGCTCGAACATTACGATAGTAAACGGACGCAAGACCAAAAAGGAGTTACTATACCGTCTCAAGTAAAACATTTTATTAATAATTTTAAATATTTGGGTTATCTTTGGGTAGATTAGTGTTTACGTTGATGAAATTTTAAAATGAAACAGGAAAACGTTGGGGAATATCTCGGGGACCACTCATCATATCAGCCTGATAACCAATAGTAATTAAATATTATGAGTGTCTATAAAACTAAAAGGTTTAGGTGATACTTAATTTTTTTTAATCGATTAATTACAATGTTATTTATGCTTGAACGAATTGGACCGCGTTATGCATCACTTGACTAAGCAATAATTTTTTTAATATACATATTTATAATCTTCATTAAAAATCCTTTTAAATGAGTACAAACACGACATATTTATCTTCAATATTAATGAAATTATAGTCAACTTCCTGTTAAGAATGTCAACGCCAATTTTGACATATTTGTAATCCTCGTGAAAAATCCTTTAAAATGAGTCCAAACACGACATATTTATCTTCAATATTAATGAAATTATGGTCAACTTCCGGTTAAGAATGTTAACGTCAATTTTGACATATTTGTAATCTTCGTGAAAAATCCTTTAAAATGAGTCCAAACATGATACGTTTGGATCAATTAACATATTCTTAATTTTTATAAAATGTCTTAATATTTGTCACAAAAACAAAAATATAATTTAAAAAAAAAATTAAGGTTGGTATTAATATTTAAAAATTAATTTGTTGCTAACTTCGGGTTTAGTGTTTTTTATTCTAACTTTTTTGTTTTTTGAGATAAGTGCGTCATGTTTGGACTCATTTTAAAGGTTTTTTTGTGAAAATGACAAATATGTCAAAATTGACGTTGACGTTTCAAACCGGAAGTGATTGTATTTCCATTAATATTAAAGTTAAATATGTCGAGTTTGGACTCATTTTAACGGATTTTTTATGAAGTTGACAAATATGTCAAAATTAAAAGTTGAAAGTTCGAACTTTTTGGTTTTTTGAGATAAACACGTCAAGTTTGGACTCACTTTAAAGATTATTTTATGAAGATTACGAATATAATAATAAAATTAAAGTTGACATTGACAATATTTCGCGATTTCAAAAAATGCTCATATTTCGTTTATTTTTGAAATTAAAGAAAAGCTAGTTATTATCAAGCAGTATCAAGTCCTCTACCACCAATATTTAGTCTTCTGCATACAGTATCTAGTTATTGTCAGCAGTATCTAGTTTTCTGCCAGCAGTATCTCGTCGTCTAGCAGCAATATTTAGACTTTGGAAGCAGTATCCAGTTATTATGGACAGTATCTAGTCCTCTAACAATAAACAGTATTTAGTTATTATTAGCAGTATCTAGTCCTCTACCACCAATATTTAGTCTTCTACATACAGTATCTAGTCATTATCAGCAGTATCTAGTTTTCTGCCAGCAATATCTAGTCCTCTAACAACAGTATTTAGCGTTTGGAAGCAGTATCCAGTTATTATCACCAGTATCTAGTCCTCTAACAACAATATTTAGTCTTTTGCAAACAGTATCCAGTTATTATCAGCAATGTCTAGTTTTCTACCAGCAGTATCGTTTTCGAGGTCAGCTCACCAGTCTTTTCCCATGCGTTGTCATTAAGAGTTCTTTTTGGTAGCCCCCTTTCTTCCATCCATGTCCTGCTCATTTCAGCCTTTCAAGTATTACGGACTGTATACCTGCTCCTCCATGTATTACAGAAAACAATTCGTTTTCTTTGATTGTCTTCAATATTCTTCTTAATATTTTCCTCTTAAATATAGTTCTTTTTCTTTTTGTTGCATCTGTAACATATAGTAGATCTTATAATTGTCTTATATACTCTAAGTTTATTGTTCCAATGGACGATTTAGATCTTAGTATGTGGGTTAGTGCAAAATAAGGTGTGTTAACAAGGATGATTCTTATAAAAAAAAAAGATGTGGAAGGAACATGAAGAAAAAATGAGTAATAAGACCACATGTATGGACCACATGGATGACCTCCCAAGAGATTGGTTCATAACTGATTGCATGAGGCTTGACAAACAGGGACGTAATGTGCTAAAAAAGGTGCCCATACAAATTTTAAGTTTTTGTAACTCCATATATTGGTTTTGTATTTTTTAACTTTATATTTTATAACATTTTTAATCAAAACTAAAAAATTCATCCAGTAAGATCTAGAAGATAGTGATCTAGAAACTCAAAAATTTCAGTTCTATTTTGAAAATTCATTACACAGTGTTATATGTGTCACCTGTCAAATTGTTGTGAAGTTGGTAACAGTTGGCAACATTCATTTATGTCACACTGACGTTTTAATTTTCATTTAAAAAGATAATATACAGTATTTATTTTATATTTGTACACAAATATTTATAATAAAATAAAGATTTCTAACTGAAAATGTTAGTAGAAATCAAAAAAAACTATAAACTGTGTTAATTAATACTTGGGCAATACCAACACAAAATTTTACCGAAATTTGGCATTGACAGGTATTAAGAAAAAGCACATAAATCTGTTATCAAATCTCATTTACTTCAAAATGAGGTTGATACATAACAATATTACGTTTTGATTCGTGTATTGACTTCCTTTTCGAGCCATTTTGAACATGATGATGTCTGGTTTAAAATTGTCTTTCTTATTTACGCAGGTATACATGCTGCTAAACATAATCGAATGAACCAGGATAAGAAAAACGCCTTGGTGTCACTCTTGTATATACTATAACTGTGTCTTTCTGTGTATTTTATCAACTGAGCCATATTGTGTCATTTAAGATTACCACAAAATCTAAATAATCAACGTAAACTATTATATTATACCCTCAATGAAACATAAAAACCATTGTTAATGATTAATTTTTAGGTTCGTTATGTCCATTATTACGGTAAACTACTTCAAGATAACCTGACATACGCATCGGAAGTGCTCTACGTCCATCAGATACGTTTAGAACCGGCGCCAATTTTCGTCGGGGGACAAGGAAGCGTATCGTTTAGTATATCGCAACAAGAAACGGCCACGGACGGTTCCGCGAGTGGCGGTGAAGTGATCGAAAAGTACAAAAGCTGTATGTACGAGGTGAAACGGAATCAAAACGCGGGTTTGATTCTCGAAACGGATAGTTGCGTGCCGATTTTCGGAGACGTTAAAGTTAAGTTTTACACGAAAAAACTCTACAAGGAAAAACAGTTTCATTTCTGGGTGAACACGTTCTTCGTATCGCGGTATAACGGACCGAATTCCGCGGGTGATATTGAATTGGTTTTAAGAAAAAACGAATTGGATATTGTTAATAAAAAGGATAAACAGAATAAAGCGTTTACTGAGGATTTTAAGGTACTTATTACTTTAATGATTAATTAATTAATCAATTAATTGACAACTTTAATTTCTAGGTAACCGTTGTGTTTAGGCGAGTGCCAAAAGATCCGACGCGTTGGGGCGCATCGCCCCCTAAATCAACTTGCCTCCACCAAGGTGGTCATCATCAAAGTACGACGACGACGACCACCATGTTACACGACCAAACGACGATGACGACGACCACCGGAAATAACGGACGAAATCAAACGTCGTTGCTACAACAGGACACGACACCAAGCGTGAGTTCGTCGGGTTCCGGAGACGACGATTCGCCGGAATGCGACGACGATGTCAGTCCGGAAAGTGACGAGGATGAGGACGACGACGACGACGAGGACGGCTGGGATAGTGGTGAGTGTCGAGGAATTATGATGATGATTGACGACCGAGGCAGAGGCGAATCTTCGCCGAACGTCGTTTTTGAAATTGTCGCCGATGATAAAAGTACGGCGGAATTGTTGATAGGTGAAAATATGAACAAAAAAGGATAAAAAGTGATTTTCAATTTATTTATTTTTGTAACAGTTAAAATTTGGCCTTGTAAAGATACGTTAAATTATTTTTTTTTGTACAGAACATGGTCAATAGATGGAGGAATATGGCATTTCAATTTCTTAAAAGTTTTCAACCTCTAAGAAATAATGAAAAAGGTATTATTTTAAATTTATCTAATTTTATAAAATAACTTTTTTTTAAACGTCAAAGTGACGTTTATAAAACGTCATTGAAGTTTAACCTCAAAATAAAATGAAAATAAGTGGATGTATGTGTAATTTAGGATTTTGATACTTAAAGAGTAATTTTTCCTTTTATTTATTGCTAACTAATAGCTATTAAGGTTAATTTGACATAAAAAGAAGACATTTTCATTTTAGGAAGACATTTTTCTTTAATTCATTATTTTAACTCATTTTTCTTTATTCAATTTATCAGACGTTGATAGAACCACTATATAGGCGAGATTTTTTAAGTAAAATTGTTATTATGTTATGGTTTAGGGCCATTAATCATTTATAATAGTAATTAAACGTCTATGTAGTTACTTCTTGAACGTATCCTTTAATTTTTGCGAAAACTTTCTTAGGTTGGTATCATCTAGGGTCCTTTTTTCTGAATTCTAGTAACATTTTCAATATTTAATTGAAAGAAATCTTCATTTCATTTCAATTATTTATGTATAAATATTAAATTATAAATTGAATTTTATCTTTTTGAATTACAAGATTTCAATTTGGCAACTGTCACCAACTTTACAACAATTTGACAGGTATTGAAAAGAATTCTTTTTCACAACCAACCATATTATTCTTAATGTGTATTTAGTTGTTTTCATTTCCTGAATGGAAAATTCTTTATTTATTCTTTATATCACATTTAGTGATTTGTTAAACGTACAGAAGGAATTGCTTCTTTTAATGAGGGTGTTTAGCACATTCCAAGAGTTTATGTTAAGTCAAAAGATCATAATGGCATCAATTACGATGTCTTTATCTTCATATAATACTCTCTAAATAGGATTATCTCAGTAAGGTGGCTTTAAACTGTATAAACCAAAATTCTTTTATATCAACCTAATTTTATATAAATTAATTTTTATCCAAACACAATCAATTTAGGTTATGTTTTATTGTCGGTATTATCGATTTTTATAAAACTAAATTGTTTAATAACAAACATTTAATTATAAACAGCTTAATTTAGCTCCAAATATGCTTTAATTATAAAAAAAATTAATTAAATCATTAATTAGAAGAAAATATTTTACAGGAATCTACACTACAATACCGACATAACCTATAAATTAAATATAGTGTTTTCGTGCTTGGATAAAGATGTATTTTTATAAAAGTTTTTGTGAAGTCTTTTAACGAGGTGAGCTTTTGAATTAGTATAACTTAGTACCTTGATTAATGCGTTTAAATCATTATGGCATCAATTACGATGTCTTTATCTTCATATAATACACTCTAAATAGGTATATCTCATTACTTTTAACAGTTTTCAAGATTTTAAAAGATTTAAATCAAAATGGACATATAATAAGGTGGCTCTAAACTGAATAAATCAAAATTCTTTTATATCGACCTAATTTTGTATAAATTTACTGGTTATTAACAAAAATTGTTATAAAAATTAATTTTTATCCAAAAACAATCAATTTAGGTTAAATTGTTTAATAACAAAAATTAAATTATAAAAAGCTTAATTTAGCTTCAAATATGTTTTAATTAAAAGAAAATAATTAGAATTAATTTATTAAATCATTAATTAGAAGAAAATATTTTACAGGAATCTACACTACAATACCGACATAACCTATAAATTAAATGTAGTGTTTTTTGTGGTTGGATAAAGATGCAATTTTGTTTAAAGTTTTTGTGAAAAGTCTTTTAACGAGGTGAGTTTTTGAATTAGTCTTTAGTTAGTACTTTATTTAATGCGTTTAAATGTTAAAAACTTAAATACACCCACTTCCACTTATTATTTATTATCATCCTGTCAAAAAAGAAATTATTTTGAGGTTATATTACTTCTAAGAATTGAAGCACCAATATATTCCCATCTATTGATTTTGATAAGTAATCACCATGATTAAAAAAGGCAGAAATAATCACAAAATTGAAAAAATTCTCTGTATATATTTCATGATCATTATTGCTTTAATATGTGCGCTTTTGTGAGGTGTTGCTTGAAAAGGATAAAAGCATGGTTATTAAAGAAAACGATCTAATTCTCGGTTGGAATAAAATTAATGTTGATCGTTTAATTTAATTGTTTTCATTCTTTGTTTTCTCTCTCTTTTCTTTCTCTCTGTTCTATTTTGTGTTCCCCCGCAGCATTGGAAATAGAGTCAACGTCAATGGATGATCGACAACCGAGAGAGTTCGGTTACCGATTGCTTTCTGAATCGGATCTGAGTTTCCCGTTGGGATCCACGTCGTCAGGTGGTGGTGGTGGTGGAGACCATCTAATGGCGGCTTAAACATTTAGATATCAACAAAATTTTTCGAATAAGAGTACAAAATAATCCTTAAATAAATAAAAACGTACATTTAAAGCACACACACAAATATAACACTATATATAAACACGATAATGATATCTATTTATATTAGTATTTCAATTAAAAAAAATAAAATTGTTTAAAAATTAGTTTTGACGAGTTTTATTTTGTGCTTTTTGTTTCGAAAAAAAAACTAAGCCATCTTATTTTTCTTCTTTTTTTTTTTATTCTTTTGTTGTGTTCATAAACATAACCTAGTTTTTTATGTTTATTTTCCAGGCGAATCGACGTACTTGTGATAATTAAGTGGAGAAAATGATTGGAATGAAATGAAATGATAATAATAATTTTGTAGTTGTGGGTTATTTGTGTTGTTTAAGCGCTTTTTTCTCTAAGAGCATGCTTTTTTTGTATCATACCATCATCACCATCATATCAAAACCAATTAAAACCGATTAAGATAAAGGTGTACAATAATAATAATAACGATATGTCGAGGATGACATTTTTATTACTTTTTTGTATACCACCGAAATGAAAAAGGTTAAAAATAAGGAAAGAAGTAGAAAGTACAAATTTTTCTTTGTGTAGGGATCTCATTAATTGATCGTAATTGTTAATTTTAATTAATTAATTTAATCTTTCAGTATACGCGCTTACACAGTCACTTTTGTCGGGCAAAAGATGGCGTTTGTTAGAAGTTATTAAATTTTAAATTTATTATTTACTTCTTTGCACTAGAACTAACATCAAACCTAGAACTAGAATCATTCGGGTTTAGTTCTATGTTTACTGTTAATTTTGGTTTTAGTTTAATAAAAATATACAACAATCTAGCACTGAATAACAAATAAAACTAGAACTAACACTAGACCTGGAACTAGAAAGCTGCAAAACTAGAACATTTTTGATAAATTCACCAGGTGGCGCTATATTCTGGTAAAAAAATGAACGTTTTTGAGGTTATCTCAATCATTATTTATGATATCAAATTTTTTTGTTAACAATATTTGTTTAGAATTAAATTACACACAACTTTTATTAACAATTTTTTTTAAAATAACATACTAAATTTAATTTCCCTCTGAATAGTATGGTATATCAAAGTAATTTTTAACCAAATTATAATTTTTATCGAAAAATGTTTCAAATAATATTTGTTTAAAATAAAATTTGAGATCGATTATTATAATAAAAAATTTTGATATCTCCACCAGGTGGCGCTATATACTGATATAAAAATGAATATTTTTGAGGTTATCTCAATAATTATTAATGATATCAAATTTTTTTGTTAACAATATTTGTTTAGAATTAAATTACACACAACTTTTATTAACAATTTTTTTTAAAATAACATACTAAATTTAATTTCCCTCTGAATAGTATGGTATATCAAAGTAATTTTTAACCAAATTATAATTTTTATCGAAAAATGTTTCAAATAATATTTGTTTAAAATAAAATTTGAGATCGATTATTATAAAAAATTTTGATATCTCTACCAGGTGGCGCTATATACTGATATAAAAATGAATATTTTTGAGGTTATCTCAATAATTATTAATGATATCAAATTTTTTTGTTAACAATATTTGTTTAGAATTAAATTACACACAACTTTTATTAACAATTTTTTTTTAAATAACATACTTAAATTTAATTTCCCCCTGAACAGTATGATGATATATCAAAGCAATTAAGGGCATTTCTAACTAAATTTTAGAAGCTTTCTAGTTCCAGGTCTTTTGTTTGTTCTAGTTTTAGTTCTATAAATATATACAACAATCTAGCTAACACTAAACCTAGAGAACACTACATTTCAAAAATATTACTATTGATTAAAATATTGTCATTTGAAACAGAAATTAAAAATTTTAATTGCGCGCGTGTATTGAAAGGTTAAAATGTAAATTAATCAATAAATTAGATAAAACGTCTTGCCGATGTTGTTTTTTGCTATAAATGCCATTTTTTTTTCTTAAGTATAACTTAATTAATTAATTGACAAAGTAATTAATTTGGAAATTGAAACAAAAAAAAAGTAAATGTGATAATAACCTAAATATTTTTTATTATAATATAAAAAAATTGTTTTAAATTTTAAAAAGTAGGTTATTTTTTTTTGTACATTGTAAATATGTAAGTGTGCTTTTTCTTAATTTAATAATTAATTTTTTTAGCCCAATTTTCTGTTTACAATGCCAAATTTTCAAAGATTTGAATTATAATTCCCAGTGAATTATATCACACGGATTAAATTGGATTAGTTTGTTTTTCTGTCCTTTCTTTGAACTTTAATTTTCATTTTTTTTTAAATTAATTTTAGTAATGAGCGATACTTAACTAACGAAAAAACAATTAATAAATTAAATAAACGTGACATAAGAATAAGATGTAAATATTTTTTCACACAATGCCTTTTTGAAGAAAAAAAATTAATTAAAACCATTTTAATTTATTTATTTTTATGTCATTTTAATTTTTTTTTTTAAGTTTTTTCACGATATAAATTATATACCTATACTAAGTGAATTCAGATGTGATAGCTCCCGTAGTTTATAAACTAGAAATATAACTGGAAATAATAAATTTAAAAAGGAAGGGAAATTAAACAAAAAAAATTAATACATATTAATATAAATATAGTAATTAGAGAGGATGGAAAATTTCTAATTAAAAAAAAAAGTGTGTGCATATTGACGAATATTTTTATAATAATATGTACGAAAAACGTCTATATTAGAAAACGCCCTTAAAAAAGTTACAATCGAAAAACGAGTTTAATTTTTTATTACTAATTTGCGAAACGACGATCGAATTAAAAATTTTAACCACATCAAATAATTAAAATTAGAAAGTGTTTTTTTTAACTATTTAAATTATTGTATTTTCTCCACTTGTTGTATATATATTTTTTTTTCTATTATTATTTGTTTTTAAACACACATGTTAGATCTGAATGCGCACTTTTCAATCAATAAAAAGAGGAAAAAGAAATAAATTGTATTAAAATATTTATTTAATTTTTTTTTTAATTTTGGAGTAATTTATCCTCACAAAAATCCGATTTCCATATCCTTATAAATCGAAAAATTTAACGCAAATTATTGTTATCATTGTTTATTATAAATAACTTCACTTCCAGTCATTTTCATATCCTATTTTCTTTACATTCTCCTTTTATTGATTATTATTGATTAAAACTAAGTTATTATTTCCTTTTTTTGTACAGATCTAATCCCGTTGCAACAGTCCCAGAGATCCAAAACCTTAGTTCACTTCCTATAAGTTAATAAAAACCAGTCGGATTATCAATATAGAAGGATTTTGAAAAATGAATAAGAACAACAGAAAAGTGTAAATCTAAATTATTAAGTATTGAAGGTAAGTGATAATAATAATCTTTATTTGTTTGTCAATACAATACAAAAACGTCAAGAACAAAAAAACAATATACAGGGTAATTCAAATTCGACCCCCACCATTGGGATCTCACAAACCATAAGAAATACATGAAATGGTTAAATAGGGGCAAAGTTGCTCATCATTTTTCAACAAAGTTTTTGGATCTAGCCGTTTTACAACAATTTTTTTGAATTTTGCAATTTTCGCTTTCGATTAAGTTTTAAAAATTCCTATAAAATCCAGTTCTTGGATTATGAGTATGAAAATTTCCCAAAATGTTAATAAAAGTGCCCTCTTTCCAATGAACCAACCCATTTTGAAAAGTAATTTTTAGTTTTTGAGAAACTAAAGTGGAAACTATTAGTGTCTTCATTTTTTATGGTCATGGATCCTTTGTTCTGCATACTTCCAATGCCTTCCTTATGTCTATATTTTGTGTCTTTAATAATGTCGTTTTAGTTTCATTATTGTTTATTGTCTATTATTGTCGTGTTTTGCCTTCCAGTTGTCAGAATAGAGAAATACTTTGAAATAGTATCCTTGATAATTGCCCATGTTATAAATTATAAAATTGTATGTGGCAATTTTGGTTTTGTAATAAAATGTACTAATTTTTGACTGAGGGGTCACCAATACCTTTTGAAGATCCTCAACCATAGATAACTTATATAGATGTGACATTTACGTAAAATTTTTGTACACGGCACCAGCGCTCCGAACGGCTCGGCCCATTACTAATATTAAATAGCGGCTAACGTGATAAATCTTAAATTTAAAATTTTCTAATTTTTTTGTGTGGAATTAAATAAAAAAATAAAAGACATTTGTGGATTTTAATAATCTTTTTATTAAAATTATTATCATAAACATAAAGTCTTATTTTAATATAAAAGAACAATAACTATAAACAATGTGTAATGATTAATGATACACTGTTAAAAATTTTACGAAGTGATTTAACTCTTTCGGTATGTATAAGTAGTGGTAGTGGTAAATTTAACTAAATTCTGATAGGTTGCAACACATTTGAGAGTCAAAATAACTTTGTTAAAAATACGATGTTAATCTGTTTATTCCTCACAGTGTAACTTTGCACTTTATAACACCTTATACCCCTTTCCATTTTGTAGCTTAAATGTAGTGCCAATATTTTGTCATCAAGTGTATAACGCCTTCTTCCTTCGTTGTCATATTGGCTCAAAAAAAAAGGATTGTTTTAGTCTGTCTAAACTTGAAATTGACTGCTTAAAAAGTTGTCTCTTTGGTAATAATTTTCTTTTATTTCTTTAGGATGTTATACTCTGGCGCTGGAATTTCCTCTTATACATCACTGCTTTCCTGTATAAATGTTGGGCTTTTGGTGATAAGTCGTCTTGTTTGTTTCCAATAAACTCTCCCTTTGTTTAGCTGTCAAAAATATCCAATAATGATCCCGATTAACGCTGTTTCCCCATTAAGCGGGGTTACCCTGTAATATGAAATCAAACTTTAAAAACATTATACTACATTCTTTTGTAATAAAAGGGAAATTCACGTTTTTTGAATGATGTTTCGTTTATTAATAAATAACTCTTATTAAGAGTTATATGCCATTATAGGTAATTTAACCAGAGATTTCAAAATAAACGATTTATAAAACACATAATTTCTTACCTGAAGTCTCCAATGAGATTGCACTGGTGGATGTTGAAGCAACCTAAAGTCCCATATCTGCATGTGGAGTAGTGGGCGTGTTATTCGAAGCACTTGAAGTACTGATATCCTACATGTGAAAAAAAATATGCCTCAGTCCTAACAACATTTTGATAATTTTATACACATACCTATTGGCAAATTTAATGATGGTACTACTCCTTTCAACAATTTGTTNAAAACCAAATTTTTGTTTTTAAAAATGTTTATTTATATCAAATGTAATACGAAAGTCGGTTAGTAAAGAATCCTTACTGAAATGGAACACTTCGCTATGAAAAAAATTATGAAATTACCTATATTAATGAAAATATTGAGGAATCAAATCAAAAAATAAAGGAACAACGTTGCTTATTCTGGCCTTGAAACGTTTTTTCCTACTGTTTTATATATTCCCTGCAGCAATCAGTTCTTGATAAAAACGTTTTTTGTTGTCGGGTAAATATTCCGACATCGACATAAGATCTGCTTTTTTTGATGCGGTTATAGTACTTAGTGGAGCATCATATAATTTTGGTAGTGTAATAATAGACGGCGCTACAATATTTGGTCTACGACAGCCTCGACGTTTTTTCAAAAGATCATAGTGCTTCCATTCTTCTAAAACACTATGACTCGTTCTTAATCGTAGAACTCCAGGTTCTTCTGCAGTAACTTGCAGCCATCGTGCCTGGGTTCTTTTAAGGCTAGGATCTCTTTTAAAAAGTTTTTCAACAGAATCAAGATTTAAAAAATTAATCTGAGTCATTTTAAAAACTTCAAAGGGATTTATCCGGCGTAGATTGGCCAGGAACTCCACCAGATCATCAGGCTCATACAGTTTACACAGTTTTTTATTCTTCTCAATCAGAGCAAAATCCCTATCACAGGGTAAAAAACTATGCCCACTCACCAAAAACTTTTGATTAACTTCAGAGAAATATCCCAAATAAGTGAAATAGGTACACAATATTACCATTTTAAAGTTATTATTCTGGCCAATGCAGCGGTCTGACCAGATTGTTAACTTCCGTTCTTGCCCTGCTTGAAGTACACTGAAATAATGCACAACATGCTGAATAAGGCATAACGTAATTTCAGCGGAACCGCGTTTAGGTACAGATTCATGCCATAAATACATGGTTACTTGTGAATTACCCATGTTATGCACAGCATAATTATAATTTGAATATTGTCTTTGGTAGAAAACATCCGAGTGTGTTAAATTAGGTGTGAACAACACCTGCTGTAAATCAACACACAAAACTACAAAATCTTGATTTTGTTTTGCAGTCTCTGCATCCCTATGCAAGGTTTAATAAGCTTTTTCGGCCTTTCTGTGATGAAGTTCAGCTTCTGCAGCAATTTTATTTCGAGTTTCAACATCTTCGGTAGCAATAAGTTTAATGTAATATTACAGGTGTCTGATCTTGGGGTACCGAATCTTAAGTCAAAGTCTGACTTAAATATGTTTCTGTATGTATTATACTTAATAGGTGAGTCTGGGTATTTCTCTATGTACAGTTGAAACATTTTTTGTATAGATAGAGATGGATCAAGACATTTTTTCTTATTAGAAGACCTCGAATAATGACTCTCTTGAGCAGGAAAGCTGGTAATGTGAAACTTAATGGTATCAATATGAAAATCAGGTATTTTATGAGGACGGTTTAGATGAAGGTCCCTTTGATCGACAATCATTTTATGGAATTTTATTTTATGTACTAGTAGCTGTAACCGCCGACGTGTGACACTTAACACGTTACATAAAGATTTCTGACATACATTGAGCCGTCCATTTTTAGTTATTAGTGAATATTTTACTGTACAATGTCTGGTAGAAACTTCTTCAGCAATACGTCTTCTTTTAGGCTCCATCACATCTATACAGCCTTGCAAAAATAAATTTTGTTCATTGTAAGTTTTCTTATAAAAGTCTGTGTGTAAATCTAGTTTTTCTTCCTCAGTAATATTTTTACAACCCATATATTTACATTTACACTGTAAATCCTATAACAGAATGGTAAAACGAAAATGATGACATGGAATGAAACATGACTTGGTCCCAGTTTACCGCTCACTGGTTTTCCCCTTCGACTTATGTAGGGTTTTCCTGCATCTTTTAACATCTTCCTTTTGAAATCCTTCCTGTTTGTAATGTCTATTTTTCTTCTTTTACGTTTATTAATATCGTTTAACTCAGTTGAACTTACGCGAATTGTTGACTAAAACGACGCCATGTCGGTATTAGCAACGTTGTTCTGCTGTTTACGTTTAGCGCTCTAGGTTACTAACATAACTTTGGCAAAGACAAAAACATTATTTCTGCTTGAACCCTAAAATATGGATAAGTATTAGTATAATCAAAGATGTTCCATAAGAAAATCATATTTCACATTTTTGTCGTTTGCAACGTTATTCGCGGGAAGCATTCAATTATACCATGAAGTTTTCTTTGGCAATTATAGCGTGAAGTTTTCTTTTGTAATGTCAATTATAGCGTGAAGGAATGTTAGGTAAGGTTAGTTTTGTTTACAAACATTAATTATACCTTAAAGTTTTCTTTGGCAATTATACTCTGTTTTTAAACCAGGAGGAGTATTTTAAATTTGTCACCAGATTGACCTTGCACGTGATTGGTTGAATGCGAGGAAGGTTCACACACAGACAATTTTGATTTTGAATTTGAAGGTTAGGTTATTGACAATTCGACAGTTTCGTGTCATTATTGTATATTTTGTGTTCTTAAACCCTTCTTTATTATATTTTGAAATAAATACACTCATAACTGCAATGTTAATTTGTATGTTTAGTGTTGACGATAACAAACGAAAATAAATACAATAATAAGTAAATAAATAAATAATAATTATTATTAATTTAAATTTACCGCCAAAATATCTAGTGATATTTTCTGGTGATTTTTCCTAGTGTAAATCTGACTTTCGCGTTTACTCCTCCTGGTTTAAAAACAGAGTATAGCAAGGTTTTGTCTTTATCTTTTAAAGACTTTGCTGTAATTTTATTACTCAAGTGCATATTGTATTTTTTTTGCATCTTTAACTGCATTTTCAAAAGCAGTACAATGTTGGCACTGATCTTTCTTGGACTTTTTCTTGGACTTGGATCTTTCTTGGACGATACTGTCTCTGGGTTGTTATGTTTGCTACAGGTTCTGAACTCTTTTTAGCATATTTAGTATACATGCGATACATTTTTGAGATATTTAGACCGTTTTCCAAATACATTTCGTTTGGATTTTTCCTAATGTTATGGGATGGCTTTCCACTTTCTCTGATTTTCTTTAAAGCAGTTATCACCCATGTCTCCGATATTCCTAGCGTATTGCAAAAATATTGTTTTGCAAATTCCTTTGGTTTTCATCAAGTTTTTCTTGGTACTCACTTCTGCAGTTTTCTTCGCATGACACTCCCATTTTTCTAGAAGCTAATACATTGCCTTTTCTATTTTCATGTTCAATTCCTGAATTTAGTTCTATCTTAGCTGCTTTGTCTTTCCAATCATTTTTTTTATCGACAAAATTAGCAGAATTTACTGAATATAACGAACAAATTCTCCAGATTAGTTAATACGAAGTAATATTTATCAACTTGGATATTGTTATGGTTTTAACCTCGTGAAAAATTAAATTAATTAGGGAAATTGTAATCCTAACCTCAAAAATTTTATTATGAGTTTTATAGTAACTTATCAAGAAAACTTTTCGTATTGAAGGTGAGAAGAGTTTTTTTTTAATTTGAATCAACAAAAGAAAACAATAAATTATAAAAAAAATAATTTAACTTACCCAATTTGTTTTAATGAAAACTTCGGAAGGTCAAACTCAGGATAATATTTTCTTCGTGACAGGAACAGTTGGATTCAGAATTTCGATGGTTGTGAAGAGAAACGGATATTTTTTTTCACACTCGTTAAACGTAGATTAATTTTTTTTGAGACCAAAAAAAATGCGTGCGTTTCTTCAAACATCAGAAACCACCATGTTTGTTGATAAATTCCGTTTTTCGAATGTTAAATTTTCAAATAACGTCGCCTGATTGGTTAAATTCATTGGTTTGAAATTCGTACTTTAGTTTTTTCAAGGTCACCAACTTTGACATTTGAAATATCTCTAATTCAATTTGTCAAATTATTATTTAAAAATTTTAAAATTATTTATAATTATGCATGATATTTCATAACTTTGATGCTCTTTTAAATCAATTTTCAAATATCTATTCATTTTCTTCTGATTTAACGATAAATTTTCCAATATGTTCAAATTAATTTTGTAAATTTTCATCAAATTTCATTATTCCATACAAATATTGATCATTTTCTTTGTTAACTAAGTTAAGGTTATCGTTTTCGATAGGTTTGAACCGGGTAGATAAAGATTTAAATAAATAATTTAAAAAAAATTAAATTGAGGTTATGTGATATCGAGAATTTTTTAAATTACTTCGTATCGACTTTACAAGTGATATGTTAGGATTAGAACATTAAAGAACAATAAAATGTATCGAAATTCACTAGGGAATAGCATCTATTTTCAAATTCTCCAAAAAACATTCTTAACTTTTATGTAACATTTAAATTGGGTACATATTATTTAAATTAAAATTATTACAAGATTAATTAATCAATAAAACTTTTTGACATAAAAAAAAAACTGAATACATCTTTTTTTTTCATTATTTTACATTTAATTTTACGTAGCGACTTCCTCCACCATTTCAACATTCTCCATAGTCTCATCTAAAACGACCAAAACGTCATTAGTAGCTTCTTCATCTTTCAAAATCATGTTACTGGCGTTTAAACCTTCAGAAACCATCTCGTATTCACTCTCAGTTTCCATTAAACCTTTATCCATCTCAAAAACTTCGACGGTTTCCCCCGCATGATGTTCCTTAATATGATCCCTTAACGCGAAAGATCTCGCGTACGAAGCCCCGCATAAACAACAACTATATTTTAAGTTATTTTCTCGTTTATGCGTTTCCATATGGGCCCTAACCGCGTATAATGAAGCGAATGGCCGATTACATTCGGTACAAGTGAATGGTTTGATGTGACTATTTTTATGCCCGGCTAATTGTACTCCCGTTTTAAAGGCTTTTGGGCAATACGGACATTTATAATTCCTCGCGGTTGAATGAGTTAATAAGTGGTGATTATAAACGCTGTGGGCTTTAAAGCGTTTTCCGCAATGATTGCATTGATATGGTCGCGCCCCTGAGTGAGTTCTCATATGCAAAGTTAAACAATAACTAACGCGGAAAGCTTTTCCACAAATTTCACAAACGTGTGGTTTTTCCCCGGTGTGGATTCGTTCGTGTTTAACTTTTTCGTGAGGTCTCATAAACCGGCGGCCGCAATATTGACATTCGTACGGTCTACTTTGACACAAATGTTTAACGTGATTTTGTAAATTTTCGTAATTTAAAAACGCTTTTTTACAATAAGAACATGTAAATTTTTTCCCATTCGAGTGCACCCTCATGTGCATCTCGAGGTTAGTTTTAGTATAAAACTTGCGATTACAAATTTCGCAATCGTAATTTTGTTCCTCAGTGTGACTTTTCATGTGGACCTCTTCGTATTCTTTGTCGTAGGTTTTATTGCAAATGTGACAGACGAACATGACTCGAACGCCGATTTTATCGCCGGTGTCTTCGCCTAAAATTCCGTAATGCGCGGGGGGTTCGATTTCTTTCGCTTTAACGGGTTCGTGCATTCTACTGTGTAAGCGGAGAGATTTGAACGAAGGGAATTCCGTGGAGCAAAACTCGCAAACGAAAGTGTCGGTTTGATCTGATTTTTCGTTGTTGTGACTTTTCATGTGAACGCTTAAGGAGCGAACGGTTTGAAATGTAGCGTTACATTTATTGCATTTATGTTCGTTTGAGTTATTTTTTGGATTACATTTGTGTCTGTAATATTGTTCTAATTTGCAAAAATTTAAGCTGCAATTCGAGCATTGATGGATATCTAACGTGTTTTTTTCGATTTCTGGGGCATCGTCGTTGAGTTTGCTGACTTTGTTGTTCTCAACGACGTATTTATGGGTTAAGGGAGGGTCTTTGATTTTTTTATTTTGGTCGTCGTTCCAAAATTTCTCAATTTGAACCACTTTTCGGGTATAAACGCGACCGTCTTTATCTAAAATCTCTTCTTGTTGTAATGTATTTAATAAGTCGGCGTTTGAGTCTTCGTCGAGGATTTCTTCGGAATCTTCGTGGTCTTTATTCATGACGACGAATGATTTTTCAACATCTTCTTGTTGCTCATCGGTCTAGAAATAAAATCATCATGTGATAATAACCACCTTAAAAATAAAGAGAAAGTGCGGAAAGTGACGATATATACAAAAATACAACTTTTAATATTGCATTGTAACAAATAGTATATAAAACAGCATAAAATAGTATATTATTATACGAGCATAAATATTATAAAGTTTAAACGTCACAGTGACACAAATTCAATGTCACCAACTGTAACCAACTTCACAACAATTTGTCAAAATTAAATGTCAATTTTATGAAACGTCATGCTTTTTTACGATGTTTACGATCATCTCTCTAAAAATGTAAGACTTCTCAGAATAGACAGATTAAAGCTCATTTAAACTCATTTTGTAACTCATCTTATCCATTTTACAAATAAATTTCTTAATATTTATTTTTATTTCGTTAAAAAAGATCACATATCAAAGTCGAAATCAGATTATTAGTTACTAATTTACAAAATAAGTGTTGGGAACGAAACTTGGGAAAATTCAAGAATCAACGATTTTTTTTAATCAACCCAAAAAACACGTTAAAAATAAAAAGAAAACACGGAAAAGTGACCAACACTAGATTAATTTCAGTTATAAAACTTCTATTATATATTAACTAACTTCAGGTTTAAAATGTCAACCTCAATTTTGACATATTTGTAATCTTCATTAAAAATCCTTTAAAATGAGTACAAACACGACATATTTGTCTTCAATATTAATGAAGTTAAGTCCAACTTCCGGTTAAGAATGTCAACATCAATTTTGACATATTTGTAATCTTCATTAAAAATCCTTTAAAATGAGTACAAACACGACATATTTGTCTTCAATATTAATGAAGTTATCGCCAACTTCCGGTTAAGAATGTCAAAATCAATTTTGACATATTTGTAATCGCCGTGAAAAATCCTTTAAAATGAATCCAAACATGATACGTTTAATTCCAATATTAAACGAGATATAAGCAACTTCCGGTTTGAAATGTCAACGTCGTTTTGACATATTCTTAATTTTTATAAAATGTGTTAAAATTTGTCACAAAAACAAAAATATAATAAAAAAAAAATAAAAAATTAAGGTTGGTATTAAAATTTAAACTATCTTCATTGTTGCTAACTTCGGGTTTAACGTTTTTTATTCTAACTATTTTATTTTTTGAGATAAATGCATAATGTTTGGTCTCATTTTAAAGATTTTTTTAATGAAGATGACGAATATGTCAAAATTGACGTTTCAAACCGAAAGTGATGTTGTGATATTGACAAATATGTCAAAATTAAAAGTTGAAAGTACGAACGTTTTATTTTTTTGAGATAAATTTGGTTTGGACTCACTTTAAAGGTTATCTTATAAAGATTACGAATATAATAATAAAATTAAAGTTGACATTGAGAACTGTCAAATTATTGGAAAGTTGGCAAAATTAACTAACAGGGAATTTTGTTTTATCATGTTTTGAATCAAGTCACACTGACGTCAGTGATGAAGACGCATAAAAAATGTTTTGGGGAGTTTATTTGCCATTTGTTTACCTAAAAAAAATGTTTTGTTCTATTTCATTAGTTTGTAGCACGTTTTTACAATAAATAATGAATTGTCGCCATCTTTTCTACGAACTTTCGTCGCCTTGCAATACCAACCTGTGATATTGGTTGCATACTTTCGAAGATGACGTCGGATCCGATAATTAATTAACACACTGTATGTACTCCGAAGGTTAAAAGTATTGAGTTTATTAAAAATGTATATTTAATGTATGGGATTTCACAAAAGTAACATTTATTCACCTCACCAATTAAAGGTAAAAGCATCAGGTATAGATTTTAGGTTATCTTTAGTTTATGGTAGATGGTAAACAACGACATTTTAGGCGTTATTTGTTGAGAACCTAAGTAATAACCATATTTCACTCGAAAATATGCGTTTTAACCAAATGTACTGCCAAAATAAGTGGTGACGTCACAAAAAGTGAGGTTACGTGATTTTTCGGCAAGGTTTACACTTTTCCGTACTTTTTTTTTATTTATAACGGCTTATTTCAGTAATTTCCCGTTGATTAAAAAAAATTAGACCTTTATTCTGTTACATTGCGATAAAAAGCAATCTAACCTCACTTTAAAAAAAAATTTATATTATACCTCAACAAAAACTTCTTGTCCCTCATGATATTTCTCTAAATGCTCCCCAACTGAAGTAAAACTAATTGCACAAGTTGAGCAATAAAAACATTCCTCCTCCTCGTCGTCATTTCTTTCATTTTGCTCCACACATTCTTCTTCAACTTCCATTCCGCTAATTTCAACTTCTTGTTTTTCAACATCCTTATCATTTCTTAAAAGGGCTTTAGCTAAGATGCTATTATTAATTTGCCCATCTAAATCTTTGTCTACTTCCGTTTTTATTTGTTTATTAATAACCTCACAGGATTCTTGGTTGTTTTCTTCCACTTCATTATCTTTTCCACACCTCCTTCCAATGTGTTCGGCTAACTCTAAGATTGAATCGAAACGTTGGGAGCACTCGATGCAGTGCAAATTATCGTTTATGCTCAGTAGATGATATTTGAGACTGTTGTGCGATTCGAAGGTTTCATTACAACATAACGGACAACGAATCGTTAATTTGTCGACCATTTCGTGGTCTTATACGTGCCGTTAGACACGTCCTATCAAAAAAAAGGAGAATTAGTCTTTGAGATGAGGACCAAAAGAAACTTTTTTTGAATTTTCGTTGCTAATTTCTTAAGTGTTAATAATTAAATAACTTCATACCGAACGAGCCCGGTTTTTTGGAGAGAAACTTTGCGCTGAAGTTGGATGATCGAGTCCGTGAACTTATGGCGTCAGCTTCACGTCTTACAATGCTGCCAACTGTAACGACGCGTAAACAAAAAAATTTTTTTTCTTTTGAAATAATCAATAAAAAACGCGAATTTAATTTAAATTTTTTTTATTAATCGTTAATTTTAATCAATTAAAGTATTTTTTAATAAAAATTAATTATAAAATGATTAGGAATTAATTTTATTTGATTAATGGTACCAACCTTATTTATTTATTTTTTTCTAAAAAAAAAACTAACCTAAAAATTTAATCTTTTTTATAAACAAATAAATTAATTTTATCAATCATTATGTTCGTGTTGTGCTTCGGATTCCCTCCAATTACTCTGAATCGTATCAACAATCCATTTCCACCATTTCGATTTAGTAAAGTAATAAATCGCGCAAATAATAATAAAGCTCCACGATAACCCCAAAAAAATATCGGTTTCTTTCGTTGGAACGCTAGAAATAGGACCAGCAAAGTCAGCGGATGTAACAAAACTCTTTTCAGCCGGTAAAATACGCGTATGTTTCGTTATAAACTTAATAAAAGTATCTAAATTGTAATCAGAATAATTAAATTTCGCCGCAGCGCGTCCGTTATGAAACAACAATAACGATGGGACTCCAACAATCCCATTTTGGGTGTTAAATAAGTGATACATCATCGCGTTTATAGCCACCATTTTAATATCAGGAAAACTTCTTGGTAAAGCGTTAAAATGCGGAGCCGCCATACTCGAGAAAGGACAATATTTCGAATAAAACAAAACCACGACGCAATTTGCGGCTTCTTCTCGACTTGTTATGTTTGAATTCGGTAATAATAGCTTTAAAAGCTCTGTATCATTAACTAATTGTACTTCAGAACTTCCAAAATTTGAGACACACGTTATGTATTTTTGAGTGCTATTTACAGTCGAATTGGCTTCTAATCCATCTTCTTTGACTATCGTTGTGTTTGTTGAGCCTGAATATGTAGGTAAATCGGATTCTTTCACCTCCGAAGTTGTTTCTTCGTTACTCGCGGGAACAATCGGGATGTTATCCAAAAAAATTGGATCGTTATCGTCTTCATGACATGTATTTACTAAAAATAATGAAAATTATAAATAATAAATATTGAAATTAACGCTTTTACGTTTTAAAAGTGATAAGAAAACGAATAAAATTGCTGGATTCAACTTCATGATTTTCTAACCTAAAATTTTTTAAATGTCATTTGACATATTTGACAGTTAATGTACAGGTCATATCAAAATTATTAATTCTAAAATAAGATTTTTATTTGATTTTTTTTTTACAATTTAATTTTAGAGTTCTCCAGGCATCTTTTCTCCATCCAAAGCGGCTAAAATGTTCTTAACGGTCATCATAGCCATATTTTTCCTAGTTTGAATAGATGCACTTCCAATGTGTGGTAAAACAACGCAATTTTTGAGCATAAATAGTTTATGATTAACCGGTAAAGGTTCAGGGGTGGTTACATCTAATCCCGCTGCCCAAATCGCCCCCGATTCTAACGCATCAACCAAATCATCTTGATTAACCACACCCCCTCGACTCGTATTTACAAAAACCGCCGATTTTTTCATCATTTTAAAGACATCTTTGTTAAATAAACCCTCCGTTTCGGGTGTTAAAGATATCGTAGCGATGATAAAGTCGCTTGTTTTTATTAAGGTATCAAAATCGACTCTTTTAGCGCCGATTTCTTCGGCTTCTTTGCTTTTTTCTGATCGATTGTGGTACAAAATTTGTTTTACATTGAATGGTTTTAACATTTTTGCCACTGTTTGGCCTATTCTACCGAAACCGACGATTCCTACGGTGGAATTACTTAATCCAGGGCCACACATCCAAAATGGGGACCAAGTTGACCATCTCCCATTTTTTGCTTCTTCATTGCTTTCTAATAACCTCCTACTTGTTGCTAATAATAAAGACATTGTTAATTCAGCTGTGGCGTCTGTTAAAACACCCGGGGTGTATCCAATTTTAATATTTCTACTTTTTAATTCTTTTAAATCTAAATGATCATAACCTACAGACATGGTTCCTAATATTTTTAATTTATTAGCTTTTTGAATCACTTCTAAATCTATTTTATCGGTTAATAAACAAAATAACGCATCTTTATTTGGGATGTTTTTTAAAAGTTCTTCTCTAGGGACAGCACCTGGTCCTAACCACATTGAAACATCAAATCTATGAAAAACATCATTAATAAGTTAGGTTATATTAAGTTTAAACGAAAATACTACCGTTCTTTTAATAAATTAAAAGCTTCCTCGTTAATTTCTCTTGTTAAATATAAAGTTGGTTTTGCCATTGTGGAGTAATAATTGGGGTTATAATATTGTTTTGATTTTTTGATAATAGATGACGTTTTGAATAAATTAACTCTTGATTGTACTATTTTTAATAAAATCATTGGTAATTAATTAATTAATTAGTTAAAAATGTTTATTTTTGAGTAAAAAATGGACTTTAGAACTTAAAAGTTAGGTTATGTTTTCATCTAAATATTATATATCTAAAACGCTTTCAAGATGATAATTTATTAAAAATACATCTTAATCGTTATAAATTGTTTAAAAAAAATTAATAATAAGTAAATAAATAAAGTATAACAAAAAATAAGTCAATTCAAAAGAAATATGTAATGCCAACCTAAATAGTATTTAGGTTGGCGTTACATTTTTAATATATTTTTAATAAATTAATAAGTAAATGAAATATTAATTGTTATGCATTATTTGATTTAAAATTTATTAAAAAAATATCTAAATCATTAATATTTTATAAAAACATCTTCATTTCTAAATAATAAGTTAAAAAAATTTTTTTTTTGACATTTCCATATGTTTATGACGTTGACAGTTCGAAAACTTGTACAGTTGGAACTTGACGTTTTCTCATAATAATTTCGATTAAAAAATAAAGTATGTAAATGGTTCAGTAATAAGTGTGGTGTAAAAAGAGACGGAAAAAATGGGGTTACCCGGAAATGGTATATTCGTGGTGCGTGGGGAAATGTCGAACTTGATGACGGCGATGCGAAGGAGCTCGCGTTGGACTTCGCATTCGCACCAAGACGAAAATTTGGACCCTCTCATGAAATCGTTGCAAGATCTAAAAACGTTATTGAACAGCGTTGAGGATTTGCGCCAAATTGAGCCTATAATTTTTTTAAATCCTTTTTTAGATGTGATTAAATCAGAAGATACAACCGGTCCTGTTACAAACTTAGCCCTTTCGGCGGTAAATAAATTTTTATCATACAGCTTATTAGATCCATCTCATGCCAACATTTTATCAACAATAAAAAGCATAGCTGATTCAATAACTCGAGCGAGATTCGTTGGAACAGATCAATCATCAGATAGCATTGTTTTAATGAAAATCCTACAAGTTCTAAGAACACTAACTTTATCCCCAGAAGGGGCTTCATTAACCAACGAAAATATATGCGCCATTATGTTGAGTTGTTTCAAAATATGTTTCGAAACACGATTAGGAGAATTATTAAGAAAAACCGCCGAATTATACTTAAAAGACATGGTTCAACTCGTTTTTATGCGATTACCCCAATTCCCCGACGTGTATTCAGGGGGCACAAAGTTTCGAATGCGACCAGGAGCCGTCGAAGCTACCAGAACTAAACGAAAATCAAGAAATTCGTTTCGTGGTAAAAATAAAGTTGAAAATAAACAAGATAAAAGTCAAGAAGATGATAAATTAATTCCTAAACCAAATTTAACCTCAATTTCTCCAAATGAATCACAAAGTATTCAAAATATTGTAGATATGCAAGGTTCAATTTCTCAAGAAAATTCTAATCAAGAAAATATTAATCAAGAGAATACAAATTTATTTCAAGAAAATATGGAAAAAGAGAAAGATGAGGAATTGAAAAATGAAGAATCACTTCATGAATCAATAAATAATGATGATAATGAACAAGAAATTGTGGAAAATGTTGAAAACATTGATCAAGAATATGTTAATCCACGTGGAATAAGATTTACACCTCAATCCCAAGAAGAAGAAACTTTAATTCCTTATGGTTTAGCTTCAGTTCGAGAATTATTTCGCTTTTTAATCAGTCTTTGTAACCCGATGGATCGCCAAAACACAGAAGTTATGACTCAAGTTGGTTTGAGCCTCCTCACGGTTGCATTCGAGGTCGGCGCAGATAGCATCGGGAAATATTCAAGCCTCCTAACCCTAGTAAAAGACGATTTATGCCGAAATTTATTTTCTTTGTTACACAGCGAGCGAATATCGGTATTCGCAGCCGATTTACAATTATCATTTTTGATGTTTGAGTCGTTACGAACCCACTTAAAGTTCCAACAAGAATTTTATTTAACTAAATTAATTGAAATTGTTGTTTCGGAATCGGTTAAAGTCACTTATGAACATAAAGAGATCGCTTTAGATAATATATTGCAATTGTGGAGAATTCCAGGGTTAGTTACTGAATTGTATTTAAATTACGATTGCGACATGTATTGTACAAATTTATATGAGGATTTGACGAAATTGTTGGCGAAAAATGCGTTCCCAGTTACCGCTGGGATTTATAACACGCATTTATTATCATTGGATGCTTTATTAACGGTTATTGAAAGCATCGAGGGTAATTGTAACCTTAAAAGTGATGATGGGGAATGTTTTGATGATCAAAATAAAGTTATTAATAGCAATTCTAGGCAACAATTATCCGAAAAAGTACCCACGAGACAAGAATTATTATCTATTAAAAATATTAAAAAGGTAAATAAAATTATGTGAGGTTATGTTTGATTTATATGACGTTTTGGTTTTTTTTTGTGAGGTTATGTTTGTTTTATGTGAGGTTATTCTAATAATATTAATAAATATTTTTAAAATATTTGTTTAGTGGTTACCAACTGGTACAGAATATTTTAATTTAAAACCGAAAAAAGGAATACAATTTCTTCAGGAGCACGGCGTTTTAAAACCGGAACTCGACTCGGAGGAGATCGTAATTTTTCTGCGTGAAAATCCGAATTTGGATAAAAAAATGATCGGGGAATTCATCAGTAGTCGCAATAACCTGCAAGTGTTAGAGGCGTTTGTGAAAATGTTCGATTTCACCGACACCCGAATCGATGAGGCTCTCCGACAGTATTTAGAAACTTTTAGGTTACCCGGAGAAGCGCCCCTTATATCACTGATATTGGAACATTTTGCGGAACATTGGCATGTAAGTTAATCTTCCTTTATGTTTATATTTTATTTGGAAAATAATTTAAAAAGAAAAAAAGTGAGGTTATGTTGTTTTTATTTTTATTTTTTATAACATAAATAATTTTCCGTTTAGAAATGTAATGGGGAACCTTTTGCTGATGCGGACGCCGCTTTTACGTTAGCCTACGCGATCATCATGTTAAACGTTGATCAACACAACCATAATGTGAAGAAACAAAGTGTTCCGATGAGACCGGAAGATTTTAAGAAAAACTTAAAAAAAGTTAATGGAAACAGCGATTTCGATCAGGATATGTTGGACGATATCTATAACGCTATAAAGTAAGTAAATCAACAATTTATTAATAATAATTTATATTAAATTAATTTTTTGAGTTTGTTTTTTTACTTTTTGAGGTTAAAACTTATTTATAGTAAATTTTTATGTTTAATTTAATTAATTTTAATAATTTATTGCTTCATCCATTCACATTCACTTATTTATTATAATAAAGCTTCCAATACAGGTTTTACCTAAGAGAGAAACATAACCTCAATTCATTTGACAGTTAATTGTTAGTTTCTGTTAAAACTCTTAATATCTTTTCTAAACCATCCAAAACGGGAAGATCAGTACCAGTTACATCTAATATATTAGATTCCGAAAGATTTTGAACAATTTTAACCTTGAAAATTGGATTTAAAATTTGTTAAATTCAAGCTTCTTTTGTGGTTGGAGATTCTCCAAAGGACGGCTGAAATAGAACGATATATGCTTCAAATGCGAAGTTTTATCCAGATTAGTGAAGAATTAAAGAAGATATGAATAAAATAAGTTTTAGAATTTTGGGTGGTTTGAGAGAAATCCGCTAGATGGCGTTTTCCGAACTTCTAATAATTTTTTGACATCTGTTATTATTTAAAAATAGAAATCTGTAATTTAAACTTTTCTTTTTGACCCTGAAATCGCTAAATTATTATTTTTATTTTAAATACTTGCTTCTATTTCTGTTGTTTCAACTTCTACATGTCTTTCTTCTTTTCTGGAATTAAATATTTGTTGATTTTCTTTATCATTTTTTGTGCTAATCGGTTTCTTTATCATTTCTTCTTGTCTTTCCTGTATATTTATTATGTCTCTATCATTCTTGTCTTAATAAAACATTGTAATAAAGCTCCCAAGACAGGTTTTACCTAAAAGAGAAACATAACCTCAATTCAGTTGACAGTTAATGTTTATTTACTCATAATTCTATTAAAACTCTTAATATCCTTTCTAAAGCATCCAAAACGCGAACATCAGTACCAGTTACATCTAATTTATTAGATTTTGAACGATTTTAACATTAAAAATTGTATTTTAAATTTGTAAATTTCAAACTTCTTTTGTGGTTGGGGAATCTTGAAAACTCCAATGAACGGCTGAAATAGAAGGATATTTGCATCAAATACGAAGTTTCATCCAGATTAGTGAAGAATTAAAGACGATATGAATAAAATAAGTTTTGGAATTTTGAGTAGTTCGAAAGAAATCCGCTAGATGGCGTTTTCGAAATTTAAAAAGATTTAAAATTATTTTAAGGCAAGAAATGGCGCGAAACCCATCAACCAATCAGGAGCTAAGGTTAAAAATAGAACGAAGATAATTTTCTGGGGAAGGGGAAAAGGGTATATAAGAAGAGGAAAAAGTTGAACCAAGTCAGTCCAATTTAGTAAGAGGAAGAGTACGGTTAAATTTTGATAAAAAATCTAACCTATAAATGTCAAAAGGAGTTTCCTAACCTTAAATTGGTTCTCCGACTATATTAATCCCAATTTTACGCCGAATTAAGATTTTTATAACCGAAAAAAGAAAAATTAAATGTAATTTAATAGATTTAAACATCGAAAATAAATTGAGGAGAAATTACCTGTGTTCCTGAAATCGCTGAGATAAATCTCATTTACTTTGTTAAAACAAATAACTTTATTATATTTAATTTTTTTTCTAGAAATGAAGAAATTGTGATGCCAGCCGAACAAACGGGAATAGTTAAAGAAAATTATTTATGGAAAGTATTATTAAGACGTGGATCATCAAAAGACGGCGTTTACATTCACGCTAATTCCGGGCTATACGACCGTGATTTATTCCAATTAATATGGGGGCCCGTTTTGTCAGCTTTATCATTCGTTTTCGAGCGTTCTGAAGACCCCTTTATCTACAAACGTGCAATAACCGGTTTCGAGCGTTGCGCTTACATCTCATCCCATTTCGGTTTAACCACAAATTTAGACATGTTAGTTTTAACGTTATGTAAATACACCTTTTTAAACAACCAACCGAAAAACACGAATTTATCGGTACAATTAGGGATGAATCAAAAAGCTCAATTAGCTTTAAAAAGCGTTTTTAATTTAATCCATGAGCACGGTGCGAATTTACGAGAAGGTTGGAAAAATGTTTTTGATTTAATATTAACTTTATACACCGGAAGTTTATTGCCTAAATTATACGTTGAAGCGGAAGATTTTATTGAAGCTAGTGGAAAGATTATTTTAATTTTTAAAGACGTCCAATCGACGTTGCAAAAACAAGAATCGGGTTTATTTAGTTCTTTATATTCGTACATGGTTTCATCGGAAAATTTATCTCGATTACCGTCACAAGAAGAACAAGAATACACAGACATCGCAAAATCATGCCTAAAAGAATGCAATTTAGAACAAATCATAAGCGATTCGAAATTTTTACACGAAGAATCGCTAATTGAGCTGGTTAAATCGTTAATTGAGTTATCACGAGGACCTGAATATCAAAAACATTTAGGTTACGTATACAACGAGAACGTAGCCGTATTTTTCTTGGAGTTACTTTTAAAAATCGTGATTCAAAACCGTGATCGAGTGATGAAGATATGGCAAACGGTTCGAGATCACCTTTATACAGTTTTAATGAACGCTTCGCATTGTGATTATCAATTTTTATTGGAACGAAGCGTTATTGGACTTTTAAGATTAGCAATTCGGTTGATGAGGAACGAAGAAATGTCAGCAACCGTACTCCAATCGTTACGAATGTTGCTTTTATTAAAACCGGCCATTTTATTTCGAATATCCAGGCAAATTTCGTTCGGTTTATACGAACTATTAAAAACTTCTGCCCAAAATATTCATACAAAAAATGATTGGTCGATTATTTTTACTTTGTTGGAATGTGTTGGAGCTGGAGCTCAACTTCCTAAACCGGTGGCGGACGAGAATCAAGTCGATTTGGGGACGAAATCGGAGGGTGAAGGTCCGGTTAGTAGCGAAGAGGAATCGGTTTCAGATCGGGGGTACACTTCTGATTCGGAATTAAGTAAAAGTCCGAAATTTAATGGGCATCGATCGACTAGTCCGGTTATTGTACCACCACAAATAGTCCCCCCACCTCAAAATAATTCTGGAGGATGGATTTTGGTGAGTTTTATTTCAATTAATACATTTTACCCGTGAAGAGAATTAAAAATCCTTTAAAATGAGTCTAAACTCGATGGGGTTATCTATAAAACTAAGCAAGATACAACAAGTTATAAGTAAAAACAAAAAAGAACAAGATGGCGGTGATGTCTTTGTTGATTTTAACCTAACTTTTTTGAATTTAAACGTAAATATGGTGTGTTTGGTATCAAATTAACGGGGTTTTAATGCAGATTACGAATTTAATATTCCCATGATTAGAAATGCGAATATTTTTTTTTTAACTTTTAAAAATTAACTTCAAACGTTACCAACCGTATAGGAAATTAAAAATCCTTTAAAATGAGTCTAAACTCGATGGGGTTATCTATAAAATTGAGCAAGATACAACAAGTTACAAGTAAAAACAAAAAAAAACAAGATGGCGGTGAAGTCTTTCTTGGTTTTAACCTAACTTTTTTGATTTTCAATGTAATTATGGTGTGTTTGATATCAAATTAACGGGGTTTTAATGCAGATTACGAATTTAATATTCCCATGATTAGAAATGCGAATATTTTTTTTTTAACTTTTAAAAATTAACTTCAAACGGTACCAACCGTATAGGAAATTAAAAATCCTTTAAAATGAGTGTAAACTCGATGGGGTTATCTATAAAACTAAGCAAGATACAAGTTATAAGTAAAAACAAAAAAGAACAAGATGGCGGTGATGTCTTTGTTGATTTTAACCTAACTTTTTTGAATTTAAACGTAAATATGGTGTGTTTGGTATCAAATTAACGGGGTTTTAATGCAGATTACGAATTTAATGTTCCCATGATTAAAAATTCGAACTTTTTTTTTTTAACTTTTAAAAATTAACTTCAAACGTTACCAACCGTATAGGAAATTAAAAATCCTTTAAAATGAGTGTAAACTCGATGGGGTTATCTATAAAATTGAGCAAGATACAACAAGTTATATGTAAAAACAAAAAAAAAACAAGATGGCGGTGAAGTCCTTCTTGGTTTTAACCTAACTTTTTTGATTTTCAATGTAATTATGATGTGTTTGGTATCAAATTAACGGGGTTTTAATGCAGATTACGAATTTAATATTCCTATGATTAAAAATGCGAACATTTTTTTTTAGCTTTTAAATAAAAAACTAAACATTACCAACCGTATAGGAAATTAAAAATCTTTTAAAATGAGTCTAAACTCGGTGGGGTTATGTATAAAATTGAGCAAGATACAAGTTATATGTAAAGACAAAAAAAAAACAGATGGTTTTTAACCTACCTTTTTTGATTTTCAATGTAATTATGGTGTGTTTGGTATCAAATTCAGCAAGACATAGTCATTGTCATTTACTCACGCACACTGACGAATTTGTTGCAATGTTCTCAAGTTAAATAAGCATTCGAGATATTTCATACAAATTAAAATATTCATAATACAACAGATTTTCTTTAAAATAGTTTTTCAGAAAAGATTTTGGAGATTTTTAATTACTTTTTAAAACCACTGCTCTTTCAGCAAAGAGAACTACTTTCTATTGATTTTTTTTTTTTAAATTTGTGATATTTTTAAATTTGTAAAAATATGTTGATTTATTTGACAGTTATTGACAGTTGACCGGGCTGACATCTGTTGAAGTTATTAATAAATTACCTACAGATTTCTTTAATTTTGTAGAATCATTCAACAATGTTATTTTTTTCATTAATTATTTTCTTTGTTATCTAAATGCATTAAACTTAATTTTCATTAAGTCTTTCTCCTCATTTATTCATAAATAAATTTAAAACTTTTATGCGTTGTAGGAACCATTCATTAATTAAACTTGGTATATGACAATCCAATATTTGTTAAAAACACAATCATAAATTATATATTTTTTGTGAGCCTTCTAAAAAGGATTTTTTTTTTTTACTTTCAGTTAAATTTAAAAATTATAATTCACTCATAAAATAATTCTCGATATGTCAAAATGAAATTAGGTTGGTTAAACTAAAAATCACTAGGGGAGTGTCACAATTATTTTAATTGATTTTGACGTTTAAAATTATCTAAAACAAGGTTATGTTTACTTTTGATTTAAAATTTAAAATAAAATTGAATTCTTTCTAATTATTGTTTAATTTTATAGGTTGGAAATGAAGGTGATGTTCAACCGGTTGTTGGAAGAACTTTACCACCAAATCAATACGGTTTAGCATTAGACAGAAATTTAGGACCCCACGATAAAAGCGGTCTTGTAAAATGCTGCGAAAGTTTAGCGTTTTTAGTGCGCGACGTCGCCCATATCACCCCATACAATTTCGACGATTGCGTACATTGCATAAGAACGTTCGTCGAAGCCAGTTTACACGGAGGTAAATTTTATTCCCCATCAAGTTAAACATCGGTTCGATTTCGATTCTTTTAGTGAAAAGAACGCGAAGAAATTCCAAAAGAGAATCACGCCCCAGACGAAAACCAAGACAAAGACCTCATTATAGCCCGGTTAGTAGCCCTGATGAAGACACCGAATCGGATGAGGAAAATTTGCCGAGCGGTTATCATCAAGTTTGTATTCAAGTAAGTTAATATTAAAGATAATTTAGATTTAATTAAAAAAAAATTTTTAATGAATTTTTAGTTATTAGATTTAATGCATACATTACATACTAGAACGGCCCAAATTTTCCGTTGGTGGGCTGAAGAAGGCGGCGAATTAACCCAAGATATGTCGTTGTGGACGCAAGGTTGGTGTCCCTTACTTCAAGGGATAGCTAGGTTATGTTGTGATACTCGAAAACAGGTAAATTTAAAGAATTTTTTTTTAGGGATTAATTCAGTTTGTTATATTAAATCTAATTCATATAATAATTTTTTGATATTTGTTGCTATTTTGTTGTTAAAATTAATTGAAATTGGTGTTCTTGTTGAAACCATTTTTGTTCCATTAACTATATAAGGTTAGTTACTTGATTTGTTTTTTGTGTTGTATGAAAGGAGAGACGGTTAGCACTCCCCTAGACAAGGATGGAATTATAACACAAATATGGTTAAGGCACCTTAACCACATTTTTTTTGTTACCAACTTAATTTAAAACAGTGGTGCCATCTTTGGAAAATTATTGAAAAAAGAACAATCTACACCAAAATTGTTTGGTGCCTATTTATTTTTATCACAGAACACTGATGACAGCCATCACAAGCACAGAATCCGCTTGGTCGGTTGTTTTACGATTATACAGGGTGTTTCTGTAAGTCGTGGCATAAATTTAAGCACAAATACTAGAGTAAAAATGATGTTTAGTGTAAAACTTTTTGGCAATAAAAATAGACAACAATTTAACGCTTAGTAACAATTAAAACTAACACTAGACCTAGAACTAGAAAGTTTCGGGTTTAGCCGTGCGTCTTCAGAGTTCTAGTTTTAGTGCAATAAAAATATACAACATAGTGATATCTAGCAACATCATGTCATCATAAAAGAATACCATGAAGTTGTCCATCTGTCTATTATATGATAACTAACTTCAGATTTAAAATGTCAACCTCAATTTTGACATATTTGTAATCTTCATTAAAAATCCTTTAAAATGAGTATAAACACGACATATTTATCTTCAATATTAATAAAGTTATGATCAACTTCCGGTTAAAAATGTCAACGTCAATTTTGACATATTTGTAATCGTCGTGAAAAATCCTTTAAAATGAGTCCAAACATGATACGTTTAATTTCAATATTACTCGAGATATAAGCAACTTCCGGTTTGAAATGTCAATGTCATTTTGACATATTCTTAATTTTTATAAAATGTCTTAACATTTGTCATAAAAACAAAAATATAATGATTAAAAAAAAAAATTTAAGGTTGGTACTAATATTTAAAAATTAAATTGTTGCTAACTTCGGATTTAGTGTTTTTCATTCTAACTTTTTTGTTTTTTGAGATAACTGCGTCATGTTTGGACTCATTTTAAAGGTTTTTTAATAAAGATGGCAAATATGTCAAAATTGACGTTGACGTTTCAAACCGGAAGTGATTGTATTAACTGTATGACAGTTAAATATGCCGAGTTTGGACTCATTTTAAAGGATTTTTTATGAAATTGACAAATATGTCAAAATTAATAGTTGAAAGTTCCAATTTTTTTTTTTTTGAGATAAATGCGTCATGTTTGGACTCATTTTAAAGGTTATTTTATGAAGATTACGAATATAATAATAAAATTAAAGTTAAATCAACCTTAAATTAATTAAATTAAAACAAAAACAGACTTTTGTTCCTTCCTTCTACAGTTTCTAAATTTATGTTTATTATTTTATTATTTTTTTTATTTCCAGTTTTAATTAATGCTTTGACTATTGGGCTGATAATGGCTTTTAAGAACTCAAAACCGGTATTAAGTAGGTTTAATTAATAAAAGCAAGGAAGTACTTTTTACAAAGTTTATTTTTGTTTTAATTTTATTCGTTGCTAACGGTAAATCACCATATCAATTAGTGTTAAAATAAAATAAACTAAGTGAGAACTTGGCACTGATTGTATGTCGAAATCCCACCGTAAGATGGCATTAGCGTCTATACTGAAATAATTTAATTAAGCTAACAATTTTATTATTAATAGTGGGAATGATGAGAGACAGCAATAACAATTATTACCACTATCATTCTTTTAATTTAAAAAGTATAGATTCCAATTCGTGTTATATTTTTAAATTTGCCGCTAAAAATTTTAAAAGTTGACGTTTGTTCAGAATGACAGATGAAAATGTCATTTTAAAGTGATTTTTCGGTAAGAGTATAATAAAGTAATAATGGTATGATTAAATAATTAGATTATAATCATATAATGGCTCCAAACACTTTCTTAACAGTTATTTGGAGCTTTTATGTATAAACCCAATCCAACCTGTATTCTAGTGGTTCGGTTCTTAGCTGAATAATTCCAAAATATCCCTAACAGTTGGCGCCACATGCGTTCAATTTTTAGTGCGAAGTTTTTGTTTAGAGAATTGCATTTCTACAAAGCTATTTTCTTTCTATGATATAAGCTCTGTAACGTCAGTCTATTGTAAAGTATAATTATTAATATTTATTTATTTCTAGGTTAAAAAAATGTTACGTTTTTTATTTTAATTTGAAATAATTTAATTAGCTAACTTCACACCGCTGTCAATGAAATTGTCATAACATAACCTTAAAAATTTAAATTTAAAATTAATTTTTTTTCTCTTTAGGTTCGTTTAAGCGCAATTTCTTACTTACAACGAGCACTTTTAGTGCATGATTTACAAACCCTCTCCGCTCCAGAATGGGAGGCTTGCTTCCACAGAGTTTTATTCCCTTTATTAATGCAATTATTGGAACCAATTGGAACAAGAGACCCCATAGCTGTTGAGGAAACCCGGATGCGAGCCGCGACCGTTTTATCGAAAGTGTTCCTCCACCATTTAACCCCCTTATTATCGTTACCAACGTTCGGGAATTTATGGTTAACTATTTTGGATTTTATGGATCGATACATGCATGCGGAGAATAGTGATGTGTTATTCGAAGCCATTCCTGAGTCTTTGAAGAATATGTTGTTGGTGATGGAGTCGGCGAAAGTTTTTGAGGGCGCAGAAGGACGAAATTTGTTGTGGATGCAAACTTGGGATAGAATTAATAAGTTTTTACCAAATTTAAAGGATGAATTGTTTAAAGAAAGAGAGGAAATTAAAAATATTGAGTCTAGTAATAAAGTAAGTAAGAAATAGGGCTTGAATTTATTTGATTATTTATATTTATCATTTTTAAGAATATACAAATAGAACAACCTTCACAAATCGAAGAATCAACACCTAAACCAACTCAACATAACATTGAAAACGCAACGAGATCTAGTATTATCTTACAACCAACCCAAAACGTGTTAAATTCACCTTTATTTGCCCATTTGGGACAGGTACTTGCATAAATGCGTTAAATAAGAATAAAATTAAGTGAATTAAATCGAATTTTAGATGGTTTCAACACCAATAGGGCCCCCAGAAACTCAACAAACCACATCAAATCAACAATCACCAATTAAGCTGAATCAAATAAACATAACCTCAATACCAAACAGTCAAGGTCACACTTTTCCGATTTTGTACAACTCCCAAGAGGTTCAACCATCATCGCTTTACACCGAGTACATACAGAACCCGTATAACTTAAATTTACAAGCAAATGATAACAACTTCATGTACGGTAACGTTGGGACGGTAAATTTGGTGCAAAATTTGAGTCAAAATCAAGATCAATCGCAAATAAGTAACGAAAACGTGTTCCAATCTGCAAATTATTTCTGTAAAGACCCCCAACAACAAGGTTTTATTCCACCAGGGTCTGAAATTTTGTACCAAAACGTGTCTACCATCGAAAGTGACTTAAAATGAAAATGTTAATTAATTATTACCTGAATGTAGATGTATATTTATTGTATTATAATCAAATTAACGTTGCATTTTGTTGTTCTCCACCATTTGAAATTAATTAATTAAGTTAAAATGACAGATGAAAGAATTTTAAACCAGATTGTATATTTTTATTTTTCTTGTTATTGAAATTGTATATTAATTAATGAAATCAATAAAAATGAGTATTTTATCTGTGTATTTATGTGATTAATTTTTACCTTAAAAATTTGGATGGGAAATAAATAAAAAAAACATTTTTCTCTACACTTATATTATTATTATATTCCAAAATCGTTTTAAACACTAAACATTATATTTATAACTAAGTTTGCATCAATAAAAATCATCATTTAAAATTCTTAAAATAATTTTTTCCTTAAAAATTCTCATCTTAATCAGCCCTAGTCTTCTTAACACCACCTTGCCCATCATCATTCGGTCTTTTCACCGCTTTATTCGCCGTCTCTTGTAACCACCTAACTTGCGTAGCGGGGCCATAACCTTTCTCGTTCCTCGCGGCAATTCGAAAAATAATCGCCGATTTCGTCGTTGTATCAACATGAGCCGTCGATAACGACGAAAGGGGCACAACACACGAATTACTCGGCCCCGCGTAAACTCGTACAAAAGCCATTGAAGCGGGAGTTACATTTTCTTTCGAATTTCTCACCGCCAAATAAACCGAGTACTCCGTAATCAACCCCTTCGGTGGTTCCCAAGAAATATGAGCCCCATCAGCACTTTTAGCAATTTTAATCGCCGATGGAGCGCTTGGAAATCCGGGGACGCAAGTTTTAAACGCGGAAACTTCGCTCCAATTGCTTCGTCCGACCGAGTTAATCGCGGCGACGCGGAATTTGTATGCGGTTCCCGGTTCTAAAGCGATTCGGGGGAATCCCGTTGTGTCAGGGAGTTGATCTTCGGTGAAATCGGTTGAATCGTCTAAATAAAAATATTCTTGAACGTTAAAACTCGTCCCTTTAATAAACCCTACGGTGTGCCAAATTTCTTTGGGATCTTTCTGCTCCATTTCTTGTTTTATTTCAGTTTCTTTCGCGTGATCAATTGCGGCCGTTGCTAAAGCTGAGAGAGCATTTTCAACGTCATTTCGCGATTCTTCCTTTTCTTCTTCTTCCTGTTGATTCTCTTCTTGAGGCGGTAACGACCGAATATTTTCATTATTCATTTGAATTTGCGCAACATCGTCTAAAGGCGGTAAATCTTCCTCTTCAGGTTCTTTTTTAACCTCATCATTTAGTTCATTTGGTTCATTCTCACCTTTCTCTTCTTGGGGAGTGTATTCTTGTTGTTCCATTTCATCTTGTAATTGCTCCAAATCCTCCAAACGTGGTTTTATGTCTAAATTTTCAGTTCCAAGTTCTCCTGGAGTTTCATTTCCTCCATCAATTTGTTGCATTTCTTCTTTTTCAACTTCATCAACTTCTTTTTCGCCTTCCTCGTTCGTTAAACTATCAACTTGGTCTTCTGATTCATTTTGTGGGGTTATTTCGTTGTTTTCAACTGGTAAAACAACACCTTCTTGTTCTAAAGGAGTTTCTTGGTCTTGTTCTTGCTGGTCTACCTCCATATCCATATCACCACTTGGTAAAGCTGGTAAAGGTTCGGTTTCTTCCAACGGGATTTGGGGCTCCTCTATTTTTTCGTCGCTCATCATTTCTGGCTCAATATCCATCGAGGTTTCCCCCATTAAGGGCTGAGTTGGGGTTTCCTCGGCGGGGATACTTTGCGCTTCATCCGTTTCCATTTTTGAGAGGAAATACCTTAATTTTTACCTAGAAAATTAAAAAGCGTCTTTTTATTTTTTGAGGTTATGTTATACGTCAATAAAACATCAAAATAAAGTTTATAACATTACCTGGTTATTTGGAACGATTCGTTTGATTAATAATAAAGCATTATTAATTAATTTAATTAATAACAAACACTTATTTTGCGTTATTTTAAGATTTCTGGGTTATTTTTGTATAAAATTGTTTGGAGTCAACGTGCCAACTTCACTTTGTATCACCATCTAACAGAATTGGCATTTAATAGAATCACCATCTAACAGAATTGGCATTTAATAGAATTCATTTTCCATCACAATTTATAATAAATTAACAACAATTTAATTATAACAAAGCAACAATTTTCCATTCAATTATATAAAAGGAAAAAGTTTCAAGTTTAGATTAAAGTTGTTGAAGTTCTATTTTGGATGATATGTTGATTTAATGTTTAATATTTTTTTCAACTTAATTGACAGTAAGTAATTTTATAAGTTTTGATAATATTTCGCTTTATATTGTAATATTTTTTTAATTTTATTTTACATCTTTTTTTTATTGTTATATTTTTGTATTTTTGCTTCTTAAGTGAAATACACTGTATAAATTAATAAAAACATAGAAATGTCAATTCTTCCAATGACGTGCGAGGGGCTACGTTCATAAACAACAACGTTCATACGGAGTTGGTTTTAATTAATCTTGACCAAAATAAACTGCCATAAAATGAATAAGCTAGTTTTAGCATACTTTTTAATAATAATAAATAACATTAATTGTAGAACCGAAGAAGACGAAGGGATTAAATACGCAAATAGATGTGAAGGTAAGGTTAGGTTCCTCCATTTTGTACCCCCCATTTCTTAACGCATTTCTTTTCAGTTTGTAAAATCTTAGCTGTAGAATTAGAAAATCGTTTAGAAGAGACGGGAAAATCTCACGATGTGATAGAAACGGGGTACGCCGTCGACGACGTCAAACCAAAGAAAAAGAAAGAATACAAAAAATCCGAATTAAGACTGGTGGAATCATTAGAAGGAATTTGCGAGAAAATTTTAGAGTACAACATACATAAAGAGCGAACTGATAGTACGCGATTCGCGAAAGGAATGAGTCAAACTTTCCAAGCTTTGCATGGACTTGTTGATAAAGGGGTTAAAGTTGAGCTTGGGATTCCTTATGAGCTTTGGGATAAACCAAGCGCTGAAATAACCAACATGAAGACCCAAGTTAGTATTATTAACAATTCTTTTACTTAATTAGTTCAATTTGAATGATTTTTTAGTGTGAAACAATGCTGGAACAAAATGAGGGGGACATAGAAGATTGGTACTTTAATTTGCAAGGGAAAGTGCCCCTAAAACACTATTTATGCGCTGACAGAGTACTTGATGAAGAAGAATCATCATGTTTAAGTGAAAAATTAAAAGGAGATAGTGGAAAAAACGTTAAAAAGAATAAATCTGAGCTATAATAACCTTTTTTAATCAATAAATTTACAAAGAACTACTTAATTTGTTTATTTATTTTTAAGGAAACGGTTTCTTTTCGCTTTTATATTTCCTTTCTGGTTTTGCTTTGCCTCGCAACATCCTCATTCGATCCATTTCCTCTTTAAAATCGGCGTGCTCATCGCGATACAACCCGTAATGTCGCAATAACATCATCAACTTCCCCGTTTCGATGTGCCGGGGGTAATAAGCGTGAATTTCTTTCCTTTGATTCACAGGTTCTTCGCTAAATAATTTTACCACCTTCATCGACTTCGAATTCGTCGGCCTAGCGACTTCCCCAAATATTCTATTACTTAATCTCGTCATTCTACGCGAATATTCCGTGGTTTGTTTAACCAAATCCGCGTAACGAGCGTATTTACTCATTTTTGTTGCGAGAAAAAGTTAGGTTATGTGTCAAAAAAGTAAGGTTAGAAAAAAAATTTTTTAAATAAAATTAAACAAAAAATTCTTAATAAATGAATTAATTAATTAAAAAAAGATGATTTGAATCTATAAATAAATAAATAATCAATATTTATTTATAAATGAATTAATTTTAAATTTTCCGCTACCAGTTTAGCCAACAATTAAAAAAAAATCTGCCATCTGTCAGTTTAGACATAAATTTATCCAAAAATAGACATTATGTTTAGCTAAAAATATTGAACAAAAGAAAGGGCCCCAAATGGATCAAAAAGGGCTAGAAGAGTTCCTCTCAATAAAACAATATGTAAGTAAGCCATAAAATAAAATTAACCCAAAAAAAAATTGATTTATATCATTTAGGTACATTTTAAAGACGTTGAAGTAGAATACATACAGGGTAAACCCTTTAAGTGTTGTTATAGCCTGATGGGGTACACGAGTCAAGAAGGTGATCGCATCGCAATATACAAAGTAGGTTGGAACAGTGTTAAACAATATTTCGCTTTCGAATGGGTCCCAATAAACAACAATAAAGAAAATTCAGTTTGTTTCAACAGTAAGTTAGAAATAAATCTTTTAACCCCACTTAATCTTAATCCCAAACAATTCTAGAATATTCATTACCCAAAAACACAACAGATTTATTCCAATTATGTTACATCAGCAACCATAATGAAACTTACGGTGTAAGTACGCCGTTTCAATTTGTTAAATCAAAATCGAAATTATACGATTCATTAAAATCGTCGATGTGTGATAGCGCTTATAGCGGGAGCGATTTGGAGAAGGAAATTGGGGAATTAAAGGCGGAGAATCAATTGTTTCGGCATAAAATGAGGGCGGTTATGAATATATTGACGAATATGCAAAGTTTGATGCTCCATCAGCAAGCGGAAATCGATGGGTTAAAAGAAAAGGTTGATGAAATGACGATGACGAAGAAAAATGATAAAAAAACGAAGCATTTTGATGTTGATTTAGAGGAATTAGATCCTTTACCACCGTTTCCTCTGTATTAAAAGGACGCAAAAGGGATTTGTGCAATAAGAATAAAATTGATTTGATTAAAGGTAAAGAAAAGTAAAACGCTTTCTTTAGAGTTTAGGTTTTATTGAAATAAATTATTTTTGATTAGATGAGTTTTATTTTCTTGTGGGGTTAAAAAGACTTTCGTCTTAAGCAGAGAAAATGGATCAAATAAGGAAATCATGCTATATAACCTCAAATTTTTGAATATTTTGAGGTTGATAATGATCTGAAGATCAATATTATATCCTACATACTAAGTTATTATAAATTTAACACCTACCTTTCTTCCTGTGGCGTCTCCTATTGACTGCATGGATATTTACTTTACCTCCTATTATTCAATCACTTCCATGTAACTCAGCAGAACTGGGAGATAAATAAAAGTCCGCTTCTTTCCTAAATAAAACGAAATTTTACTAATTTAGATCTTTCCCTCAACTTAATTTAAAACCTCCTATGGAGAGTCCTTACATTGCAATTATCACGGATAATAGAGATAATACACAAAAAGTATCGGGTTTAAAATAACCTTTAAAGTGAGTCCAAACTTGACGTATTTATCTCAGAAGTTCGTACATCATTAAACACGAAATTAGCAACAATGAAGATAGCGATTTAATTTTTAAATATTAATACTAACCTTATTAATTTTTTATTATATTTTCGTTTTTATGATAAATATTAATTAAACGTATCATTTTTGGACTCATTTTAAACAATTTTTCACGATTCCAAATTACGTTTTTAACCGGAAGTTAGTTATCATATAATAGACAAATGGATAACTTCAAGATGTATTCTTAAAAGAAAAAAAACTTTTAAAATGAGTTCAAACTTATCTCAAAAAAGAGTAGAAAACATTAAACCCGAAGTTACCAACAATGAAGTAGCAATTTAATTTTTAAATATTAATACCAACCTTAATTTCAGATTTTTTTTTATTATTTGTGACATTGACAGTTCCAATCGGAAGTTACGTATATCTCGATAAATATTGAAATTAATCGGATTTTTCACGATTATAAATATGTCAAAATTGAGGTCGACATTTCTAACCGGAAGTTGACCATAATCTTCATTAATATTGAAGATAAATATGTCGTGTTATCTCAACAAACAAAAAAGTCAGAAAATAAATCATTAAACCCGAAGTTAGCAACAATGAAGATAGCAATTTAATTTTTAAATATTAATACCAACCTTAATTTTGTTATTTTTTTTTGTTATATATATTAAGACATTTTATAAAAATTAAGAATATCTCAAAATGACATTGACATCTTAATGCGGAAGCTTATATCTTGACTAATATTGGAATTAAACGTATCATTTTTGGGCTCATTTCAAAGGATTTTTCACGACGATTACAAACATGTCAAAATTGACGTCGACATTTCTAACCGGAAGTTGACCATGACTTCATTAATATTGAAGATAAATATGTCGTGTTTGTACTCATGTTAAAGGATTTTTAATGAAGATTACAAATATGTCAAAATTGAGGTTGACATTTTAAACCTGATGTTAGTTATCATATAATAGAAGTTTTCTAACTGAAGTTAATAGTGTTTGTATCGATTTTGAAGTTACACGATGATTCTTGAATTTTTCCCAAGTTTCTTAATATTTTTTTTGTTAAAAAACTGTGTAAACTTGTAACACTTCGTCCTTAATTTAATTTTACAACTTTTTAAACTTTATAATTAATAACTAATAATCTGATTTCGACTTTGATGTGATCTTTTATAACAAAACAAAAAGAAATATTGAGAAACTTGTTTGTAAAACGGATAAGACGAGAAATGTTAATCTATACTCTACAAGGCTCCGAAGATGGCCAAAGGCTTAAATTCTATATAAAATAAAAATCAGTTTAAAAGTACAAAATCAAACTCTGGATTATTTACTCATCATTTTGACTCTATACTCTGTTTTTACTCCTCCTGGTTTAAAAACAGAGTATAGTTCTAGTGCAAGTGTTAGTTCTAGTTTTAATTGTTATTCAGCGCTAAGTTGTATATTTTTAAGTTTCGGGTTTAGCCCTGTGTCTTCAGACGCTGAATGTTAGGTAAGGTTAGTTTTGTTTACAAACATTAATTATACCATGAAGTTTTCTTTGGCAATTATAGCGTGAAGTTTTCTTTTGTAACGTCAATTATAGCGTTAAGGAATGTTAGGTAAGGTTAGTTTTGTTTACAAACATTAATTATACCATGAAGTTTTCTTTGGCAATTATAGCGTGAAGTTTTCTTTTGTAACGTCAATTATAGCGTTAAGGAATGTTAGGTAAGGTTAGTTTTGTTTACAAACATTAATTATACCTTGAAGTTTTCTTTGGAAATTATACTCCGTTTTTAAACCAGGAGGAGTATTTTAAATTTGTCACCAGATTGACCTTGCACGTGATTGGTTGAATGCGAGGAAGGTTCACACACAGGCAATTTTGAATTTGAAGGTTAGGTTATTGACAATTCGACAGTTTCGAAAATAAATACAATAATAAGTAAATAAATAAATAATAATAATTATTAATTTAAATTTACCGCCCAAAAATCTAGTGATATTTTCTGGTGATTTTTCCTAGTGTAAATCTGACTTTCGCGTTTACTCCTCCTGGTTTAAAAACAGAGTATAGTATTTATGATACAACTTACAGAAACACCCTGCATAATCTTGTGATAGTTGCCATCAGTATTCTGTGATAAATCAATAGTTTGAGTCTGTCTATTCTGAGAAGTCATATTATTTTTTTTTCGACATTGTTCATTTGTCACTTAGTCAAGTGATGCATAACGCGGTCCAAATCATCTTCTTCCATCAACATCTAGTCTTCAATAAGTACAGGGTGTCCAAATTTCGATGGGTTTGCAGGATATCTCAGTTATTATGAAAGATAGAAAGTTGCGGTTTTCGCGAACCTGAGCTACTTTTTTGTGAAACTTATAATGCCGCAAACCAAATTTTCATAGACCTCTTCGTTTTTGATATACAGGGAGTATTTCAAAATTTACGATTTTCAGACACCCCCGTATCTCGGCTATGCGGAAACTTAATAAAAAAGTAAAAACGGGTTCTAATAGATTTTTTCACGGAGAATCCAATGGTGCACGTACAATTTTTCTAGTCATCACGGTTTTTGAGTTATAAACACAACTTAGGTTTTTTTAAATGGAACCACCTATATTTTATTTTTTTATTGAACTGGATTTTTTTCAAGCTTTTCAATGATATATAATACTCTATACTTACCTTTATAATTTATTAACCTCGAAATTGAATAAAATACATTATTTTATAAGTAGGCTATGATAAATAGACTGCCTAGCCTGACGTCACAGAGATGGGCGGAGCTTATATCAACTTTCGTTGCTAACCACAGTTGCTAATGATAAACCGTAATAAAAATGTCGTTTGAAATGTCATAAAAAGTCACTTAGTTTATTTTATTTTAACACTAATTGAAAAATTGCATATGGTGATTTACCGTTAGCAACACACTTAGCTATGAAAATGTTTGGAGTCGATATAAGCTCCGCCCATCTCTGTTACGTCAAGGCTTGGGTTGTCTATTAAGTGATCGCGTTGCTAGGATACCGGAATAAACAAAGTAAATATAGTTAATTACTGTCAAACTTAATTTTGAATTTTGTGCTAACAATAAGTCGTGTGTTGCTTAATTACCTTTAATTAACTTAACTTAATTATCTTTTTCTTGAAATGGAGCGCTATGAAAATTATGAAAAATATGACATGCTAGCATGTTACATTCATGCAAATGAAAATATAAATCAAGCTGCTGAATTATACATAAATAGGTAGAATGCAACATTTATCAGCAATAACATTTTATTAGCAGATTGTTTCACTTCAGATATCCAGAAAGAGCGCAACCAAATTCAAAAATTTTTTTGCGAATAAAGCGTAATTTGATCAATTATGGAAGTTTTTTGATGCCCAGGCCAAAAAAATATAATAAAGAAAATCGGAATAACAATGAAATTACCGTGTTAGGATGTGTGGAAGCCGCGCCTAAAACATCATGTAGGGAAATTGAATGTCAAGTTGGAATTAAAAAATCGACAGCCTGTGCGATTCTAAAAAAGTATAAATATAAACCCTACAAAGAACAAATAGTTCACCACTTACACCCGGGAGATGCCGAACGACGTTTGGAATTCTGTAACTGGTATTTGAACCATGCACAAAATAATATTGAATTTAGTTCCTCTATTATATGGTCTGATGAGGCATATTTTACCAGCACAGGAATCTATAATCGTCATAATAACAGGCATTGGCATCAAGAAAACCAACATATTGTAATTGAGCGGGAGCGTCAAGGAAAATTTGGTTTTAGCGTGGCATGTTTTATTATTGGGCCACGAATTGTTTACAAAATATTTGAAGGAAACCTTTGCGCTAATCGCTATTTGGCCATCTTGCAAGAGGCTTTGCCAGAGATTTTGGATGATATTCCTCTTATTCGGCTAAATAATATTTATTTTCAGCAGGACGGAGCTCCCGCTCATAATGCGCAGTTAGTGAGTCGCTACCTAACTGCAGAATTTCCTGGTAGGTGGATAGGCACACATGGTCCAACGCGATGGCCAGCAAGATCACCTGATTTATCTATTTTGGACTTCTTTTTATGGGGATATATCAAGAATCGGGTATATAGTACCCAGAATCGAACAAAATTGGAATTGAAAATTGCTGTAACTGATGCTTTTTCACATTTACAGCAACATCCCATAACTATTCTAAATGCAATTAAACGCATTACTAAACTTTGTGAACAATGTGTGCATCAAAATGGTAACAACTTTGAACAATTCTTGTAACTTGAAGCCATATTTGCATAATGTTTAGTTTTTAATAATTTTTCGTTTTTAGCAAACAAAATTTAATAGATACATTTTTTTAATAAGTCAATAATTAATATTATAGTATTTTCAAAATTCTTTGTTTATTCTGGTATCCTAGCAACGCGATCACTTACTTTATCATAGCCTACTTATAAAATAATGTGGTTTTTTTAATTTCGAGGTTAATTATAAAGGTAAGTATAGAGTATTATATATCATTGAAAAGCTTGAAAAAATTCTAGTTGAATAAAAAAATAAAATATAGGTGGTTCCATTTAAAAAAACCTAAGTTGTGTTTATAACTCAAAAACCGTGATGTCTAGAAAAATTCTACGTGCATCATTGGATTCTACGTGAAAAAATCTATTAGAACCCGTTTTTACTTTTTTACTAAGTTTCCGGATAGCCGAGATCAAACTCCCTGTATATCAAAAACGAAGAGGTCTCTGAAAATATGGTTTACGGCATTGTAAGTTTCACAAAAAAGTAGCTCAGGTTCGCGAAAACCGCAACTTTCTATCTTTCATAATAACTGAGATACCCTGCAAACCCATCGAAATTTGGACACCATGTACTGTTGGTCTTCTATAATGCTGATTTGCTCCTCCACTGGTAGTATTTTGTCTTCTACGAGCAGTATCCAGCATATTGCTGATGGGAAGTAGTCTTCTGGCAGTGATGTCTAGACTTCTGTAAACGGTGTTAGTGTTCTTAAGCAAGGTGGAGTCTTCCATTGGTAATATAGCGCCATCTGGCAGAAGTATCTTGCATTTTACAAGCATTAAATGATTTCTCAGCAATGTTTAGTTTTCTTTCAGCAATATTTATTCTCCTGCCAATAAAGTCTGGTCTTCCATTAACTGCAATTTGAATGTAATCTTCTAGCACAGTAATCTCTAGTCTTTTTCTCACTTTCTACTAATAATATCTAATGTTCTGTTAGCTGTATCTGGTTATTTACTCACAGCATTTAACCTTAATTATCTTCTTGCTGAAGGGCTACAGTATTTTTCACACTGTAGAAAATATTGCTTTAACTTTATTTGGGTTGCTTATAGAATAAACGATAACTTACAGAGCCTCTTCCAGTTGTACAAGAACATAGAAATATTCTATTTTCACTTCACACTCCCCGTTTTTCCAGATAACTACGCGGGGTGTTCCAAGAATTAAATCCTATTAGAGTCATGGTTGTTGTGAAGCCTTTCTTGTAAAGCAGAGATCTTCTAACAAAGAGACCTTTTCTCTTTTTACTTGATATCTTCTATGTTTCTGATCACCATCAGATATTTCTGAATCACGTGGTCCTATTTCTCACCTATTTAATTACCTATCAAGACTCGTTATGAATCTTGTTCCGAACTTATTGGTATTGATTGAACTTGTTTTGTTGTGGCATCTAACAAGGAAACATGGAGAGACCTTTTTGAAGGTCTTATTAATGATTCAGATGATGAAAATTATCGCGAGTATAAAGCGTCAAGTAAAAGTGAAGAGCGTGATCATGATTTCGAAAAAATGTCTTACCTAAAAAGCAAAAATGGGTCTTCTATTTTGTTATATTTATAAATTTCTAAGTGGGTCACCTTTAACGTAGTTTTGGGATTTCATGGAACTTTATTTTGGGACGGCAAAGGTTAAACAATTACATCTCAAGACGTTGTAAAATATGCTGGGTTTCATCCTTAAAGACGTGATAACAAGATGGTTGACTCTGGTCTATCAAAAAAATATAAAATAAATATATTTAACACCATTTTTATACTTATTGCATAAACTTACCACTATTAATAATAATAATATTTCACTTTCATCACAATCACAAAGAACACCAATATACAAATAATAAAATTATTCATACCTTTTTTTTTTAATCATTCCTCAAAACAATTCATGAAGTAGAAGTGCATCTCCTTAAATAAAAAAGCCTTCAATTGGTATGCTATAATTAATTTTTAATTATAATTTTATTTCAATTATTTTATTAATTTTAATTAATATGAAGGTAATTCTCTTTTTTTTTAATCATTACACTCTGAAATACAAAAAGAAATTAAACACAAAACACTTTAACATGATGTTAAAACTGAAACAAAAAAATAAGACTAATTTAAGAAGTAGTTTAGGAGAAATCGGACTTAAAATTCCCTCCGGTGATACTTATCAGGGTCAAAGTAAGATGTAACGACGACCCGGTTGCTAAACTTCCGCCCGGTGAGTGTTTGTTGGGCTTTCTGACAATCCAACACCGAGTTGAACTCCACAAACACCTTTATGGAATAAAAAAATCGTTATTTGTAAATAAATAAATAAAATATAAACAATTTAGTACTTTTCCACAGCCAGGAACTTCAACCCCATCGATTGGACGTGGAATTTCTATACTTCGAACGACACCATACTTGTTACATTCTTCTTTAATATCCTCAAGAATATCTTCGTATTCTTCTTCATCTTTTAATTCGTCAGGTGTAACCTATTTTGAAATAATCTCGATTTATAAAGGAATTTTATTGCAGCAAAATAAACTTCGAATATAACGGAAGTCATACAAATTAAGTTAAAGTTATTAATGACGTTACACAAAGTGTTTTTTGTGGAATGTCAACTTGACAGTTAAATGTCAAAAAGTAACTCGTAAAAATGACGTTTTAACAAATTGATTTTTAATTTTTTATAATAAATTAATTTTAACCTAACAATTAGATGTCAATCAGATTTTGATGTTTTTTGAAAGAGTTAACACTCATGGCTAAAAAAAATCTTTCAAGTGTTAACGTCAACTTTAATTTTATTATTATATTCGTAATCCTTATAAAATAACCTTTAAAATGAACCCAAATATGACGCACTTACCTTAAAAAACAAAAAAATATTAATACCAACCTTAATTATTTAAATTTTTTCTTTCACCAACCTCAATTTTTGACAGTTAGTGTTTGGACAAGTCGAAAATGAAATAAATTAATAATTAATGAATAAATTATGAACCACTGTTTAAATAAAACTTACTTAATTCCTTGCGACCTGTAAATAACCTTTTAAAGCATTTGTTAAATAAATTAATAATTACATAAATTTTATTATAAATTAATATTAACAATTTTTCGCTGCTTAACCTCTCCTAAATTTGACATATAACCTCCATTACTAACCTAATATACATTTAAATGTATGTGGTGAAATAACCTAAGTCGTACGTCCATATCTTGATTCATACCATTTTTAAACGTCAAGTCACTGCCAGCTCTCGTGATTTCTACTATACCAACCTTAACTTTTGACATTTTGTCTTATATTTTCGATTTTTATGAAAAAAACATTCAAATGAGAATAAAAAGTATTAAACCTGAAGTTGGAAACGATGAAGTTAGCAACATAATTTTGAAATATTAATACCAACCTTAATTTTTGAAATTTTTTTTTTATATTTTCGGTTTTTATGAAAAATTAAATTTATTGTAAGACATTTTGTTAAAATTACGAATGTCTAAATTGACGTTGACATTTCAAACCGGAAATTGACCGTAACTTTATTAATATTGAAACGAAATATGTTGTGTTGGTACTCATTTCAAAGAATTCTTAATGAGGATTACATATACGTCAAAATTTGGGTTGACATTTCAAACCAAAGGTGCAAAGGTTAACAACTTCATGGTGATGTGTCAATATTAATTTTGAAGTTATTAAATAACTATTTAAATAACAATAAAAGTATTAAACCTGAAGTTGGCAACAATGAAGTTAGCAACATAATTTTTAAATATTAATACCAACCATAATTTTTGAAATTTTTTTTTAATATTTTCGCTTTTTATGAAAAATTAAATTTATTTTAAGACATTTTGTTAAAATTACCAATATGTCTAAATTGACGTTGACATATCAAACCGGAAATTGACCGTAATTTTATTAATATTGAAACGAAATATGTTGTGTTGGTACTCATTTCAAAGAATTCTTAATGAGGATTACATATACGTCAAAATTTGGGTTGACATTTCAAACCAAAGGTTCAAAGATTAACAACTTCATGGTGATGTGTCAATATTAATTTTGAAGTTATTAAATAACTATTTAAATAACAATAAAAGTATTAAACCTGAAGTTGGCAACAACGAAGTTAGCAACATAATTTTTAAATATTAATACCAACCATAATTTTTGAAATTTTTTTTTAATATTTTCGCTTTTTATGAAAAATTAAATTTATTTTAAGACATTTTGTTAAAATTACCAATATGTCTAAATTGACGTTGACATATCAAACCGGAAATTGACCGTAACTTTATTAATATTGAAACGAAATATGTTGTGTTGGTACTCATTTCAAAGAATTCTTAATGAGGATTACATATACGTCAAAATTTAGGTTGACATTTCAAACCAAAGGTGCAAAGGTTAACAACTTCATGGTGATGTGTCAATATTAATTTTGAAGTTATTAAATAACTATTTAAATAACAATAAAAGTATTAAACCTGAAGTTGGCAACAACGAAGTTAGCAACATAATTTTTAAATATTAATACCAACCTTAATTTTTGACATTTTTTTTTGTATTTTTGGGTTTTTTGAAAAATTAAATTTATTTTAAGACATTTTGTTAAAATTACGAATGTCTAAATTGACTTTGACATTTCAAACAGAAAATTGACCGTAACTTTATTAATATTGAAACGAAATATGTCGTGTTGGTACTCATTTCAAAAGATTCTTAATGAGGATTACATATACGTCAAAATTGAGGTTGACATTTCAAACTAAACAACTTTATGGTGATAGTGTCAACATTAATTTTAATGTATTCATAATCTTTATTAAATAACCATTCAAATGAGAATAAAAAGTATTAAACCTGAAGTTTGCAACATAATTTTTGACATTTCTCTAATAACTGTTCAAATATGATATTACCTTCCCTGTATTAATCCGTTATATCGAAATTTTACTATATTTATATTGACTTACCATATTTAATAAACACAAAACCTCCGTGGGTGGTCCAGAAGCACCCACCAAACTCAACCCTGGTACTTGAATTTGTACGCTTGGTACAATCGTGGTATTTTTCGCCCCAACACTAGCACGTTGAACGATAAGTTTCTTATCGCCAAGTTGCATTCCATTCAAACCTGCAATAGCCTACCAAAAAAATTTGGATTAAACGAATAAGATTTAACCAAAGAAATAATTTTACCTGATCCGTCATGGTAATATCAATATATTCGGCAAAAGCATATCCTTTACTAAGTCCAGTAGCGGAGTCCTTGACCAAATTAAAGGCGCGAAGTTGACCAAAAGACATCAAGAGTTCTTTAACCTAAAAACCAGGATAAACATCGATAACGAGTTCTCAAATCTCAAAAGAACCGCAAAGTTCTTTGAGATTTAAAACGAATTTTTTGTTGATTTTAGATGTCTTGATAGATTTTTTTATTTATTGATCGCAAATTAATTCGGATTTTTGATAAAACGTGATGTTTTGATACGGAAAGTGATTTGAAATGAAATTAATTAAAATAATAAATAAATAATTAAACGAGTTGGGTTTTCGCGGCACAGTAAAAACGTATTGCAACACCGCCGCCGGTTATTTTGTCACTATTTTTTTTATTTTGGTTTAAATCGAGAACTTGCCTGCTACTCCACAAGGCATCACGGTTTTTTTGGTACGTGCGTAATTGTTGGGCGAGCCAAACCCCAGCTATTGGGCAAACAAGCAGAAGTTAATATCTTTGTCAACTAGTTTGATTCCTTGGTGTTTTTATAATAACTTTTTTTTGTCGCGTACAATATCGATCAAAAAGTTTTGATCGATACGGTACGCGCGGTTTAAGTAGTAATTAAAAAAAAATGATTTTAATCTTTTTTTGTCCTGAAAATTAATTCACTGAAAAAAACGTCGACCTGCAAAGATCGCTTACGTGTGTGTGACTACTGAAAAATAGAAAACCTGAAAATTTTGCCGCAACCTGTTTACTGAAAAAATAACTCGAATTTACGAAATGTTTAAAAAAAAACCCATCAAATTCATAATTTTAAAATCGATTAAAAAATACGAATTTGATTTTTTTTAAAACACCTCGTTTTTGTACCAAAACGTTTCTCTTTAATAAAAAAAAAAAAAAAAAACGATGTGAAAGAGCCCGTTTCGCAATAACAAAAAAAAAATCGGTCAATTTTAATCGAAATCGAACGTATTTTAATCCTGAAAAAATTAACCAGCGACACAAACAACGACCTAGAGAAAAAAGGACCTGCAAAAAAGATCGATATCTGTTCTAAAAAAATATTCTCGTTTTGCTGCTGATATTTTTACTGTGCTGTCGGTACGCTGCGCATTTCTCGCTAAGCTAAGAAAAGAGGTTGGAATGCTTTTGTTGTATCTCGCACAAACACACACCTTTGGGAGGCTTTAACAAATCTTAAACATTACAGATTCAATCTAAACATTTTTCTTTGACACATTTAAGATTTATTTAAACCCGAACCACCCTCTAAAATTCCTCCTAGAAAAAACGTACCTGATCTTCGTTTAAGTAATTCGGCAAACCACCTATAAATATTTTATGGGGTGAATCCGGAACTACTGTACTTATTACTCCAGCTGGTACTGTTATAGCACTTTCTGCCATTCCCGGCATTGGTTGGTAATCATGTGGTCTTCTTATTTTTAAACTTTGACCTACAAACGAATTACAATCATTAATTTATTATAAAGATCACAACCCAATGATGTAAAATGAGTAAATAAAGAATTGATTCCATAAATTTATTTATTTTTAAATAAATTTTTGAATAAAGTTTAAACGTCAACGTGACACAAATTCAATGTCACGAACTTCACAACAATTTGTCAAAATTAAACGTCAATTTTATGAAACGTCATGTTTTTTTTTAACAAAAATTAATTCATTTATGCTTAAATCATACAAAAAAAGCAATTTGTTTATATTGTTTTAATGTCAAACCTTTAGAATGTCATAAAAAATTAAATTAAAGTTTTTTGAAATTTTGATTTTATTATTAGTCTGATTACACAACATAACCTAACTTTTTTTTTAAATTGTTACTGAATTAAATCGTTGGTTATAAAACTACCAACTAAAGTTGTAAAAAGTAAATTAATTAATAGAATGCTATACTTTATCCAGGACTACTGTTGAAATTGATTCCATACATTTACGTTTTTAAATAAATTTTTGAATAAATTTAAACGTCAATGTGACACAAATGTAACCAACTTCACAACAATTTCTCAAAATTAAATGTTAATTTTATGAAACGTCGTTTTGTTTTACGAAAATTAATTAATTTATGTTTAAATCATAGGAAAAAAGGAATTTGTTTACGTTTTTTTTAATATCTAACCTTTAGAAACTCCTAAAACATTTAAATAAAATTGACGTTTCTTGAAATTTTGACGTTTCAAATAACTATTATTAATCTGTCAAGTTGATTACCCATGATTAAACTTTTTTTTACTTGTTTGACAGCTAAGCTTTTATAATTATGCGTTATGCATCATCAAGCTCAAACTATTTGATGCTTGTCCTTTTTTATCACAGAACACTAATGACAACTATCACAAGCACAGCGGGCATACAGGTATAAATTTAATCATTAAAACTAGAGACTAAATGATGACGAACCTTATACGTCAACACTTTAACAGTTAAAATCGCTCTATGATGTCTGTAATATCAAGGAAATCGGAGAATACCTAGTGTTAGTGACGAGTTGAAAATTTATGAACAATGGCAGAGAGTATATATAGTTTTAATATAAAATTGTGTTCATTAGCTTTTAGAACGGTGAAACACAAGGATATCCCAACACAAAGATAACTCTGAATGTAGATTTTGTTCTACACAATTTAAAAAGAATGCTACTAATATAAACGTTTCATTAATTATGGGTGTATATGCCATGCTTTTAATCTTTTGAACCAGGATATTTTGAAATAAAAAAATCACATTTACTGCACACTACATTTGAAAAAATTCAGTTAGACAAGATGGTTTTCTTTAATTGAATGTTTAATACAAAATATGCTCTCCAGATCTTAGCAGTTAATCTAGATGCAAGAATAACATTAAAGAAAACAACCAAAAACTGTTACTATTGGGAGTTGGATTCAATATTTTGAAGCAAATGCTTCTCTGAAGCAATATCAAAGGTTTTTGACCACTTTTCGGAAATAGAAGTTGGTATATCACGACAGTAATTGTAATCAACATTGATATTTCAAGATGAACAGGACGCAATTAAAAGTATTTTAATGTCAAGAATGAATAAATCGATAAAACCGATACATTTAGCTAATTTGTTGGTTCCAATCAACTTTTGTCAACCTAAGATCTTCCCTAATTTATCAACCATTGAGCCAGAATCACATCAAAAAAGCTTAAGTGATGAGGTTGATAGTTCATGAAAATGATTAAACTTATAATTAATTTTTTAGAGTCTTTTTTTGTTCCTAATGTAAAATAAATTAAATATGTATTTATATTACTTTCATAAGTTTGTTGTTTTATGAACTAAGTATATGTTGAGTTTTCCAAAATGTTTTACTTAAATAAAAGACTTATTTGATGATTTAATTCTAAAAAAAAAGATAAAAATAATAAGATTTTCTTGGAAAAAAATTAAATGTCAAATTTGAAGTAAACATAACCTTAAAAAAAATGTCAAAGTGACATTTTGAACTGTCAATTTAAAATATAAATTACAATTAATTTTTAAGTCTTTTTGTTAGTTAAATTGCGTTTTGTTGTTATTAAATATGTCCTTATATTACTTTCATATCTTTGTTGTTTTATAAACTAAGTACAACTTTGAGTTTTCCAAGAAGTCTTACTTTCGTTTTACTCAAATAAATGACTGAATCATGCACATTTTCAATGTAGCCCAGTATTTCTTAACCTTTTTGAACAAAATTATCTTACAACAGTTGAGTTGACAGGGTTGACCCTCTCATCTTTTGTGATATACTTAAAATACAAACCTTTAAAATTAATTCCATCAAAAGCCATGGCTTGAGTTGTTTCATCAATCGACCTAAACTCCAAAAATGCAAAATTTTTATCCAAATTAATCTGGCACGCTAAAACTGGATTTCCGGCGGCTTGCGCCAACCCGCTAAGATGCATCTGCTGATTGAAAAACTCCATCATCTCCTCTTCCGTAACTCCAAATGGGATATTTCCAACGTATAATCGTCTCGCCTGACGCGTAATCGTCGATCCAACAACCGGAACAGCCGCTTGGGGCGTATCTGCAACTATATTTGCAGGAATTTGACCTGCTGCTTGCATGGCTTTGTATTGTAGAGGGGTTATGTGTTCAAAACCTGGTGGTGGGACATCCCAGTAAAGGGATGGTTTACGTCTACGTGATGAACTTTTATGTCTTGATCTAAATATAAAGAAATTAGATGATTATTACAAGTATTTTTAATAAAAACTGATTTGTACCCAGATCGACTTCTTCTATTACGTTCTCTCCGGTCGGTTCGTTCCCTACTCCTTGATCTAGATCGTCTTCTGTGGTCCCTAGATCTGGATCTTCTGCGTCTATCACGATCTTCGCGTTCTAAAGCCGATAAAACACATAAAAATGAGAGAAAATTAATAACCGGGAATTAAAAAAATTACCTTTACTTTCTTCTCCCATTATAATTGTTGTATAATTAATTTAATCACAATTAATAAAAATCGTTATAAACACAACGCGTTCGTTCTGTCAATTTAATTATTTTTGACATAAAGATGGCCGGACGCCGACTGAAAAACAAACCGGCAACTGCGTAAAAATTAAAATCCCCGCTCGAAAATTTTAAGTTTTTCTTTTTTTGTAATAAAAAAAGTTTAAAATTTAAATGTTAATTTATTCCGAAAATGGAAAAAGTACGATTGATTTACGATCAAATCCGAAATAATTAAACGACGCTTCGTTAAAAGAAAAGAGATGGCGAGACGAATGCTTTTAGGCCTTTTAGGTTATGGTCCAGGTGGCGCCACTGTTTATGTATACAAACCTTGAGGGACCAATTTGCATATCAATATAATTTTCGAAAGAATCGGTCGCCGTATATAAACTTGACGGAGCGCGATTTCCACATTTTACGAGCAGATTTTGATATTGATAGTGTCTGGCTCGAATTGAACGTTATTACAAATTTCGGTGCCAATTTAGGTTATGTGGCTATCTATAAAACAGTAAGTTAATTTTATTTGTTACACATGTTGCGTTTTAATAAATAATTTTTTTTTAAATTAATTAATTTAAAGTAATTAGTTAATAATAAGAGGTTAGTGATGTTTACTTGGAATTAATTAATGATTTAGAGTGCGTCATACTCCATCAACGCCTTCTTGATACGCAATTTTTTTTTTAAATTGCGTTTAAACGTTTAAATTAAAAGTAATTTTAATATTTATCAATGACTTAATTTAATTTTGTATATACAAAACCAAAAATAATTGTTATCTATTTAATGAATGTGTTATTAATATTTCCTGATATCAAATAATTTTTTTTATACCGTTTTTAAGCCCTTTTTTATCTCTCGCCTATTGTTATCCGGATTTAATCTAAAATCGGGTATAAAAATTATTTCAGCCACTAATTAAGTGATTTACTTTGTTTTTCCTTTATTTTAAAAAAAAAATTAATTCCAGGAATTAATTTCGGTTTGCGGGATCCCAATGAATCATTATTAGGTGTTCTATTTATTTATTTGATGATTTAATACTTAAAAAAAGATAAAAATAATAACTTTTACTTGGAAAATGATTAAATGTCAAATTTGAAGTATTAACATAACCTAAAAAAAAAATGAAATGTCAAAGTGACATTTGAAATTGTCAATTTAAAAAAATTATATTAAAAAAAAGAGATTTGAGTTAAAATTAAATAAATAATTAAACTTTTTAATTCTTAGATAACGTTATCGTAAATCCGTGTAAGATTCTTCAAATGGGGAAGAGCAAAGTGGACAAAATGCGTCCGAATCACCTTACGGTAAAGATTAATGGGCTTAGTGATAAAAAATCCTGGCAAAATGGATTTAGTAATAATAATAACAATAATAATAATGAGAACGGTCAGAGTGTAAATAAAAATTTGTACACATTACCGGAAGGTATGGAACATTGTAATCATCAAGTCGGTGGTCATATGAGTGATGGGGTGCATTTGGGTAAGTTTTTTTTTCGTTTAATAAAATTCTAACCACAAAAAAACCAAATCGAATAATTATTTTTTTAGTTGTAAATTTAAATTAGAAGCCTTGTAAGAATTTTTTTCCTATGCATTTATAATTTGCAACGATGATTAATGGCTTATTTACACTCTCGATTCAACATTCTCTCCCGTTTAGCGTTTTGTTTACTTTTTTATGGTATTTAAAATAGCCGGGTAATAATTCAATTTATCATATTAAGCAAGTAGCAACAAAAAAAAAACAAACTTTGTTTATTAACCAAGTTAATATTTGGTTTTCAATTTGCATACCAGGAATTTCATATAACTTGCCATATAAGAATGCAGTAACCATAATAAATAGTCCCACATAAAATACAACATAGCTTAATAGTATAAACAGGCATTGGGTAATTTTGCAAGGGAAAAGTTTTCGGCCGTCTTAAGAGACCTTACTTAAACTTTGTTTACTTTTTTTTTTTTTAAGAAAAGTTTATAACTATGATTGACCTTGAGGGGGAGTGTTGAAATGTTATATTTTATCATAAAGCAATCCCAATCAAGAGTGCATTAATGTTTTATGAGTTGTTATATATAATATAAAACAAGTGAATATTGTTATTATTAATTGTCAATATATAAAAGTAATAAAAAGGTTTGTTAAACTGTTAAAACATATCACGCATAATTTTAATAATTTTCAACATTTTTTTTCTCAATATTTTTCTAATCCAACCCAACAATTATTATACATCATTTTAAAGAGAAAGTTTTGAGCTTTAATTTGGAACAAGTCTCATTCCTTAATTTCAATAAATGCAGCTTCCAGGAATTTTTAAATTAGCATCTTTTTTGACACTTTTAGGTTATATGAAAATGTAAGTTTTGTTTCAACATTTTTTTTCTCAATATTTTTCCAATCCAACCCAACAATTATTATACATCATTTTAAAGAGAAAGCTTTGAGCTTTAATTTAGAATAAGTCTCATTCCTTAATTTCAATAAATACGGCTTCCAGGAATTTTTAAATTAGCATCTTTTTTGACACTTTTAGGTTATACGAAAATGTAAGTTTTGTTTCAACATTTTTTTTCTCAATATTTTTCCAATCCAACCCAACAATTATTATACATCATTTTAAAGAGAAAGCTTTGAGCTTTAATTTAGAATAAGTCTCATTCCTTAATTTCAATAAATACGGCTTCCAGGAATTTTTAAATTAGCATCTTTTTTGACACTTTTAGGTTATACGAAAATGTAAGTTTTGTTTCAACATTTTTTTTCTCAATATTTTTCCAATCCAACCCAACAATTATTATACATCATTTTAAAGAGAAAGCTTTGAGCTTTAATTTAGAATAAGTCTCATTCCTTAATTTCAATAAATACGGCTTCCAGGAATTTTTAAATTAGCATCTTTTTTGACACTTTTAGGTTATACGAAAATGTAAGTTTTGTTTCAACATTTTTTTTCTCAATATTTTTCCAATCCAACCCAACAATTATTATACATCATTTTAAAGAGAAAGCTTTGAGCTTTAATTTAGAATAAGTCTCATTCCTTAATTTCAATAAATACGGCTTCCAGGAATTTTTAAATTAGCATCTTTTTTGACACTTTTAGGTTATACGAAAATGTAAGTTTTGTTTCAACATTTTTTTTCTCAATATTTTTCCAATCCAACCCAACAATTACTATACATCATTTTAAAAAGAAAGCTCTGAGCTTTAATTTAGAATAAGTCTCATTCCTTAATTTCAATAAATACGGCTTTCAGGAATTTTTAAATTAACATCTTTTTTGACATTTTTACGTTATACGAAAATGTAAGTTTTGTTTCAACAATATTTTTCCAATCCAACCCAACAATTATTATACATCATTTTAAAGAGAAAGCTTTGAGCTGTAATTTGGAACAAGTCTCATTCCTTAATTTCAATAAATACAGCTTCCAGGAATTTTTAAATTAGCATCTTTTTTGACACTTTTAGGTTATACGAAAATGTAAGTTTTGTTTCAACATTTTTTTTCTCAATATTTTTCCAATCCAACCCAACAATTATTATACATCATTTTAAAGAGAAAGCTTTGAGCTTTAATTTAGAATAAGTCTCATTCCTTAATTTCAATAAATACGGCTTCCAGGAATTTTTAAATTAGCATCTTTTTGGACACTTTTAGGTTATATGATACATTTTCATATAAATTAGCATTTTTTTTGATACTTTTAGGTTATACGAAAATGTTAGTTTTTGTTCAATATGTTTTTTCTCAATATTCTACCAGATTTTCGTCGTTGTGTAAATATTCAACTTTACTGCGTCCACGAAAATGTCGTAGCGCGAGTTCAAAAGAAAGAGGAAGTTGTGAAAATTGTTCTGCCAAAGCTAGACCCCACTCAAAATGTACTTACTACGTGCAATGTTTATTTATGTTGTAATGAAAGAAAGAACTGTTTTTCTGAATATCATAATGTGATTTAGCTAAAGCAAGTGTTACTTATTTTCTAACGTAACTATTCCACACCCCTGGAATAGAAGGATTGTCATATTTTGCTAAAATTAGTATTTTGATAGTGTTTTAATTCAGTCACAAAGCTTCAAAATTTTTGACTTTGTGTCCCAAAGGGTTAAGTGAAAGTTATTTTTATTTTTCCAGGTTTAATGAAAAGAAACGGAGTCGTTTATAAACCGATCACATCAAAAACGGGAGATCGCGAGATCGATTTCTACGAGAAACTCCGATTTAGCAAAGATCCGATTTTGAGGGATTTTAAGGAATTCGTCCCAAAATATTTTGGGGCTGAAACTCATCTAATCGATGGGAAAGAAATTAAATACATCGCTTTGGACGATGTTACGAAGGATTTCCGAGAACCATGTATCATGGACGTTAAGATAGGGAGAGTTACTTACGATCCATTAGCTAGTCAAGAAAAAATTATGAAAGAAAAAGTAAGTTAATTAAATTAAATTAAACAATTTTGAGTTAATTTTTTTTTAAATTTGATTAGACCAAATATATCGAGTGCAAGCGAGATCTTGGAATTGCCATCCCAGGGTTCCAAGTTTATAACACCTCAAATGGGAAATTAAGCAAGTATGGAAAAGATTATGGGAAACAATTAAACAAAGAAACGGCAATCGATGGTAATTTCCTTTTTTGATTTAATAATTTAATTTAATGATAAAAAAATTAATTTTTAGCTTTCCGAATATTTTTAAACGGAACCTCGTCGTATTTAAATCGTAGCTTAATAATTCAAATGTTAACCTCGTTGTGGAGGATACAAAATTGGGCAAGAAAGCAGCGCCAAATAAAATTAATCGCGTCGTCAATCCTCCTTGTTTATGACGCAAGAAAATTAAGAGAATTAACACCAAAGATTATTAATCCCAATAAAATAAACACAAGAAAAATTCAACGTACAAATAGTTTAACCAGACCTATAAGCGTCGTTTGTAACGAAAAATTGGAAACTTTAAAAGCGGGATTTAGCGGGCAATTAGCAGAGGATGGACCAATTTTTGGGTGCCAAACATCACCGACGCGGATTAAACAAATTAATTTAAACGAAACGGAAATCAAGCGAAGTAGGCCCACGTTAAAACGGATGCATTCTTTCCAAAATAACTACGATAAAGATTTGCAAAGTATGAAGAACGATTATAACGCGATTTTGGATGAATTGGTTAGCGATAAAAAACACAAAATGTGGGTTAGCGTCAAAATTATCGATTTCACCCACGTTTTTCCAAATAACGAAATCGACACTAACTTTTTAGAGGGGTTAAACAATCTAATCAAAGTGTTTGAGGATTTCTTAATCGAAACCGAAATTAAAATTAATTTATAAAATAAAAATTTTAAATAAAAAGGATTTTTTTCATTAATAAATAATTAATTTTCCTTTAATTATTTTTAATAATTCATTAAATTAAAGCTAAGTGACTCTATTTATTAGAAATAATACCCACAAAAACAGTTTAATCGAAAAACCAGTTTTTCTGCAATTTATATATATATATGTATACCTTAAATTAAAGCTAAAAGATTCTATTTTATGATAACGCCGAGATATAATGGGGTTTGTTATAAACAATTTGCAGAAAACGAGTCTTGAATGAAAATCTGTCAATTTGCGAAATGCCAAAAAAAAATCAAAATTTAAATAAATCATAACGACCTTATTTTGAGGAATTAAAAAGTGATTTAAATCTTAATTTAAAGCTAAGAGACTCTATTTTTGGATAATGTTCAGAAATAATAGGGTTTATTATAAATAATTTCCACAAAAACAATTTTATCGAAAAACCCGTTTTTCTGCAATTTCAGTAAAAGTGTAAATTTAAAAAATTCGCATTGACCTTATTTTAAGGAGTTGGAACGTGATGTACACCTTAAATTAAAGCTAAAAGATTCTATTTTATGATAACGCCGAGATANATTATTTCTAAACATTATCCAAAAATAGAGTCTCTTAGCTTTAAATTAAGACATAAATCATTCTTTGATTCCCCAAAGTAAGGTCGTTATGATTCATTTAAATTTTGATTTTTTTGACATTTCACAAATTGACAGATTTTCATTCAAGTCTCGTTTTCTCCAAATTGTTTATAACAAATCCCATTATATCTCGTCGTTATCATAAAATAAAGTCTTTCAGCTTTAATTTAAGATATACATCATGCTCTAACTCCTTAAAATAAGACCAATACGAATTTTTTGATTACCTAAGTTAAGAAAACCAACATTATTTCTGTTATTAAAAAATGTAAATATATTAAATTAAATTTGTACATAATAAATTGATTTACTTCAAGAAACTTAATTTAAATTAAAAATTAATTAAATCTACTAAGATCTTTTCACAATAAGAGCTGTATTTGTCATCTTAAAACAAAACCCTGAATACTCATTACTATTGGGCAGCTTCAAATAAGTAGCAATCAAACTGGGTATTTTCCCCATCGTTTCTAACCCAACAGCTTGGCAGTAACACTTCCCCGGTTGATATTTCAAAAATAATCGAGAATTTTTGACATGTTTAGGACGAAGATTAATATATTTGCGATAAATTCTTAAATAATCCGGGTTTGTAATCGTAAATGACTTTTTTTCCTCCGTTTTTGGGTCAAAAATGTTTACAAATAACTCATCGGGACGATCCTCAACATCACAGAGAGTCATATTGGTTAATTCGTGCCGTTTTAATCCTCCAGAAACCCCAATAATTAAAATAACCTAAAATTAATCAAGTTAATAAAACTTAATTTAACAAATTAATTAATTTACTTTAAATAATAAATATTTTTCATCTTGTGCATCTTCCAAAAACATGTTAATTTGTTCTTGAGTAAATATATTCGATCTATTAGATTTTTTATTTTTTAACATTTTCCTTAAAAATTGGCCCACTCTAAAATATTTAGTTACATCAAGCTCTTCTTTTATCATTAGCATTCTTTTTAGTATTGAGTATATAGTCCATAAGCTGGTACTTTTTACGGTTTTTGATTTTTCCATTAAATAACCTAATAAGACATCTTCTGATATAAATTTTGCGTTTTTCTGATTAAACCAAGCTTTAAATTGGCGATAAACCCTTTCATAATTTGATTTAGACCCTTTTGGGATTAAAGAATTCGTTGAAGTTAAATCGGCGACGCTTTCTAGTTCAAGGGGATCTTCAGAGGTTGAAATATCACTGTTACATTCCCACATTTCGCTATTTTCTCTTAGATGTGACGTAAAACGAGTCTAAAAACGTTTAATAAAGAATTAATTAACTAAACTTGTTATTACAATACATAATTGGGGTTAAAATATTTAAAAAACTAACCACAAATTAAATTATAACCAATTTTATTTTTGAGGTTATGTTTACGTTTTATGAAGACCTCATTACGCGGTTCTTTTTATTTATTTAATCACGTAGGGTATATCACCTTATATCTTTATTATTATTATTATAATTGCATATAATTAATTATTTATGTAATTATTATTAAATATTTCACTACATGATCGCTTTGAATATAGTTACATTTTGAAATAAACGTCATTTAGACAGTACTCCAGGTGCACCAAATGCGAAAAAATTCACTACTTAATTAAAATTATTATTAAAAAATTCGCATTAACCTTGTTTTAAAAAGGTAGAACGTGATGTATATCCTCAATAAAATGATACAGAAATAATGTGGTTTGTTATAAACAATTTGCTAAAAACGAGTCTTGAATAAAAATCTGTCCATTGGCGAAATGTCAAAAAAAAATCAAAATTTAAATAAATCATAACGACCTTATTTTGAGGAATTAAAAAATGATTTATGTCTTAATTTAAAGCTAAGAGACTCTATTTTTGGATAATGTTAAAAATAATAGTGTTTATTATAACTAATTTCCAGAAAAATAATTTAATCGAAAAACCCGTTTTTCGGCAATTTCAGTAAAAGTGTAAATTTAAAAAATTCGCATTGACCGTATTTTAAGGTGTTGGAACGTGATTTATATCTTAAATTAAAGCTAAAACGCTCTATTTTATGATAACGCCGAAATATCATGGGGTTTGCTATAAACAATTTGCAGAAAACGAGTCTTGAATGAAAATCTGCCAATTTGCGAAATGTCAAAAAAAATCAAAACTTAAATAAATCATAACGACCTTATTTTGAGAAATTTAAAATTGATTTATATTTTAATTTAAAGCTAAGAGGCTGTATTTTTGGATAATGTATAAAAATAAAGGCGTTTATTATAAATAATTTCCAGAAAAACAATCAATTTTTTCTCAATTTCAGTAAAAGTACAAATTTCAAAAATTCACAATAAACTTATTTTAAGGAGTTGGAACGTGATATATATCTTAAATTGAAGCTAAAAGACTCTATTTCATGATAACGCCCAGAAATAATGGAGTTTGTTATAAACAACTTGCAGAAAACGAGTCTTGAATGAAAATCTGTTACTTTGCGATATGTCAAAAAATATCAAAATTTAAATAAATCATAACGACCTTATTTTGGGGAAATCAAAAAATGATTTATATCTTAATTTATAGCTAAGAGACTCTATTTTTAGATAATGTTTATATATAATAGGGTTTATTATAAATAATTTCCAGAAAAACAATTTAATCGAAAAACCCATTTTTTCGCAATTTCAATACAAGTACAAATTTAAAAAAATCGCATTGACCTTATTTTAAGGAGTTGGAACATGATGTATAAGTATCTTAAATTAAAGCTAAAGACCCTATTTTACGATAATGTCGAAATATTATGTAGTTTGTTATAAACAATTTGCAGAAAACGAGTTTTGAATGAAAATCTGTCAATTTGCGAAATATCAAAAAAAAATCAAAATTTAAATAAATCATAACGACCTTATTTTGAGGAATTAAAAAATGATTTATATCTTAATTTAAAGCTAAGAGACTCTATTTTTGGATAATGTTTAGAAATAATGGGGTTTATTATAAATAATTTCCAGAAAAACAATTTATTCGAAAAACCCGTTTTTCTGCAATTTCAGTAATAGTACAAATTTAAAAAATTCGCATTCACCTTATTTTAAGGCGTTGGAACGTGATGTATATCTTAAATTAAAGTTAAAAGATTCTATTTTATGATAACGCCGAGATATAATGTGGTTTATTATAAATAATTTGCAGAAAACGAGTCTTGAATGAAAATCTGTCAATTTGCGAAATGTCAAAAAGAATCAAAATTTAAATAATTCATAACTACTTTATTTTGAGGAATTAAAAAGTGATTTATATCTTAATGTAAAGCTAAGAGACTCTATTTTTAAATAATGTTAAAAAATAATAGGGTTTATTATAAATAATTTTCAGAAAAACAGTAAAATCGAAAAACCCTTTTTTTCGCAATTTCAGTAAATGCATTGACCTTATTTTAAGAAGTTGGAACGTGATGTATATCTTAAATTAAAGCTAAAAGACTCTATTTTATGATAACGCCGAGATATAATGGGATTTGTTATAAAAAATTTGTAGAAAACGAGTCTTGAATGAAAATCTGTCAATTTGCGAAATGTCAAAAAAAATCAAAATTTAAATAATTCATAACGACCTTATTTTGAGGAATTAAAAAATGATTTATATCTTAATTTAAAGCTAAGAGACTCTATTTTCGGATATTGTTTAGAAATTATAGGGTTTATTATAAATAATTTTCAGAAAAACAATTTAATCGAAAAACCTGTTTTTTCGCAATTTCAGTAAAAGTACTAATTTAAAAAATTCGCATTGACCTTATTTTAAGGAGTTGGAATATGATGTATATGTTAAATTAAAGCTAAAAGGCTCTATTTTATGATAACGCCAAGATATAATGGGGTTTGTTATAAACAATTTCCAAAAAACGAGTCTTGAATGAAAATCTGTCAATTTGCGAAATCTCAAAAAAAATTCAAAATTTAAATAATTCATAACAACCTTATTTTGAGGAATTAAAAAATGATTTACATCTTAATTTAAAGCTAAGAGACTCTATTTTTGGATAATGTTTAGAAACAATAAGGTTTATTATAAATAATTTTCAGAAAAACAATTTAATCGAAAAAACAGTTTTTCTGCAATTTCAGTAAGTGGAAATTTTAAAAATTCGCATTGATCTTATTTTATGGAGTTAGAATGTGATGTATATCTTAAATTAATACTAAAAGACTCTATTTTATGATAACGCCGAGATTTATATAAAAAATTTGCAGAAAACGAGTTTTGAATGAAAATCTGTCAATTTGCGGAATGTAAAGAAAAATCTAAATTTAAATAAATCATAACGACCTTATTTTGAGGAATAAAAAATTATTTATATCTTAATTTAAAGCTAAGAGACTCTATTTTTGGATAATGTTTAGAAATAATAGGGTTTATTATAAATAATTTCCAGAAAATCAATTTAATCGAAAACCCCGATTTTTCTACAATTTCAGTAAAAATGTAAATTTAAAAAATTCGTGTTGACCTTATTTTAAGGAGTTGGAGCGTAATGTATATCTTAAATTAAAGTTAAGAGACTCTATTTTTGGATATTCTTTAGAAATAATGGGGTTTATTGTAAATAATTTCCAGAAAAACAATTTAATCGAAAAACCCAACGTTCCTGAATTTCAGTAAAAGTATAAATTTAAAAAATCACATTGACCTTATTTTAAGGAGTTGGAACGTGATGTATATCTTAAATTAAAGCTAAAAGACTCTATTTTATGATAACGCCGAGATATAATGGGATTTGTTATAAACAATTTGGAGAAAACGAGACTTGAATGAAAATTGGTTAATTTCCGAAATGTCAAAAAAATCAAAATTTAAATAAATCATAACGACCTTATTTTGGGGAATTAAAAAATGATTTATATCTTAATTTAAAGTTAAGAGACTCTATTTTTGGATAATGTTTATAAATAATAGGGTTTATTATAAATAATTTCCAGAAAAACAATTTAATCGAAATCCCCGATTTTTCTACAATTTCAGTAAAAATGTAAATTTATAAAATTTGCATTGACCTTATTTTAAGGCGTTGGAACGTGATGTATACCTTAAATTAAAGCTAAAAGATTCTATTTTATGATAACGCCGAGATATAATGGGGTTTATTATAAATAATTTGCAGAAAACGAGTCTTGAATGAAGAGCTGTCAATTTGCGAAATATCAAAAAGAATCAAAATTTAAATAATTCATAACTACTTTATTTTGAGGAATTAAAAAGTGATTTATATCTTAATTTAAAGCTAAGAGACTCTGTTTTTAAATAATGTTAAAAAATAATAGGGTTTATTATAAATAATTTTCAGAAAAACAATTTAATCGAAAAACCCATTTTTTTGCAGTTTCAGTAACAGTACAAATTTAAAAAATTCGCATTGACCTTATTTTAAGGAGTTGGAACGTGATGTATATCTTAAATTAAAGCTAAAAGACTCTATTTTATGATAACGCCGAGATATAATGGGGTTTGTTATAAACAATTTCCAGAAAACGAGTCTTGAATGAAAATCTGTCAATTTGCGAAATGTCAAAAAAAATCAAAATTTAAATAATTCATAACGACCTTATTTTGAGGAATTAAAAAATGATTTATATCTTAATTTAAAGCTAAGAGACTCTATTTTTGGATATTGTTTAGAAATTATAGGGTTTATTATAAATAATTTTCAGAAAAGCAATTTAATCGAAAAACCTGTTTTTTCGCAATTTCAGTAAAAGTACAAATTTAAAAAATTCGCATTGACCTTATTTTAAGGAGTTGGAATATGATGTATATGTTAAATTAAAGCTAAAAGGCTCTGTTTTATGATAACGCCAAGATATAATGGGGTTTGTTATAAACAATTTCCAGAAAACGAGTCTTGAATGAAAATCTCTCAATTTGCGATATCTCAAAAAAAAATCAAAATTTAAATAAATCATATCGAACTTATTTTGAGGAATCAAAAAATTATTTATATCTTAATTTAAAGCTAAGAGACTCTATTTTTAGATAATGTTTAGAAACAATGGGGTTTATTATAAATAATTTCCAGAACTACAATTTTATCGAAAAATTCGTTTTTCTGCAATTTCAGTAAAAGAGTAAATTTAAAAAATTCGCTTTGACCTTATTTTAAAGAGTGATGTATATCTTAAATTAAAACTAAAAGACTCTATTCTATGATAACTGAACTATCATGGGGTTTGTTATAAACAATTTGCAGAAAACGAGTTTTGAATGAAAATTTGTCACTGTACGAAATGCCAAAAAAATTAAAATTTAAATAAATCATAACAGCCTTATTTTGGGTAATCAAAAAATGATTTATATCTTAATTTAAAGCTAAGAGACTCTATTTTTGAATAATGTTTAAAAATAATATTGTTTATGATAAATAATTTCCAGAAAAACAATTTAATCGAAAAACCCATTTTTTAGCAATTTCAGTAAAAGTACAAATTTAAAAAATTCGCATTGACCCTATTTTAAAGAGCTGGAACGTGACGTATATCGTAAATTAAAACTAAAAGACTCTATTTTATGATAACACCAAGATATAATGGGGTTTGTTATAAACAATTTACAGAAAACAAGTCTTGAATGAAAAGCTATCAATTTGCAAAATGTCAAAAGAAAATCAAAAATTAAATAAATCATAACGATCTTATTTTGAGGAATTAAAAAATGATTTATGTCTTAATTTAAAGCTAAGAGACTCTATTTTTGGATAATGTTTAGAAATAGTAGGGTTTATTATCAATAATTTTCAGAAAAACAGTTTAATCGAAAAACCAGTTTTTCTGCAATTTCAGTAAAAGTACTAAAATACTCTATTTTATGACAACGCCGAGATATAATGGGGTTTGTTATAAACAGTTAGCAGAAAGTGAGCGTTGAATGGAAATCTATCAAGTTCCGAAATGTAAAAAAAAAATTAATTAAAATAAATGATAACAATTAAGTTTTAAGAAATTAATTAATAATTTTTGACACACCAAATCTTTATTAAATAACGATTAAAATGCTAAAAATTATTTAAAGATCAAAACAATTAGGTTTATGGAAAATAAGAAATCATTTTTGGCACACCAAATCTTTATTAAATTTGCTTTATTTCGATTTTTTTTATCATTATTTTATTACAAGTTATAAACAAGTTGATATCGGCGATCTGAAGATAAAACGATCGGTTTGATCGGTTTCTGTTTACGTTTTGATCTCACTGTATATTTACAACACAAAATTATTAAAGCAATTAGTAATGCAGCAAAAATATATATCACACATATCACAAATTTAGATAGTCGTTTACTTTTCCAAATAGAATAATAACTTTGTGTTTGATCTACACATTTTATTCCATTAATCTTGATGTTTTCTGATTTAAATAGTAGCATACGTTTTTGTTGTTCCTCCTTAAAATCATATTTAGTGGATGGCAAATCACGAAACATTAATGGGTGTGATATAAAATGATTTTTGAATACACTTGAATTGCTTAAATTTCTGTTTTCTAAGCCAGTAAAAATCGGGGACGCAATCGTTTGGATGTTTTTAGTTGCGATTATTAATAAGATAGAAAAACAAATCCTGCAAAAGGGTTTTATGTATGTACATATATTATACAAATATATATTTAAATAAATTATTCTTACTCTATTTCGAAACGCATTTCTATGTACACAATTTCAACGGTTAACTGTTGTTTTTGTATGAAGATCCTCTATTTATACCGGTCATTTTTGTTGTCATTTTCAATATCTACAATTAGCGTTATTTTAGTAAATACCTTAGAAGACTAGTTGCAAAACTTATGTATGCAAAAGAAATGCATAAAAGTGACGTCATTCATTATAGCTAAAAATAATAATTTGCTTTGAAATTTCTTGATATACATTGAAATGCATTTCTGTACTGTTCACAGGGACATTAAAAAATCTCAGGGCAAAAGCATTATCAAAAAAATTTTCAAATAAAATATATTAAGAATTAATATAGGAACAACATTTATTAATAATATTTTTTGAAATTATCAATTTTGAATTTCCCTGTGAACAGTACAAAAATGGAATTTACTGTTATCTTTCTAATTATTGTTTGTATCAAAAATATTTTTAAATAAAATATGTTTAGAATTAATATAGCAACAACATTCATTAATAAAATTTTTNTCATAACGACCTTATTTCGAGGAATTAAAAAATGATTTAAATCTTAATTTAAAGCTAAGAGACTCTATTTTTGGATAATGTTCAGAAATAATAGGGTTAATTATAAATAATTTCCAGAAAAATTTTAATTCATCAATTCACACATTATATCACAATTTCATTAATTTAATTTATTAATTAATACTGTGCTGATTCGTAAATTTAATAATTTAAAAGTGTTTAAATGATTCAAAAAAAATCGGGACGGCTTTTATCTTTGTGCTTAAACCTCCAACGGATCAACGACTTTAAAGATAGAAGTCGATCTCAAAACGACTTCAGAAGCATCCAATCGATCCAATTCGATCAAACTCGTAATTAAATTCCCTATCGAACAATCAGAAATCGTTAATAACCTCATCGTATGACTCGTATGTTGAAAATCCAACGCGGCGATCCTTTCTTGGCTCAATCCAACTTTTAAAGCCAACAAACACCAATCTCTTCCATGCGGATCAGGCGGATCCAATAATCCGCAAAGTTTTAATTTCGTGGGAGGTGGTAAATCGTAAATTTTTAACCCACACCCCCATTGGATGCTATTAGCGAGTTCCGCGTCTCCAAATAAAACCAATTGCGCCATACTTTCCGCTTTTTCTATATCCGGGTTAAAAACGGTCACATCCGGAATCGATTCCGAATCGAGAATCGCCGAAATAATCGTTTGGGGGTTATAACAATACGGCTCGGAGTGATGAACGCGCAATTGGTGGCTACTTAAAACATGTTTTTCGTACAATAAACCTGGGCAAATCGTCGAAATCGCCTCAGTTATTATTTTCACTGTTTGGTCGAAAAACGCAAACGAGAATTTTGAGGATTGGCGGGGACCGCGGATTTTTATCTCGACGTATTCGACGCCTCTGACATCCTCGTTTAGGGTTATTAATGTTTCTAGGGTGGTCGTGCACAGCTTTGAACCGTGGTACCATTGATACAGGTCTATATCGACGTCACCGAATGATGAGTTTAATGTTGAACGTCTTAATTCAATCTAAGCAATTGAATTTGTTTGTTAGTATTTGGGGTTTAACTCAAAACATTTACTAACATAAAAACGAACATAAAATAATATTGCTCTATAAATATAGAAATTAAAAAAATAATTGGGGAAAAGTTCGTTTCAGCAGCATTTAAGACACGCTCAATAAGTACAATGTCTTTCCGGTTGTTCTCACAGAATATTTGTATATTGGTGATATATAGGTGTCCCAAAAGTTTGGGAACCTAACTTTGCGATGTTGTAATTTTGTTCATAACGATTTTGTGGCTGAGCCAAGCTGGAGTGACTCATTGTCAGAGTACAATCCGTCGTACTAAGGCCACTAAGACGTAAGAGAGAGTTAAGACAGATGTCTGGCAGGATAAAGGAAAAAAAGAGAAGGTTTCAGGCCAGAGCAAAGATAATTTTAACTCTTTAATTTTGAAATTCTAATTGATGAAAGTGTTAAAGCAGGCGGCTAAATATTTTATATAGCTACAAAGAGATTTCAGATGATGGAACATTTTAATAATAATTGCATTTTTCCCATTAATTAAACACAACCTCAAAGGTTATTATTAAATTTGAAATTTACATAGGTTTTATAAATAAATCAACAAGAACCTGTAGTTCTTTAATGCTGCTGAAACAGCTTATATTTTTGTTAATATTTTGAATGCGTTGTTAAAAACTGTGGTTAAAAATAATTAAGAACTCCGAAAGTACGAGAAGAAATAAAAGCAAAAAACTATTTAACAAAATCACAATAAAAATAATCGCTTTATCACTTACTTGAATGTAGGGAAACATCGATGAAAATAAATGGCACGTTTCCGGTGGGGTGTACAATCTTAAACCTCCATAACAAGCCCCTGTGGTTCTATATCGCGGATCTCCAGGATCCCATAATCCCGATAACGTTTCTATGTGGTTGTAAATCGGAAATTCGTATTCTACATCACCATCAACATCGCACTAAAAACAAATAAATTTTGTTACATAATAATTTTCTCCAAAACGGATTTAGATTTACGAGATAAAACTTTTTTACGTCCGAAAGAAACGTTTTAGATTAGGTTACACTAAATTTTAATTTGACGTTTTGATTTTTTGAAAAGTGAGGTTAAGAAAAATGAAAGATTTCTGTATTAACGATCAACTATTAATAGGAAATTCTTTGTTCAAACATAAAATATTCATAAAATAACCATCACCATATCAACATCACACTAAAAAGAAATAAATTTTGATAAATAATAAGTTTATCCAAAACGGATTAAGATTTACGAGTTAAACCTTTTTTACGTTCGAAAGAAACGTTTTAGGTTAGGTTACGCAAAATTTTAATTTGACGTTTTAATTTTTTGAAAACTGAGGTTAAGCAAGAAAGAATGATAGATTTCTGTATTAACGGTCAATTATTAATAGGAAATTCTTTGTTTAAACATAAAAATATTCATAAAATAACGAAAGAAGCGGAAGAATAGACTATATAATTTATTCTACATACATGAGATATGCAGTATAAAATATGAAGGTAATAAGAGCAGCAGAACTACCAACCTAAAAGCACCTCCGAAAGAAACAACATATGAAAGACTAAAATTGAAAATTAGAAAATCAGGAAAGAAGGGACGAGTAAATCAGAATAACAGTGTAGTCCTAAGGATAGATGGAAAAAGTTAAAGTAACCAACTTTTTGCTGAATTTTCTGCAAAAATAACTAAAAAAAATGAAAATGGAAAATCAGGTATGGAATGCGGAAGAAACTACTGACTAAATATAGATGACAAACACTAAGAATTGCTTTTGAAAGGTTAGATATTGCTGGTAGATGACTAAATATTGATGGCAGAAACTAGATGTCACTAAGAGAAGGCTTGATATTGTTGCGAGTAGACTAGATGTTGATGACAGAAACTAATTATTACCAATGGAAGGCTAGATACTGCTAGCAGATGACGAAATATTGATGGCAGAAAGTAAACTTTACTAAGGGATGGCTAAATGCTGTTGGAAAAAGACTAGATTTTACTGGCAGAAATTAAGTATTACTAAAGGAAGACTAGATACTGCTGGCAGAAAATAGATATTATTGATGGAGGGTAGATACTGCTTGCAGAGAACCAGATATTGATAGCAGAGACTCCAATTACATCTGCAACATTAAATAATGTATAACTAAGGTTGAAATTTTAAAACATCATATCTCAAGAAATAATTGAGATATAAAGATGAAATAACCAGCATTATAAAGTAAATTTAATCTAGTTTTTAGCAGCTAAAAAATTATTTCTTATACTCTATGAATGTCGTCGTTAGCAATTTTTAAATACAACTCTGCATGTTAAATAAAGAAAGTCTATAAATTGAAAGTTTAACGCGTCGTATTTCAAGAACCAATTGAGATACAACGATGAAATAAACAGCATTTTAAAGCAAATTTAATTTAGTTTCAGCATCTAAAAAATTAATTCTAATACTGTATGAACCTCGTTTTCAGCAATTGTTAAATACAACTCTGCGTGGTAAATAATAAATATCTAAGGTTAAGAGAAAGAAGAAGAAAGTGAAATTAAAAATGTTGAAAGTTTTAAAATGATAATTGAAGTTAGATTATATTAAATTTAAGTATTAAATTGTTCCAAATCTTTTGATTAATTACCTCGATGCATAATTCTAGAGATCTTAACAATTCCAAAACTCCAATAGCATCACATTGATTATAACTGGCTTGAAAATCTTCAGCAGTATAAACTCCAGTAACCCGAGCGTGTAAAATAAATTGATTTGAAAGTAATTCGCCGATTAATTGAGTTCCTAACCAAGAAACGTTTAAAACGACCAAATCGTTTACGCAAAATACTTCACCCATGGCGTGTAATTGTTGGAGTAATTCGTGAATATGATCGTCCGACGCCAAGATATTAACGTGAAGACGTAGATATTCCGAAAAAATCGGGCGGGTTAAAACAGGAAATTGTTCGTGGTCTTTGTGAAGAGTTGTTAGATAATTTAAAGTTGATTCGAGTAATCCAGTCCAAGTTCCAATCGTTTGCTAAAATAAAAATGAATAAAATATTAAAAAAAAATATTTAATATAAAGAAATTAAGATTTTTGATTTAAAATTTGATTACGATTAACTTTACACACGAAATCAAAATAAAACGATTATGTACAGGAAAAAAATTGTGAATCACAACACATTTTGTGTGCTAAATGAATAAATTTGTTGAGTTTATTTAAAAATTGCTCTTAACACACAAGATACCTTCGTTTTAGACGTAATCAAATCGTAAGAGTTCCCTTTCCTAACGCAAGATTTTACATAAACACCCTGTAAACGTTTATTTATTTCTTAGTTTTACAAATTAATTTTTTGAGTCAATTTACCTGGATACAATCTTGCTTAATTGACGTCAAAATTGATTTTAATTGTTTAAAAGCGTGCGAAGCGGGAACATTGCAGTCCATAACAATGGGGTTTACGATCAAATTGGGGGCATGTGGTACCATTTTTCGTAGTGTTTCAACCGTTTTTTGGGCATCCGTGCTAATCCACTCACCGTGTTGGTTTTTTATGGCGCGGGTAGTGTCTACGTGGGTTGCTATTAAAATTATTTTACCATATTCAGCTAAAAATATAACTAAGTTATATAAAATTATTATTGCTTAATTAATTAACTTGTTGGAACATCCGCAGGTTGTCTCGCTAAAATAAAATTTAGCCAAAAACAAACTTGTTGGACTTGAACGGCGGGGGAGTCTTCCAAGTTAAAAAGAATCGCCGTTAAAGTATACGGGGAGGGCCATAAAAAATGGTGGTACGTGGGGAAAAAGTTTTCTTGGCCTGAAAAATCCCACACGCTTACATCGCCCACATTCGAAATTTCCACCTAAAATAAAGAAAAATTAATAATTTAGAAAAATTCCATGTGAAATGACCCAAAAAGCACGTTAAAAATAAAAAAGTGTAGAATATACCGAAAAATCACATTAAAGTTTCGAAGTTTTTTCATCGAAATTCTTAATCCCCATTAAATTTCCTTTAATACAAACCCAAACACGACTAAATTATCACCAAAAACAACCGAAATGTTAAAATTATTTTGACAGTTGACGTATGACGTTTTAGGTTAATTTTAATAAAAATGTATTTTTAAAGATAAATAGGTTGTGTTTGACCTTAATTTTAAAGGATTTTTTACCCTTAATGCATGGGTAACGATGAAAAACAAAAAAAAACGAAAAATGAGTACTTCCGGTTTTTAAAACTTGAAGTTTTTTTTAACGAAATTCTTAATCTCCATTAAATTTCCTTTAATACAAACCCAAACACGACTAAATTATCACCAAAAACAACCGAAATGTTAAAATTATTTTGACAGTTGACGTATGACGTTTTAGGTTAATTTTAATAAAAATGTATTTTTAAAGATAAATAGGTTGTGTTTGACCTTAATTTTAAAGGATTTTTTACCCTTAATGCATGGGTAACGATGAAAAACAAAAAAAAACGAAAAATGAGTACTTCCGGTTTTTAAAACTTGAAGTTTTTTTTAACGAAATTCTTAATCTCCATTAAATTTCCTTTAATACAAACCCAAACACGACTAAATTATCACCAAAAACAACCGAAATGTTAAAATAAAATTATTTTGACAGTTGACGTATGACGTTTTAGGTTAATTTTAATAAAAATGTATTTTTAAAGATAAATTAGTCGTGTTTGGGTTCATTTTAAAGGATACTTCACCCTTAATGTATTGGTAACTATGAAAACAAAAAAATTTAAGATAAATGACGTTTCAGCTGTCATTATTGACATTGCAACGTAGCTTTTTCATTTTTCCACCAAAACTAACATTCTTGGGTATCAATTCGAATAAATCCAACCTCCTCAATCCAAATTTAGTACTAAAAGTTATAATTAATTACTAAAAAATCAAGATGGCTTCCAATATGGATTTTTTTTTGAAAATATGTGTTGTTGGGTGTATCGTTTTGAATAATTTAAGTGTGATCTTTTTGAATTTCACACTTATTTTTAATGAACTAAAAATCTGAAAACATTTTTTAATTGTAACCACACTAATATATATAGATATCACAAGAAGTGACGTCACGTCGAAACTTTAGTGATTTTTCGCTCACAAAAAAATCGTTCGAGGTTGCAAAAGAATTTCGCTGTCGTGTATCAAACAATATTTTTTCGAAAACTGCGTGTTCTAAAGTTTATAAATTAATAAAACGACCAAATAAAGTAATGACATTTAGAATTTGACGTTTCAATGTTATGTCTATTAACTAAACGTCATATTATAAATTTTCATTTAAACATGAAATGAAATGATAAAACAATTAAATGTTCATTATTTTGTCAACTTTGAATAGCAGTTTTCGAAAAAATGATTATTTATTTACATTTTGCATATTAATCCCATTTGTGGATTGATAATTACAGGGTGACTCAAAAGTTAACGAATTTTGGCGTGAAGTTATCCCCATTTCGATTTGGGAGTTAATTGGAGATGATGGTCGAGCTAAAATTAAAAGATTTCAAAGTCAATTTAAAAAAAATGTTTAACATTTACATTTATTGCTTTGCAACGAACTCGATCGTCGAAACAACGAACTAAAAAGTCCCGCATTTAACGATTTAACCAACGAAGTTTTTCCAACTCCGCAATGTCCCAAAATGCGAAGCGAAGTCCTCAAAGCTGGTTTCGAAGTTGGTACTAATTGTCGCGCAAAAACATCTCTTTGTCCCGTCGCTCTCAATTTATCTAACAACTCTGCTATATCATTATGACCATATTTTAAAGCGGTTATATCCGCGCGGATATTATCAGAATTTTTTACTTCAATATTACAACCAGCTGTACATAAACATCTAAAAGGATTTTAATATATTTTTATTAAAACCCAAATAATTTAAAAAGAAATACTTCTAAACTAAATTAAAACCAAAAAAAAAAAAAAAATGTAGGTTATGTCTAAATGAATAAAAAAAAAGATTTCTACCTTACAACGTGAATATGTCCATTTCTGGCTGCTAGATGCAAGGGGAAAAGCCCCCCAGTTGTTGTAACCTCTACACTACAACCGAGAGCACACAGAGTTTGAACTACCTCTAATAAACCTAACGCGCAAGCTATATGAATCGGATAATCCCCATGCTAGAAAGAGAAATTACAGAAGAAACAACAATAAGATAATTCATGCCCCAAAACACCCTCCTTAATACTATAAACTAAAAAAAAACTAATAATTTCTTTGTTTTAGTTTTCTTACAGAGTCTTTTAACTCGAAATCAGCCCCTGATTGTAACAAATAAAGGGCTATTGTTGTGTACTTTTTTCGTAACGATAAATGTAGCGCCGGATCGGGGCCTACATCCAATTCGACCCCTTCCTCAACTAAATATCTAAAAATTTATTTATTTACACGATTTATAATGATTATAATTTTTATTATTACATACCTAACCTCTAAAAGACACCCCTCAAGGGCGGCTATTTGTAATTTTGTATAATCATCAAGTGAATACGATGATCTTCTACTCATTATTCTATTTTTTATTAATAATTTATTCGAAAAAACGCATTTATATATCAATATTTTTTATAATTTCGATATTTTCAATAATTCACCACCAATAAGGGGAAAAAATGAATCAGAGCGCCATCTATTGGTGAGAGTTTTAATACGATTTGTTTAAAAAGTAAAATAAAAGATAATTTTATTTTATTATAGTTATTAACTATATAATAATAATTCATTAATTTTAATTATTTAAAAAAATATAATAATTTTGATATTAATACGACCGAGATGATCCATAGTGAACATAGTGGAACATAGTCACTGATGTATATTATCATTACCTACTTTAGCGACTTTTGTTTTGATTGATTAATTTTGTTAACTAATTTTTATTAAAGGGTTTTTAATTTAACTTTTAGATGTTATTTTAGATATAAATAAAAAAATTGTATTGACATATTTACCATGTATCCTTAATAACGCGTCATCATCTTGTCTCATTTTAGAACCTCAATGGGTTAAAATCCTAATTAGAACGCTTTGATGGATCCATAGGGCTCATAATTGGTCAAAACATCAACTATCTTCCAGTGCTTTGAGTCTTCCAAGTTCTTATTGTTTGCTAAAAAGAAACAAATATTAAGTGAAAATATGTATTAGATTAAATACAATTTTATTTGAAATTAAAATTTTTTAATTCTTACCTAACCTATAAAAGTTATTATTACGCCATCTATTGATGGGCGTTTCAATTTTAAATATGATTCGTTCTTAAATGAAATAAATTTTTTTTGTTATTATTTTAACTTTTTAATTATTTATTTGATTATCAAAAAAGAAAGATATAATAATAATAAAATTAATTTATTAATTAAAAAAAAAAAACTTAACGCCATCTATTATACTTTTCTTAAACCAACATTTGACATTATTCAAAACCTAACCTAAAATTTTATTTTGTTATTGTAAAGTAATGAATCATGGCCTGGAAATTACTCGAATTAGTTTATTACTCCCTCATATTCGTTATTTTACTAGCGGCGAAGACTTATGGTATCAATTGCGGTTCTGATCCATGTAAATGTCAGCTAAGCGAAGATAAATACCTGAATTTCACCGAATTGAAAGGTGATAGAACCGTGGGGAGCGTTACTTATCATTATTACGGGTGTAAAAATACCGTTTTAAATAACGATTGTAAAGAGACAACCGTAAGTTTAACTTTCTTTTTAATTTTAATCGCGATTAATTTTTAATTCCGTAGTTGTGCTTGGAAGAAAAAATTAACGAAAATACAACCAAATGGACCAGTTTGGGTAATCAAAAGGATATGCAATTCGAAAACTCAAAGATCGGAGCCGATTATGATATTATTTATAGGTAGGTTGATTTTAAAATTTGACGGTTAGGTCTTTTTAATTTTTATTTTGTAGTAAAAGTAGAATTGGTTTGATTTGCACAGAACATTTTAATGAATCTGTATTAGTAGAAAAAGACATATCAAAAGTTAATGAGCCTGTAAGTTTTTATGTAAAAGAGTTCCTTAAAATAATTTAATGACATTTAGGTTAAATGTCAAATTTCAGGATGCCAACTTTAAAAAGAAAAATTATTTTATCGAACTCAAAAAATTAAAAAAATGATTTTAAATCATCCTTTTTGTTAGGTGCTATTTATATTTTCGAATAAAGGTTGTGCAATAATCATTCAACATCATGGGATGAGTACAGGAGGGACTTTGGTTGTTTTATTATTGGTTGGATTTGCTGTTTATTTTGTGGGTGGAGCGATTGTACTTTATTGTATTAGAGGAGCTCGTGGCAAAGAGATGATACCAAATATTGATTTTTGGCAAAATTTGCCTGGTTTAGTAAAGGTAAGATTACAAATAATTTGAAGGTTTGATTATTATAGCATATTTTGTTGTAGGATGGTGTAATATATTTATTAAATGGCTGTAGACCAACTGCTGTATCCACTGCTGAATCTTATGATCGAATATAAACTCTGAAATTATTTTCCTTTCATGTTTTTGTGTGTGTGTGTGTTTATTATTAACTCCTCGACTGGATTCATTAGTGTATTTATAAATTTTCTAATATAGATTAATAAATAAAGATGTTTAAATAAATTGATTTATATTTAACCTAAATTACCAACCTAAAATAATGATTAAATGAAGATGACTATTGCCAACTTACTAAAGTTATGAATGAAAATGGTGGAAATTTTTGAAATTATTGAAATTTTTTTTGATTTAAAGTAGTTGACAATCACGTAAAAATCTGTTTGAAAATGAAAACGTCCAACAAAGATTAAAAAATACTAAGCCATTTGATTTTGCCTATCAGTAGTAAATAGTGAAAAAGCAGAGGTAAAAAAAAAGTTTAACCTCACTTATTATGACATGTTGATTATTTTACAAATTTAACTAAAAAAATATCTACATATTTACCATATTCTTTTAACATTTTTAAATTTCTTTCGAAACCGGTAATTCTTCTATTCCCATTCGCCCCCGATGCTTCCAAAGTCGATATCTAGCTAAATCTTTTCGCGTAACCATTCCTATAACCTAAAAATTAATTGAAAGTGAGGTTATGTTTATCTTTTATGATTTTTAGGTTATATCTTACTTCATTTCTGTCATTTACAACTGGTAAATGTCTCAAACCTAACGCTCTAAATAAACGGAACATTCTTGGTAAAGTAAACGACTACAAAAAAGAATTGTCACGAAAAAAAAATTTAAATTAATTAATTTAATTACATGTAAAATTGTGTAAGGGGATCTATTCATAAACGGTCTCAAATCGATTGAGTAAGTTTTTTCTTGGTCGTCTATTTCGATTTCTTCGATTGTTGGGTATCTTGGGTATTCATCTCTGAAAATGTTTGAGTCAATTTGTTCCCAATCGTCGACGGATTCGTTAAAAAGTTTCTTTTTTAAAATCACAATCAATTGAGATCGTAAAATTAACCCGCGAATTCTCCCGTAAGTTGTTACCTCTTGCTAAAAATGATTTTATTTCAATATGAGGCAATAAAATAAGGGATTACGAGTTTACTTGATCTGTTAGGGGTGGATCAACGACCGGAAATCCGTTATAAGTCGTTAATTTCAATAACTCAACGATATGTCCAACGTTTTCCACCGTTTTTAAAGTTACAACGGGATGTGACATAACCTCACTAGCATAAATGCTATTAGCCATCGGCGGGGGATCCCACGGTAATAAAGGAATCCCGTTTAATTGGATGTGAGTGTCGTAAATGCCTTCGTTAAAAAAATCGCCAGTCCATTTAGCCGCTATTAATGCAACGATTAGCGGTAAACCGAATGATATATTTCCAGTTGTTTCCATTATAATCACAGTTAAACTGATCGTCATTCGGACAATTCCTCCTAGTTGAGCGGCGGCTCCGATTAAAGCATACTTCCCTGGATGCATTGTAATCATTTCGGGGAAAATATTGTTTAGCCCAACAGCGAATAATCTCCCCCAAGCAGCTCCTGTTAATAACGACGGGATGAATAAACCGTTAGAAGTCGCTAAACCAAAAGTCCAACATGAAAGTAAAAAATAAAAAACCACGAAAACCGCCAAAGATAAAGCGTTGTGAGTATTTGGAGGATCATGGAGTAGCGATCGCACGCTCGCTTCCGGAGTTTGAAACCAAATACTAGCCAAAACGTTATATTGGCCGTCTTCGCAATACATTTGCGTTGGATATTTCGTTGGATCTTGCCCAAGTGGTTTGCAATCATTTAGCGCAAACATCATCATTATTCCTAACGTTGCGGACATAACGGCTACAAGACATGCTTCAATCACTCTTAACCAACGTTTTCTTAAATAACTAATTCAAAAATTAATTAATTAATTAAAAAATAATAAAAATACTTACATAATTCTAAAAACCGATAATTTATAATTAATGTGATTCCACAACGCTCCAAATAACCCCCCTAAAAATCCCATAAATACAAAAAGGGGTAATTCAAATATTTCGTACGATCCAGATTCAAATTTTCCTAAATTTAATAAACCCGGGTAACTCAAATCGCCGGGAACTCCGTGATAAGCGGATAAAATCGTGTTGAGTGTAAAAGTGCTCACGATCGAAGCGAAAAATGTCCTCCAAGTTAAACTTTGATTCCAAAAACTTGAACCTTCCTCCAAACTGAATAAAACTCCACCTAAAAAAAGTTTAAATAAAGTTTAAACGTCAATGTGACACAAATTCAATGTCACCAACTGTAACCAACTTCACAACAATTTGTCAAAATTAAATGTCAATTTTATGAAACGTTTTCTTTTACGAAAATTAATTAATTTATGCTTATCAGTCATGTCATAACCATATATTAATATGGATTTTTTTTGTATTGTTAAACATACTGTTTATTGTTGTTTGTATGCGATAGATGGCAGTAATAAAAGAAAAATAATATCCCTAGATTGTCTAAGTACCGCGATTTGCCGCCATTTTGGTTCGAAAATCAAGCGGGAAATTTAAAACTATGTCGTTTTGTTGATAAAATTACGCCAAATTTCCTTTCTTTTTTTTTTCTCGTGGTACTTTGAAGAGTCGAAACTCCTTCTTACTGATATTTTTGCAGCTCCAAAGACAATAAGACGACATTATTTTTGTAAATAAGTGGTGACATGCACTGACAAGCTGTCAAACCGCCATTTTGATTTTTTACTTAAAAATTTAACTTACCAACGGGGGCTCCAAACGCCGCCGAAACACCCGCTGCGGCCCCACCACAAACGAAATCTCGTTTCTCATGGTCCTCCCGAAAATATTTAAACAATTTAAAATCTGTACGAAAAGTTGTCGATTTTCCTTGCGAAATTCCAGCTGCAACGACCGCTCCGGAATGAATCATGGGACCTTCCTAATTAAATAAAAACTTTTTATAAACATTGTTGTAACAAAATCGAAATAAAACAAACTTTTCCTCCAGCTAATCCTCCAACAACTGAGCAAATTACTCCAATACTTTTAACAGCTAGCGTTTTTATTCGAACAACTCTTGGAACTTTAACTCCATTTAAATAACATTTAACTTGTGGAATTCCACTCCCAGCTGCAATGGGCTTAAATAAAACAAATCAAACAAATTGATTTAAAAAAAGAAATTTTAAGGTTATGATACCTCAACATATGCAACTAAAAGTGATCCAATTAAGACAGGAATTAAATTGTACAACATCCAATAAAGATAGGGAATATATAGCTTGCCTTCTATTACATATTTATCAACAACTAAATGTAAGATAAAGTAAAATATATTTATTTTGGTTAAAACATAACCTAAAAAAATTAATTAATTAAAAGGATACGTTTGCTTAACGATCTATATTTGATTTGAGACAACTCCTCAATTGATATATCAATGGTACAAGCTACTAAAGCAGTGATCATTCCTATTAATAAAAAAATAAACCATCGGGCTACATTTCGTTTCATAAAATATGTGTCATCTTTTTCGCGTTCTTCGTCCAATAACAAATGATTTTCGCATATATCATAGTCTAAACTCTACAATCAAATCGTTAAAAGATGTTGTGATGACGAAATTAATAAAATCACTTCGTATTTAGCCGAGAGAACGTTTAACGAGCCCGGTTCGACGAATCCGCCCCTTTTTTGCGTCCTACACCTAACCGAAGATAATAACGGATTTTCATCGTTTGTTGTAACTATTTCGTCTAAATCATCATTACTTGCTGAATTAACTGATTGGAGGTTCTACAAATAACGAATTAATTACCTCATTTTTTTTTGATTTTAACTTACTCTAAATCTTTTCGCTTTTATTTCATCTTGCGAGCTGGTACTCGCCCCTAAATCATTGTTTTCGTCCATATTTGCCTCATTTAGGTTTCTTTTGTGTTATAGATAAGGAATGAGGATGATTCATTAGAAGTAATTGAGATTTTATTTTATTTGAGGTTATGTTTTTTGTTTACCTTTATCTGTCAAAAATTTTTTTTTAGGTTAAGTCAATAAATTGTTTTTGATATAAAATTGTTTTAATATAAAAAGTTTTTGATATTATGGACGGATTGGTTTCTTAACATACATTTTTTGTTAGATGAGATTCTATAATACTAATTAAATTTTGTTTTAACTAATAAAAATAATAAATGTTTAATAAAACGATAAAACCTAATCCAAAAGATAACTTTAGCGTCGTCGTTGAGTTGCATTCATCACTTGAGCAATAACACTCTTGCCAAAAGACCCCATTGGGATAAACACCCCAATTGCAAACTCCTGTAATACCCGTTTCAGCAACAGAAGCACATTGTCGTATTACTTGTCTCCATCGTCCATCCCCTAAAGTAATTGATGTATGATAACTCATTGTTAAAGCAGTCAAGAAACTTACAAATGAATCCTTTTGGGCTTTGTCGCGTGCTTTTTAAACAAAACGAACCAGGCATGTGGCTTTCATCGCTGGTGCATTCAATCGCGATGTGTTCCCGCTTATCAAACTTACGATAGGCCCCACAATTATCTTGATTTTTTCCATCGTTATCAGAACTACACTGAAAACACCTTATCGCTTCTGTTGTTAAAAATAACGATATGAATAAGACGAAGAAGATATTTAGGTGTTTTAGTGAAACTTTAAACATTGTTTAATGTTCTTTTTTTGGTGTTAATTAAAATAATGGATTAATCATCCAGTTGTTGACAAAACATGGGTTGGGTTATTTTTTTACAGGTTTCTGTAACTTTTTTTAGGTTATGTTATCAACAACAAAACTATATCAAATTATGACTCATTTAATTATTATATTATCTTTATTTATAATAAATAATAAGAAAATTCGGTTATTAATTTATCCCTATTCAAGCATAATTAAAAATAACGATTTTTTTAATTAAATTTAACGTAATGAGCGCCATCTATCGGACAGAATTTATTCGCTCATAATTTTTTAAGTTATCAAGTTTAAAATCGAAATTTTCCCGTAATCAAAAACTTCCCACTAAAACACTGGACAAAACGAACCGGGCACGTGTTTTTCATCACTGGTGCATTCAATCGTGATCAAACTTACGATAGGCCCCACAATTATTTTGATTTTTTTCCATCGGTATCAGAACTACACTGAAAACACCTTATCGCTTCTGTTATTAGAAATAACGATATGAATAAGATGAAGAAGATATTTTGGTGTTAATTAACATAATGGATTAATCATCTAGTTGTTGACAAAACATGGGTTGGGTTATTTTTTTACAGGTTTCTGTAATTCTTTTTATCAACAACAAAATTATGTCAAATTATGACTTATTTAATTATTATATTAACCTTATTTATAATAAATAATAAGAAAATTTCGTTATTAATTTAACCCTATTCAAGCAAAATTAAAAATAACGAATTTTTTAATTAAATTTAACGTAATGAGCGCCATCTATCGGAGAGAATTCCTTCGTTCATAATTTTTTAGGTTATCTAGTTTAAAATTGAAATTTTCTTGTAATAATCAAAAACTTATCGGTAAAACACTGGTAAAAGTTTTTTTATGGTATGATATGGTGATTCTGCAGATTTAATTAGTTAACTTGTCTGTTTTAAATGTTTAAGGTAAAATGCCTTCAAAATGGAGTAAGGAGCCCCAACCAAAAGTTTTTTGTCTTAAAGAAGCGTTTTAAAGGAATCCCGAAGATTTTATTTAAATAAAGACTCAACAATGAATTCCGTTAATGAAACAGCTTTGGAAGAAACCACAAATGACTCAAGAAATAAGTCAACAAAGAACTCAAAATTAGATCCAAAACAATCAACCGAAGATCCCCTTAAAGAATACTTCAACAGTATTGCAAATAGTGAAACTTTACGTTTAAACTTTCAATCGTTAATATCAGTACTTTCAAGCAGTTTAAGAATTGATTTGACAAATGTGTCACGGCCTATGAAAAATGTGCTTGCAGAATCGTTGTGTTATTTTATAAAAAATTGGTCTGGATGGCAAGAATATAAAAATCTGGTGTTAAAAGATGAATGTTTTTCGAAATTCAAAGATTATCTCCGGGCAAAGTTAACCTATATTATTGAAAATGAGGGTGAATTTTGTAAGAGAAGCAATAAACCAAAACCAACAATGGTTGCTGCTGAAACCCAAACGGATTTGCCACCAAAAGATAATAAACCAGAAGCTCCTTTTAGTTTAACTATTTCTGGACCACCACATTTTTTAAATAATATGGTTTTTGTTGAAATAAACAGTAAGTTTAAACATTAAGTTATTTTCAGATTTAAAAGTGAATTAATTTTTATTTTTAGATAATTTTTTACTAAAACAGCATTCAGAGAAACCATGGAATCTGGTACCCTCAACAACATTTTTTCTAAACCATCCTTATGTTAAAATTAGTATCAATTTACCCAAAATTCGATTTTCACGCTCTAATATCCATGATTATAAAAGTTACTTAACAGATGATGGGGATATGGCATCTTGTCCCAAAACAGACTTTATTAGTGAAGTTCTAAAAACTTCTAATGTAACACCTAAAGTGTTTTCATTCAATTTCATCTCTGCTTATTTTGAACAATTAATATCCATCATGGCGAAATATAACGTTAAGAATTGCTTATTGATTCAAAGCATCATGAATGAGTATTTAAGGGATATTAAGGACTGTAATATAAATGGATGCACGATGGCATCACCTTTTATGGTAACTTTTAATATTGGGAAAAATGTTTATGTTCGTAATAAAAAAACTGTTGCTTGTGCTAGCAAAAGGTAAGTTAATAATGAATTATACCGGGAAATTCATGTAACTTGCAATATACCGGATGTTTCATAATATATGCGCAGGACTTCAGAATGTGATAACTTGTCCAAAAATTTGAAAAAAATTTCTATCAACTTACCCTCTAAAATGCACCATTTTCGAGATATAGGGTGTTAAAATTTAATACAAAAAAAAAATATAGAAAAAATAGCTATCACATCCTGAAGTCCTGCGCATATATTATGAAACACCTGTATATGAATGCAATAACCATAGTTATGAAAATATTGTGCGCTTGCACTTTACCACATAAAATGCAACATAGCTTAATAGTACAGGAATTGAGTAGTTTTGTAACGGAAAAGTTTTGCTTGAAAATAGCGACGTCCTTATAAGAAAAAATGTCAAAACTTAAGGTTAGTATTAATATTTAAAAATTATGTTGCTAACTTCATTGTTGCCAACTTCAGGTTTAGTACTTTTTATTCTCATTTGAATGGTTATTTAATAAGGATTACGAATATATCAAGATTAAATTTGACATAACACCATGAAGTTGAGATATCAACCTCAATTTTGACGTATTCGTAATTGTCAATACGAATCCTTTGAAATGAGTACCAACACGACATATTTCATTTCAATATTAATAAAGTTACGGTCAATTTCCGGTTTGAAATGTCAACGTCAATTTAGACACATTCGTAATTTTAACAAAACGTCTTTTAAAATAAATACAATTTTTCATAAAAGCCGAAAATATAAGAAAAAATGTCAAAAATTATCAGAAAACCTAGAACTAGAAACATTCAGGTTTAGCCGTCTTAAGAGACGCACGGCTAAACGGAATGTTTCTGGTTTTAGTGCTAGTGTCTATAACGGACGATGGTTTTACTGTAATGTTGCATTTTATGTGGAATAAAATAAGTAGGTACTTCCTGATTTCTATGGAAATATAATTATATATGACTTCTACATCTTAAATGAAATTCACTGCATAGACGTAAAATTTAACAAACAACAATTTTATTTTTAGCAAAAACAAAAATGTAATACATTTTTGCCAAATCCTAACTCCAAAAGTCGCATTTTCACTCGAAGAATTTAACGTTGCAGAAACCGGAAGCACAAATACTTTTATGGATTTAAATTCAATGGACAAATTACTTAAAATGGGGTCTAAACTATATTTACAAGTTCTTAATAATTGCGTTACGCTTAGTTGTACGTTGTGCAATAAAGTATATCAAGGAGAGCATTGCTATTCTGAATGTATGGACCATTTCGGAATTGTACATAAAGGCGAACAAGAAGTTGTATGTTTTAAATGTCGCAACAAGTTTGATGTACCCAATTTGGCATCGACAAGATGGTATCATAATTGCCAAACATAAGTAAAAGAAGATTAAGTGATGATTAGTGTAAGAGTTGATGATATAATAAGGTTAAGTTTTATACATTGTTAAGTAATAAAGATTGTTTTGAACCCTATAACATTTTCGAGCGTCACTTTAATAGCGACGATTGTTTATTTATATAATTTTATTGAAATTATTGTTTAATTAAATCATTTAAAAACTCACCAGTAAACTGCAACAAGTGGAAATATCACTTCTTATTTGGATCATCTGTAACGAAAAAATCAATAACAATTTCAAAAAACCTATAATAATTTAGTTAATAAAAATAGTTAAATAAATTTTAAAACAAACTAAAAAAAAAATTAGGTTGGTATTCCTGATTGTACTATATTCACACCGTTGATTGACAACATAAACCTGTCATTTTCTAGAAACTCGTCATCTTATCACAAAATATCCAGCTTTTTCGATTAAACCGGAGCGAAATCTTTGCGAAATGGCTCGTTTCGGGTCATTTTTTAACGACATGGAGGATGATCCTCTATTTGGGTGCGTAATTTAAACCAAAACTCATTTCTTAATACAATACTCATTCTTAACACATCTCATCTTCCGCCATTTAATAAATTTCAATTTTATTTTTTATATAATATAACTTGTATTCTCTCTTAACCACCAGTTCCCATATGCGCACAATGCGTCAAATGAACACCATGATGAACTCGCTTTTTACGGATCCTTTTGGAATAATGAACAATGATTTTGGTGATCGTATGTTAACTCACCGTGCTCCTGCACCGTCTATGGCCCTCTCCCCGTTCGCAATGCCAAACATGAATCGTTTATTAAGCGGTTCTTTAGATAATTTGGGAAATAATTCGCATTGCTACAGTTCGAGTACCGTTGTAAGCATGGTTTCGGGACCTGACGGTCGTCCCCAAGTGTACAAAGCAAGTTCAAGCACTCGTATCGCACCCGGCGGCATAAAAGAAACTCAAAATACCGTTTCTGACTCAAGAACGGGAACCAAAAAAATGGCTATTGGTCATCATATCGGAGATAGGGCTCATATTATCGAACGCGAACAAAATGTGCACTCTGGAGATCAAGAGGAGCGCCAAGAATTTATTAATTTGGATGAGGATGATGCAGAGGGTTTTAATCATGAATGGGAGACTAAAGCTAAGAGTAGAAATGAAATTGGGGGTGTTTCGAGGTATAGAAGGCATCATGGGGTGCATCATTCTGGAGTTCCAGCTATTACAGCTGGTCCAAGGTGATTTTTTTGATTTATTAAAGTTATTTTTTCTTGCCTCTTTATTTTTATTTATGGTAGAAGTTTCTTTTTGTATATTTTTGATGTTTGCATGGTTTAGTAGTCGGCGACATAGAACGGGGTCGAGTTTGGTACCTGCCAGGCGAAGTATTAGACCATCTTTGAATGTTTCACATCAAAGCACTTCAAGGTACGGTTAATAAACGCACTTTTTTTTTGTTTTGTTGTTTGGGTGGCTTCTTGTAATATTTTGAGATCAAATTTTGTTAATATTTTGGTGTATGTCTTTTAGGTCCTTGAAAAGATATTGTTAAAGTATGGTGTAGTTTGTTTTTTGTAGTGAATGTAAGTAATTGGATTGCTTTTTTGTTTGATACTGCTTTTGTTGGTAATGTTTTATGATGATTTTCGGTTTTATTTGTTGTTGAATTGGACATCACTTGACAAAGCGACAAATGAATAATGTTGAGAAAAACGGGATTTTCGTTTTCATCTCTCTAAAAATATGATTTCTCAATATTTCTTTTTGTTTTGTTAAAAAAGTTCACATATCAAAGTCGAAATCAGATTATTAGTTACTAATTTACAAAATTAAAGTTTAAAAAGTTGTAAAATGAAATTAAGGACGAAGTGTTACAAGTTTACAGGTTAAAATTTAAGAGCGCTCCTTTTTAACAAAATGAATATTAAGAAACTTGGAAAAAATTCAAGAATCATCATATGACTTAAAAATCGACGATTTTTTTTTTAATCAACGTGAAATGACCCAAAAAACACGTTAAAAATAAAAAGAAAGAGCGCAGAAAAGTGATTAATTTCAGTTATAAAACATCTATTATATGATAACTAACTTCAGGTTTAAAATGTCAACCTCAATTTTGACATATTTGTAATCTTCATTAAAAATCCTTTAAAATGAGTACAAACACGACATATTTATCTTCAATATTAATGAAGTTATGGTCAACTTCCGGTTAAGAATGTCAACGTCAATTTTGACATATTTGTAATCGTCGTGAAAAATCCTTTAAAATCAGTCCAAACATGTTACTTTTAATTCCAATATTACTTGAGATATAAGCAACTTCCGGTTTGAAATGTCAATGTCATTTTGACATATTTTTAATTTTTATAAAATGTGTTAATATTTGTCACAAACAAAAAAAAAATCAAAAATTAAGGTTGGTATTAATATTTAAAAATTAAATTGCTATCTTCATTGTTGCTAACTTCGGGTTAAATGTTTTTTATTCTAACTTTTTTGTTTTTTGAGATAAGTGCGTCATGTTTGGACTCATTTTAAAGGTTTTTTAATGAAGATGACAAATATGTCAAAATTAACGTTGACGTTTCAAACCGGAAGTAATTGTATTTTCATTAATATTAAAGTTAAATATGTCGAGTTGACAAATATGTTTAGGTTTTTTTGAGATAAATGCGTCAAGTTTGGACTCATTTTATAGGTTATTTTATAAAGATTATGAATATAATATTAAAATTGACATTGACAACTAAAGCCGAATGTTTCTAGTTCTCAAGAAATTTCTTTTCTATCTAGTATTTTTGATGTTTAAACTATCAAATTTGACATTTGTACATATTTTAATATCAAGTAATCTTTTATTTGTAGCATTTTTGACATTTTAACATCAAGAATTTATTATTTCCAAATATTTTGATATTTAAACTGTCAAATATGACATATTTTCAAATTTTATAATCAGAAAATCTTATTTCTTTTACATTTTTTACTTTAAACTGTCAAATTTGACATTTCTGAACATTTTAATATTAAGAAATTTATTATTTCCAAATTTTTTGTCAAATATGACATATTTTCAAATTCTAAAATCAAAAACTTTTACGTTTAAAGTTATTGACTTTATACTGTCATATTTGACATTTCTAAACATTTTAATACCAATAAATCTTTTAATTCTAATATTTTTGACATTTGAACTGTCAAACTTGGCATTTTAATATTAAAAAACATATTTAACATATACATCATATCATTACTATTAAAAATAGAGATGATATGATTTTAAAATGTCGCTTAGTCAAGTGATGTATAACGCGACCCAATTATTAATAAAAACTTTTTTGAATTAGCTCGACATCTCGAAGACCTTACAGTCCTCCAGGTTCGGCGTCAACCACCAGGAAGAACAAGAATATTAAAACAGTTTCTGGTTCACCACCTCCCGATATATAAATCCATCGATTTTCGTTTCAATATTAAAAAAATATGATTATAGTATTGAATTGGGTTAAAATGGTTCAAAATATGTACCGCGTCATCTACTTTTTTTTGGTTGTTCAAAATCAAAGAGTTATTACTATTTAAAAGAATTAAAATATTATTTTTTAATTTAAACGTAATTTTATATCGATTTTAGGTTATCCCAAACAAGGGAACATTAAAACTCATTTAATTTAGATAATATTATAATTTAACTTAATAATTTTAATAAAACGCTCAGATAGGTCTTGTAAAATCCTGTTTGTTCTCTCCTCTATAATGTATTATTAAGTTCTAGATCAATAAAGTACAATTTATTGAGCTTTTTCGTTTTTATTAAAACTTTTTAGTTTAAGCGCCATCTATATCCAATTTGACAGTTTAAATTTGACATTGACAGTTGTTAAAAACAACATTATTAATAAAAAGAATGGACTCTACACCGAAATTACCGGAAGGTTTCGCCCTTTTTAAACGCGAAACTTTATTTTCAACCTCAGAAACCGACAGAAAATGTATTAAAACCACCAATCACCTTCAAGACATCTTCGGAAAATACAAAGGCGATTCTAACCTCGAAATTACGGTAACGTTAACTCTTTGCAAAGAAATCTTCATAAACGAGTTAAAAATCGACTACGAAAACGTTTCGTACTTAATGAAATACGGCCTTTCGGAATGTTTGTGCTTTTATTTGCAAATTTGGAACGGTTGGACGAATTCCTCGGCGACGTTCGAAGATTTGAAAAGTTACATAACCTCAAAAATCAAATTTCTCGTTGAGCACCAAAAAAAATTCTGCAAACCGGCTAAAAACGTGAACGATTTGGAGTTTTTAAAACGGCGGAACGAACAAGATTGTTACACTTTAACCCTTGAAGGTGAACCAAGTAAAATTAATAATAAACCTGCAAAACCTTACATCATCGAAGACGATGAAATACAACCTGAATGGTTACCATTAAACTTCTTAGAGTTCCTACATTACCCCTATGTTAACGTCGAAATTAATTTGCCATATATACAAATACGTAGAACTTCAATTATGGGGTATCAACGACACGGTTGGAGCAACGATTTTAATTTTGATGATTTGAAACCTACGGGAGATCCGAATCAAATCACTTCTAAAAAAATTGACTCCCTAACTTATAGGAAACATAAAAAAAAGGATATTTTAGAATTCATAGTGAAATTTTTAAAATGTACCAAAGACCTTAGAGATAAAATTGACGTCTGTTACCAATTAGGAGTCGTTTTTGAAGAATTCTGTTTAGATTTACAGAAAATAGGGGATGAGGAGATGGTGGAAGTTCCTGCAAGTATGGGTTGTCGTTACGGCGAAGAATTTTATGTGCGAAATAAACGAGTTGTTCACAAAGATAATACGTAAGTTAAAATTACTTAAAGAATTAAAAATTAATCGATTTTTTTCATTTTAGGGGTGATCCAGATCCTTTATATTATAAAGAAGTGCTAGTACCACAAGTTATTCTCGCCATATTAAAATTTAAACCCCAATCGAGCTTGATTTCAACACCCAAACAGCGAAAACGCTTTGTTGATCAAGTAAACGATTCGGTTGTGTTCAGCTGCTTGGAGTGCTCAATAAGTTTTGGGAAAAGAGACAGTTTTGCGAAGGCAACTGAACATTTTAGGATTCATCATAAACCGGAAAGTACGTTTACTTGTTCGAAATGTAGGAAAAAGATTAAGATTTATGATGTGTTAGAAAATAGGTGGAAACATGATTGTATAAATAATAAGAATGTCTAAAATATTACTAATAAAGTACTTAAAAGAAAGTAGGAATCTGTAATTATTTTAGTTTAGATTGTAAATAAGAGATGGCGTATTTATAATCATTAAAAAATATTTTTAAAGTGACAGTTGAGGTTATGTTTCGCGCCAAAAACGAAGCGTTCAATATTAATGCATCAACATAAAAAGAAAAATGTCGAAGAAAAGGGCAAGTACGCAAGGAAACACCTTACTTAATTACTTCCAATCGCCTAAATCAAAACCGAGGTTAGGATCCTCATCGAACTCGGAGAGTGAATCGAAAAATGAAACTCCCAAAAAAGCTCCAATAATCGAAGGTAAAAACTTAATTTTTAGCCTAAATAATCGTTTGTTAATAATCCCACGTTTTGTGAAGTCACAAACAATGTTAATCGTGCATTTTTATATTAAACCGATCAACACCTAACCTAAAGTTATTTTTGCCTAAACTAGGTGAGATTACAACGTATATTTACGGATGAAATACCCTTGTTTTTCTTAGGCTTTCGATGTATAACGATTGAGTACCTGTCGTTAGATAGACTCTGTGTTTATCATTTGCTTATTATATGATAGCTAACTTCAGGTTTAAAACATCAATTTTGACATATTTGTAATCTTCATTAAGAATCCTTTAAAATGAGTACAAACATGACATATTTATCTTCAATATTAATGAAGTTGTGGTCAACTTCCGGTTAGAAATGTCAACGTCAATTTTGACATATTTGACAAAATATAATAAAAAAAAAGGTCAAAATTAAGGTTGGTGAAATTAAGGTGAAGACAAATACTACCTATACAATACTAAAAAATGCTTGCAGAAGATAGATATTGTCTATAGAAGGTTAGTTATTGCTACCAATAGACTACACATTGATTGCAGAATACTAATATTGCTTGTAGAAGACTAAATACTGCCGACAGAAGACTAAAAACTCCTTGCGAAAGACTAATACTACCTATACAATACTAGAAACTGCTTAAAAAGATAGATATTGTCTATAAAAGGCTAGGTACTGCTACCAACAGACTAGAAATTGGTTGCAGAATACTAATATTGCTTGTAGAAGACTAAATACTGCCGACAGAAGACTAAAAACTCCTTGCGAAAGACTAATACCACCTACACAATACTAGAAACTGCTTTAAAAGATAGATATTATCTATAATAAGCTAGGCACTGCTACCAAAAGACTAAAAATTGGTTGCGGAATACTAATATTGCTTGTAGATGACCAAATACTGCCGCCAGAAGATTAAAAACTTCTTGCGGAAGACAAATACTACCTATACAATACTAAAAAATGCTTGCAGAAGATAGATATTGTCTATAGAAGGTTAGTTATTGCTACCAATAGACTACACATTGATTGCAGAATACTAATACTGCTTGTAGAAGACTAAATACTGCCGATAGAAGACTAAAAACTCCTGGCGAAAGACTAATACTACCTATACAATACTAGAAACTGCTTTAAAAGATAGATATTGTCTATAAAAGGCTAGGTACTGCTACCAACAGACTAAAAATTGGTTGCAGAATACTAATATTGCTTGTAGAAGACTAAATACTGCCGACAGAAGACTAAAAACTCCTTGCGAAAGACTAATACCACCTACACAATACTAGAAACTGCTTTAAAAGATAGATATTATCTATAATAAGCTAGGCACTGCTACCAAAAGACTAGAAATTGGTTGCGGAATACTAATATTGCTTGTAGAAGACCAAATACTGCCGCCAGAAGACTAAAAACTCCTTGCGGAAGACAAATACTACCTATACAATACTAAAAAATGCTTGCAGAAGATAGATATTGTCTATAGAAGGTTAGTTATTGCTACCAATAGACTAAAAATTGGTTGCAGAATACTAATATTGCTTGTAGATGACCAAATACTGCCGCCAGAAGACTAAAAACTCCTTGCGGAAGACAAATACTACCTATACAATACTAAAAAATGCTTGCAGAAGATAGATATTGTCTATAGAAGGTTAGTTATTTCTACCAATAGACTACACATTGATTGCAGAATACTTATACTGCTTGTTGAAGACTAAATACTGCCGACAGAAGACTAAAAACTCCTTGCGAAAGATTAATACCACCTACACAATACTAGAAACTGCTTTAAAAGATAGATATTATCTATAATAAGTTAGGCACTGCTACCAAAACACTAAAAATTGGTTGCGGAACACTAATATTGCTTGTAGATGACCAAATACTGCCGCCAGAAGATTAAAAACTTCTTGCGGAAGACAAATACTACCTATACAATACTAAAAAATGCTTGCAGAAGATAGATATTGTCTATAGAAGGTTAGTTATTGCTACCAATAGACTACACATTGATTGCAGAATACTAATATTGCTTGTAGAAGACTAAAAACTCCTTGCAGAAGACAAATACTACCTACACAATCTTTTCCACCAGTATCTAGCATTTTGGAGAGCATATCTCTTTTGTAAACAATTATTAAAGTCTTTGAAAACAATAAGTGGTCTTGGAAGCAGTATTACGCCTATCCAAGTAGGTCAAAACCTTTAACAGCAGTGTTTAGCGTTCTGGAAGCAATAGGTATTATTTTGAAAAGAGTATTTCCTCTTTCCAAGCAGTTTTTAGTCTTTTATTAGCAGTATTTAATCTTTTGATAGCAATATTTAGTCTTTTGCCAACAGTTTTAAGTTATCTTTAGTTTATAGATGGTATTTCACCCGAAAATATGCGTTTTAACATGATGATTTTTGAATTATACCATTAAAGTTTATATTAAAGTTGACAGTGAAATGAAAAATGAAGTATTAAGCGATGACGATGAAGATATAATAAAATCCTCGCAATCACGAAAACGCATCCGAGCTTTCAGTGATAGCGACTCAGACAACGAAAACTCTAAATCAGTTTTGAATGTATTAAAAACATCACGGAAAGATAAAAAATTAAAATTAGAATCATCTCCATCCCCGCCACAAAAAAAAGTGGAAACTTCAATCTCCCCCGTTGAAAAGCATAGATGGACCCACGAAAAATTAGACTTTTTAAAACCGGAAAACATCCGAGATAAGAACAAAAAGAAACTTGGCGATCCTAATTATGACCCAAAAACTTTATACGTCCCTGAAAATTATTTAAACTCAATAACACCGGCTATGCGACAATGGTGGGAAATAAAAAGTGAACACACGGATTGCGTTATTTTTTTTAAAGTTGGGAAATTTTACGAATTATATCACATGGATGCGACAGTTGGGGTTAACAACTTAGGATTTTCATATATGAAAGGGGAATTTGCGCATTCGGGGTTCCCCGAAATTGCTTACGGTCGAATGGCTTCGTCGTTAATCGAACAAGGATTTAAAGTGCTTCGAGTAGAACAAACGGAAACGCCGGAAATGATGGCGGATCGTTGTAAAGGGCGAAAAGTTACAAAATTTGATAAAGTTGTTCGGCGCGAAGTTTGCCAAATTTCTTCGAGGGGAGCCACAGTTTATGGAGCCCAATTATCCGATGCTAAAAATCCGTTACCTTGCTATATGATCTCAATAGCTGAAAAGCAAATTGCGGGTTTCTCAAGTCGATATGGAGTATGTTTCGTTGACACATCAATTGGAATTTTTAATTTATCCGAATTTATTGATGACAAGCATTGTTCGAAGTTGTTGGTTTTACTTGCGCAAAATCCCCCGGGATTAGTAAATATTAATTTTACGATAAATTTAGTTTTTTAAAAATTAATTTTATTTCAAATTTTAGATATTAACGGAAAGTGGACATTCCTCATTAGAAACAAACGATATTTTAAAACGTCGATTTGGAAATGTTCGCCGCGAAACTTTAAAATCTCAATCACAATTTTATTCGGGATCAACAACTTTGGAGAAGTTACATTTTGGCTCATACTTTAAAAGCGGAGATGGTGATTTTCATTGGCCCAATACTCTAAAGGGGTTAATATCGAATGGAGCGCCTAAACCGGAATATGAATTGTGCTTAAAAGCTTTGGGTGGTTGCCTTTGGTACCTAAAAGATTCACAAATTGATGCCCAATTATTGAGCATTGGTAAATTTAATATGTACGAACCACTAATTGGAAGTGGTGTGGTGAATCAGCAAGAATATATGGTTCTTGATTCGGTTACTATTGATAATTTAAAACTTCTTGGTGGGAAAGGAACTTTGCAAGGAACTTTGGATTTATGCTCAACCCCGTTTGGGAAGAGGTTAATTATTTATTGAGGATTTTATCCAGAATTTAATTCATATCTTCTTTTTTAGGTTACTTCAACAGTGGATTTGTAGACCGTTATGCAATGTTGAGATAATAGAAAAGCGTCAAGAAGCTGTTTCAGAGTTGCTAAATAATTCAGAATTATTACACAACACTCGGGGTGTTTTAAAAAAACTTCCTGATTTAGAACGACAAGTTGCAAAGTATTTATAATTTAAATTAAAACTAGACCTAAATATTTTTGGGTCTGCCCTTTTTAGCTGCGTGTCTTATAAAAAAGTGTTTGACGTTTCTGAAGCCATGTTGCAAAATTTCAGAAACGAGTATTTGACTTGACTTATTTTTTGTCGTTCTTGGTGGAGTATTTGTTCTTGTTCTGGTAGCGACTTCTCAGTTCTGTGCAGAATTCGTTTAGCAGCTACAATCTTCAGTCAAAAGACCCTCTAAAGTAGTTCCTAACGTTCATTAAAGACCCTCTAAACTTGCTGCTCGGTACTATATGGTCTATATGGTTCTCTGTAGTCCTTTCCTCTATATGGTGTTTTAAAAGTCAGCATCAGTATGGTGGCCAGAGGGGAGCAGTGAGGTAAATGGGAGTGGTACAAGCGCAATATACAGCTATGCTTTTTTATTTCATCTTATCACTAAAATCAACTCCAAACTTTCTTAAAAGAAATCACCCCTTAGGGATATGCGACAAATATATTGTCAAACTCAAACCGATTTCGTCGCGTCTCATCCCAGTAATAGATGTAGCTCGACGGTCCGTTGATGACGTCACATATAGATAGGCAACTACTATTTTATACTTTGAATTAGCAAAATACTTAATTTATTCCATTCCATAAGATAAATGTGTATGTTTATTTTGGATGATCTTTATATGTCTTTGCTAAATAAGCAGCTACAGTGCCAAATGGGGTCATACACGATTTTTTTTTTATTATATTTTCTGAAAGTTTATATAAAAATATAGTTACCGTTATTTTTTTTTTTAATATTTTCGAACAAAGTCATTGTTAAAAAAATTATTGAAAATTTATATACCCATTTGCGCTTTTAAAATTCCCGCGTTGATGACGTACGATTCTCACTTTTGCGTCCCCTGCTCCCCGCTCAAATGCGAGAAAGAGATGAACGTCATTTAGGTTGTTTTGAAAAGATATAGTGTTTGTAGGTTATGTTTATTATGTTTTGTTCATGGATGTAATAGAGACACTCTATTACATCCATGGTTTTATTTTGACACTGTCACACCGCAAGCGCTATCTAACACTGACAATTTAACTTGTTTTAGGCAGTGCGGTTCCTACGTCACAGAAAAGCCGCGAAATTATTTCGTTTGAATATTTGCTATTTTTCACTTCAAATTACGCCAAATATAAAATTGATCAAAATATTTCTTTTACTTTGTGTTCATGCATATACTTGCATATATCGTTTGACATAAAAATTTTCTCTAAATTTAATAAGTGTGTATGACCCCATTATTGGCACAGCAATCGTTTTTCGTTTTATGGCTGTTTTTAAACCAAATTAACAAATGGTATTAGGTGAAAGTATTTATCCTATATTGTTTAATTGATTAAATACCTTATGCAGTTATTTTTGTATAAAAATTTATTTTTAATAATCTGTTTTAAATTAAATTAACAAAATAGTATTTACTTACAACGCACAAAATGATTGGCACACTTAACAATTGGTACAAACGTACTTTATATGCTTAGCCGAAATGTCAAATATCCTAACTGTGTGTTCGTATTTCCCCCTATTGACAGTTAATTTAATTTTTAAATCGAATTCCATCTTGTCTTTATCAACTAAAGTATTAGTTAAATATGAAAATGGGTCGAAAACAGAAAGAAACAACAGAATCAGAGCGCAAAATAATTCTTCATTTGCACAACCAAGGCAGATCGTATACTGAAATTGGGGAAATAACGAACAGAAGCCGATATACTATTCGCAGTGTTATTGACCGATTTAAAAAAGCATCAAATTTCAAAAGTATTAAGCGTACTGGCCGTCCCCGAACATTAAACGATCGGGAACGCAAGCAGATTATCCGAAAAGTCAAAGCAGATCCAAAAATAACGTCAACACAGATTGCTACTGAAGTAAAACAAGATTTTGGTAAAGATATTCATCCCATAACCGTCAGAAGAGTACTACACGAGGCTGGTTATAGTGCGCGTGTTGCGAGGCGAAAGCCACTAATATCTGTACGTAACCAAAAGAAGCGCCTGGCGTACGCAAAGGAATATAAGAATAAACCAAATACATTCTGGGATCAAATACTATTCTCAGATGAGAGTAAGTTCAACATTTTCCGATCTGATGGTCGTATTAAAGTATGGAGAAGAGCCAATACAGCGTTTGATAAAGAAAACCTTGCACCAACAGTGAAACATGGTGGAGGAGGGGTGATGGTGTGGGGCTGCATGTCAGCTGCAGGGGTAGGCGAGTTAGTATTTATAGACGGTATTATGGATAAGTCAGTTTATTTAAATATTTTAAAAGAAAACCTCCATAAAAGTATCAAAAAGTTAAATTTGTCGCCCACGTACACATTTCAACACGATAATGACCCAAAGCATTCGGCTCATATCGTGCGTATGTGGCTGGCATATAATACCCCACATGTCTTACCACACCCACCGCAATCTCCAGATCTTAATCCGATTGAACATTTGTGGGAGGAATTGGATAGACGGGTCAAAAAGCTTCCAATTACTAACAGGCATTGTTAGAGGAGTGGTACAATATTGAGCAGAAAACAACCCAAAATTTGGTTCACTCCATGCCAAGGCGTTTGGAGGCCGTTATCAAACAAAAAGGGTTACCTACAAAATACTAATTTAGTTTAAGGCAGTTTTAAAATAGTTGTTTTTTAACTGTGCCAATAATTTTGTGCGTTGAAAATAAGCACTATTTTGTTAATTTAATTTAAAACAGATTATTAAAAATAAATTTCTATACAAAAATAGCTGCATAGAGTATTTAATTAATTAAACAATATAGAAAAGATACTTTCACATAATACCATTTGTTAATTTGGTTTAAAAACAGTCGTGAAATGAAAAACTATTGCTGTGCCAATAATTAAGTGCGGCACTGTATATGCTAGAGAGCGTCGTTCATTCATTTCATTTAAAGTCCCTAGATTTACAAAGTACCGCGGTTCATGAAGCCTGTTTTGAAGCCAAAATGGCGGTTTGACAGCTTGTCACTGCATTTCACCACTTATTTACAAAAATATTGCTGTCTTGTTGCCTTTGGAGTTGCAAAAATGGTAGTAAGAAGAGTAAGAAGGACGTTCAACTCTTCAGAGTACCACGAGAAAAAAAGAAAGGAAATTTGACGTAATATTATCAATAGAACGATATAGTTTTAAATTTCCCGCTTTAATTTCATTTTTAATATCATCCGTCATTTCCAAAGTTGAAGCCGAGGTGGCTTGCGGCCGAGGCAGTACGTAATTTAACACCAGTGTTGTGTTGATATAGTATTAAGTAAAGGGCCTCGATCGCTAGCAACCTCAGTTTAATACACTGAAATGTATGATATGAGTATATTAAGCCGAGGCCGCTTGCGGCCGAGGCAGTATCTACGTTATTTAACACCAGTCTTGTGTTCATATGGTATTAAGTATAGGGCCTCAATCACAAGCAACCTCAGCTTAATACCCTGAAATGTACGATATTAGTGTATCAAGCCGAGGTCGCTTGCGGCCGAGGCAATACGTTATTTAATATCAGTCTTGTGTTGATATGGTATTAAGTGTAGCGCCTCGATCGTAAGCAACCTCAGCTTAATACACTGAAATATACGATTTTAGTGTACTGAGCCGAGGTCGCTTGCGGCCGAGGCAGTACGTTATTTAACACCATTGCTCGCAATCTCTGGTTAACTGAAATGTACGACATCAGTGTATTATGTATTGTATTATGCAGCCGAGTTAATATCATATCAACACAAGCCTGGTATCAAACAACGTGCAAGCTCGGTTTAACACTATGCCGTCCGGAAACACGACAGTAGTGTTGCGAGAAAAGTATCGTGGCGCTACAGCAAAAGTGTTAATATATTGAAATACGGCTGAGACGCTACAGTTAATGCCATATCAACACAAGACTGGTATTAAATAACGTACTACCCCAGCCACAAGCGATCCCGGCTTAATACACTGATATCCTACATTTCAGTGTATTAGGCTGAGGTTGCTAGCAATCGAGGTACTACACTTAATACCATATCAACACAAGACTGCTGTTAAATAACGTACTGCCTCGGCCGCAAGCGACCTCGGCCCAGTACACTAATATCGTACATTTCAGTGTATTAAGCTGAGGTTGCTTGCGATCGAGGCGTTACACTTAATACCATTTCAACACAAGACTGGTGTTAAGAGGATAACCTATTAGCGAAAACAACGAATACCATTTTATTCAGCCATCGTTTAAAATTTTTGTATGTTTGTTACATCAAAATTTCTATTTTTTTATATAGTTTTTAGTGATGCATTTAGTTTTTTCAAAAAATGTCGCGTAACGTTTCTAAAATCACGTTAGGTGAAATCAGGTAGTGAAATGTAAAGTAAATCATATTTAAAGAGTTCAATTTTTTTATTAAATGCAGCAAATTTAAATAAAATGGGTTTAAAACGTTTAGTCGGTTTTGATAGCTTTCGGAGTATAAATACGGCAACATCGCAAATATTGCTCCGTCCCAAACATTGCCCGAGACATAGTGGAGCTATACGAGCTATACCGAGCTCGGTAACCGAGACGTCGGCGTCGGCGTAGTGTCTCCCAAGAAAAACAAACCTGAAGCAATTAATATTTTCGGATAGATCAAAAAATTTTTATATCACTAATTTAAATTTAAACATTTAATTTACGTAGAATGCAAAACAATGTTTAAGTGTGGCAATAAATTTTTAATAATGAGAATATTTGCACAATTATCTGATCATTTACTATTAGATTAATTATTAAAATAAATACAAAATAAAAATGTAAAGAATATCACCAAAGGTATATTTTAAAATAAATAATACAACATAAATAATAAAAAAATATATTAACTCATAAAAAACTAAAAATTTTCTTAATAAACAATTTTTGCATTTTTTCAAAAATTTTCTGATATAAGGGTACTAAAATTTTACATCATCGTAAAGAGAAAAACAATCTCTATCAAATGAGCCTAACAAAAGGGTACATTGCCATTTAAAAAAATTCAAGCGTTATTCGTTGCTCATTTGTTTTCTGAAATATAAACAATTGAATGCTGTCTTATTATGGCAAATAAAATATTAAACAACTTTTGTATAAAATGTTTTTTTATAAAGTCAACATTTACCGAGATATATACTATATTCCATAAATAATGGGCACCCTGTATAAAAATATATGGTGGTTCTGTAAGTGGTGGCATAATTTCAACCACATATACTGCTAGAGCAAAAATTATGACAACTAGTGTAAACGTTTTTAATCTTTAAATACAGGATGATTTTTGAACATATGTCCTATTTCAATTATTTACGAAATTATAACACTTTAAAGTTTTCTGCAGCGAATTTATTAATAGTCAGTAAAATCAAACATTCAACAAAAACAAACTGCTCATTGTAATATGTCAGTTTGCTGTAAGGTTTAATTATTACATACAAGAAGAAACTCAAAATCTACGCTTATAGCACTGAAGAGTATGCTGATATAATTTTCGTGTATGGTTTTTGCAATTGAAATGCTCGACAATCAGTACCAGAATATCAAGAAAGATTTCCACAGCGTCATTTGCAATATTATTCAGTTTTTAGCGATTCTTTCAGAAGACTTCGAGAAACAGGTAATCCTATTCGACCGCATGTAGTTAATGTAGAGGTCATATGAAACAAATTGTGTATGAAATGGAAATTAACACACGAGAACAGTTATTAAACAGAATACAAATGGCTGTTACTGAAACAAGAAATCAACCAGACATTTTAATTCGTCTGAAGAATTCTTTAATTTGTCATTGTGAAGCATGTATTCCTCCTTCAGAAGGAGGCTATTTTGAACAATATTTGTAATATTTATGTGTTTTAAAAAAAATGTAGCAGTTAATTATGTGTTACGTTAATACGTTAACTAACATTTTTTTTTTGTAATTGGATTAGCTATCATATGACAAAGTTTGATGGTGAGCTGATAAATCACCCTGTATAAATCAATAAATGGCTAAGGTATAGATTACCTTCAATAATTTCAATGATTTGTCATATACAGATAAAATTTGATATACTGTGCAATTTTATAATGAGTAAACTGATAAGATCGGCATCCACCAACATCCCTTTTCGAGAAAATATATAATTTTAACTAACAATCGATAATAATGAAATACTAGTAATAACAGCTATGTTCCAAAAAGCGGCCCCGACTCGTATTCAAATGCATTCAACTAATTGTAAGAATAAAATCAACGTCGCTGATTGTCGGGGAATTACCCGAATTACACGATCGAGGACACATGGAGCGGTGTTGCCGCATTAGGCGTGTTCACGAGCGAATCTCGTTTCGAATTTTTCGCCAGCTAGGTAGGCCTCTTAAATAACGTACTGCCTCGGCCGCAAGCGACCTCGCCTTAATATACTGATATCGTATATTTCAGTGTATTAGGCTGTCGTTGCTTGCGATCGAAGCGCTACACTTAATACCATTTCAACATAAGACTGGTGTTAAATAACGTAGATACTGCCTCGGCTTAATATACTCATATCATACATTTCAGTGTATTAAACTGAGGTTACTTGCGATCGAGGCGTTACACTTAATACCATTTCAACACAATACTGGTGTTAAATAACGTACTGCCTCGGCCGCAAGCGACCTCGGCCCAGTACACTAAAATCGTATATTTCAGTGTATTAAGCTGAGGTTGCTTGCGATCGAGGCGTTACACTTAATACCATTTCAACACAAGACTGGTGTTAAATAACGTACTGCCTCGGCCGCAAGCGACCTCGGCTTAATACACTAAAATCGTATATTTCAGTGTATTAGGCTGTCGTTGCTTGCGATCGAAGCGCTACACTTAATACCATATCAACACAAAACTGGTGTTAAATAACGTACTGCCTCGGCCGCAAGCGACCTCGGCTTAATACACTAAAATCGTATATTTCAGTGTATTAGGCTGTCGTTTGTTGCGATCGAAGCGCTACACTTAATACCATATCAACACAAAACTGGTGTTAAATAACGTACTGCCTCGGCCGCAAGCGACCTCGGCCCAGTACACTAAAATCGTATATTTCAGTGTATTAAGCTGAGGTTGCTTGCGATCGAGGCGTTACACTTAATACCATTTCAACACAAGACTGGTGTTAAATAACGTACTGCCTCGGCCGCAAGCGACCTCGGCTTAATAAATTAATATCGTACATTTCAGTGTATTAAGCTGAAGTTGCTTACGATCGAGGCTTCAATTAATACCATGTCCTTGACTTTGAATTTGTTTCTGAAGAAGGTTGCTGCACGGAATCCGAAACGTCGAACACTTATTCAAAAGACGCAGGGATAAACCCGAAAGATTATAGTCATAATTTATCTTAATCACTTTTAATCCTTTATTTATTTTTTTATAGAATCCATACATTTGGCAATAAATATTGTGCAGAAAATCATCCCGATTCAAGAGCTGTCCTTTATGAAGCAAAAACTTACTCAAAACGAAAAATTTTAGATCTTTTAACCACACTAAGAGGATTTGAGAAAGCACAAGAAATTTCCCAAATTTTTAATGGTTGCCAAGCTAAATTATTAAAAAGCATCACTCAACACCCTCCCGAAGGAATGTTTAATGATTTAAGCGAAGATTTAAATTATTTTAAGGTTATCTCAAAAAATTTTTTAATTTTCAAATAAATAAAAAAAGTATAATTTTAGGAAGCCTTTGATCACGTTGAAGCAGAAAAAGAGGGTCAAATTTTACCACAAACCGGCGTAGAAGACGATTACGATAACATCGAGGACGAAATCAAAGAGATAAATCAAGAAATTTCGAACTACTTAGATTCGCAAAAGAAAAAATTCGGATCTCAACAAGTTTGTTATTTCGGTTCGGATAAAAAGCGCTATCAATTAGAAATTCCGGATAACAAATGTCACAAAGTCACCGATGAGTACCAATTGGAAGGGACGAAAAAAGGGAAAAATCCTGCGAAACGTTACTCAACTCCAACTACAAAAATGTTACTTTCAAAAATGATGAAAGCGGAATCGGAGCGTAACAAAATTATTCAAGATTTAAATCGAAGGGTGTTTCATAAATTCAGCGATCGATACGATGGATGGGATCAAGTTACGCAATGTTTAGCGATTTTGGATGTTTTATGTTCGCTGGCCGAGTACGCAAGGGTTTTCTCACAAGATATTTGCCAACCGAAAATTCTCCCCATTTCTAATAATCCCCACATTAAAATCGAAACGGGTCGACACCCTTGTATTCCAAACATCGATAACTTTGTTCCAAACACCACAGAACTTGGCACTAAAGATCACCCATCCGTTTTGTTATTAACAGGTCCTAACATGGGTGGAAAATCCACTTTAATGCGACAAGTGGCTTTAATTAACATCATGGCACAAATCGTAAGTATTAAATAAATTATTAAAAAATAAAGTATTAAAATGAAGTTTTAATTTAGGGAAGTTACATACCTGCAGTCTCGTGCGAATTAACCATAACAGACCGAATTTTCACTCGATTAGGAGCACACGATGACATCATAAAAGGCCAATCAACGTTCTTAGTTGAAGCAACTGAAGCATCCGCGATTCTTCAACACGCAACTCGTCAATCTTTAGTTCTCATCGATGAATTGGGCCGAGGGACATCAACGCACGACGGAAACGCGATCGCCACATCTTATCTGCAAAAATTAACGGACGTTAAATGCCGCGTTATGTACTCAACGCATTATCATAATCTCGTCGATCATTTCGAAGGGCACGGTGATGTCCAATTGGGGCATATGGAGTGTTTGGTGGAGAACGAGGGTGACGATGCGAAAGAAACGGTCGTGTTTCTGTATCAAATGGCGAGGGGGGTTTGCCCGAAATCGTATGGATTTAACGTGGCTAAATTAGCCGGATTACCTCAATCTATTATTAGTAGAAGCAGGGAGCTTGCTCGCGAACTTGAAAGTTTAACCAAAACGAGAGAGTTGATGAAAAATGTTTTTATGTGTGATGATGTTCTTAAAATTAGGGAGTTATTGATCTGAATGTTACCATGAATCTTCATTTTAAATAGTATTAAGATCTTGTTTTTGTGTTAAAAATAAAGAAAATTAAATATTTTTTAATATTTATTTATTAGGTTATTTATTATTAAATTATTAGCTGAAAAACAAACTGAATTACACAAATCAGTCAGAATGGCGTTGGCGCATCAAGAATGGTTTAGAAGAGAATGCTTGGCTGTGATTATTGACCAGTAATGTATACCAGCTTAAGCATGATCCCAACAAGATTGGAAGTAGAGTATCTAATAAAGAAAGATATTCTAAGCGTGAAGAAGTAGCCTGCAATAGAACAAGATGAATGAGTATTGCTTGCATGAGACAAAATATTGCTTACATAAAACAAAATATTGCTAATAGAAGACCAGATACTTATAGTGTTATACTAGATGCTTGTAGGACACTAAACACGGCATACACAAGATTAAATACTGCTCTCAGAGTAGCAGATGCAGTGTCGAAAAATAGCATTGGTAGAAGGCTAGGTCATCTTGAGACAGAAGATTCGACAAACAGTCTTGTGATATGCTATTAAGTGTAGCACCTCGATCGCTAGCAACCTCAGCTTAATACACTGCAATGTACGGTGTCAGTGTATTAAGCCGAGGTCGCTTGCGGCCGAGGCAGTACGTTATTTAACACCAGTCTTGTGTTGATATGTTATTAAGTGTAACGCCTCCATTGCACGCAATCTCAGTATCGACATATACGTACGACAATATTGTACATTTCAGTGCTTAAGCTGAGATTGCGTGTGATGGAAGTGCTACACTTAATACCATATCAACACAAGACTGGTATCAAACAAAGTACTGCCTCGGCCACAAGTGGTCTCGGCTTAATACACTGAAATCCTACATTTCAGTGATTAAGCTGAGGTTACTTGCAATCTAAGCACTACAATTAATGCCATATCAATACAAGACTGGTGTGAAACAATATACTGCCTCGGCCTGCTTACTTTGGCATGCTGAAATAGTGTATGATTCTCTGAAGACTGGTGTTAAATAACGTACATTTCAGTGTATTAAGCTGAGGTTGCTTGCGATCGAGGCGTTACACTTAATACCATTTCAACACAAGACTGGTGTTAAATAACGTACTGCCTCGGCCGCAAACGACCTCGGCTTAATACACTAAAATCGTATATTTCAGTGTATTAAACTGAGGTTGCTTGCGATCGAGGCGCTACACTTAATATCATATCAACACAAGACTGGTGTTAAATAACGTACTGCCTCGGCCGCAAACGACCTCGGCTTAATACACTAAAATCGTATATTTCAGTGTATTAAACTGAGGTTGCTTGCGATCGAGGCGCTACACTTAATATCATATCAACACAAGACTGGTGTTAAATAACGTACTGCCTCGGCCGCAAGCGACCTCGGCTTAATACACTAAAATCGTATATTTCAGTGTATTAAACTGAGGTTGCTTGCGATCGAGGCGCTACACTTAATATCATATCAACACAAGACTGGTGTTAAATAACGTACTGCCTCGGCCGCAAGCGACCTCGGCTTAATACACTAAAATCGTATATTTCAGTGTATTAAACTGAGGTTGCTTGCGATCGAGGCGCTACACTTAATATCATATCAACACAAGACTGGTGTTAAATAATGTACTGCCTCGGCCGCAAGCGACCTCGGCTTAATACACTAAAATCGTATATTTCAGTGTATTAAGCTGAGGTTGCTTGCGATCGAGGCGCTACACTTAATATCATATCAACACAAGACTGGTGTTAAATAATGTACTGCCTCGGCCGCAAGCGACCTCGGCTTAATACACTAAAATCGTATATTTCAGTATATTAAGCTTAGGTTGCTTTCGATCGAGGCCCTATACTTAATACCATATCAACACCAGACTAGTGTTAAATAACCTACTGCCTCGGCCGCAAGCGGCCTCGGCTTCATACAGTGAAATCGTACATTTCAATCTAAGCACTACAGTCAATGCCATATTAATACAAGACTGGTATCAAACAATGTACTGCCTTGTTCACAAGCAGCTTTAGTTCAATATGCTGAAATGGTGTATGATTTAATCAATTTTTTAATCTTGAAAAATATTAAATATTGCAGACAAAAAATTCGATGAACCTCAAAAGACTAAATGCTGAACATAGAAGGTATAACTGCTTGTAGAATATTAAATACAACTTACAGAAGAATAAATCCTGTTGGTAGAACAGATATTGTTTACAAGGACTAAATATTTTTAGCAGAATAGTAGATGCTATCTCGATATTGATGTATCTAAAAGCAAAAGTGCAAGAGAACAATAAAATTTACTACAACTTTTGTTATAAAAATTTTTCTGGTTTTGGAGACATTTAAAATAAATAGTTTGTTCTGAATAAGTTCAAAATGTGCAGCATTAGAAGTTAAGTTAAAAAAAGTATCCGTTTGTGTTTAGAAGTATTATGACATCATTCTTTCTCAATTTGTTAAATATTCCTTGTTTTTATGTTGGTTGAAGGATTTTTTTAAAGGATCTTAATATTAACTTATTATTTATTTAACATATTTTTTAACCATGGTAATCATACAATTACTGCATCTAAATCGTTACAACTAATGATGTTAACAATTGATCAACCTATGAAAGTGAAACTTTGAACTATTGTACAATCGTTGCGGGACACCTGTATATACTGTCTCCTATACCGCTGACTAGAGCAGCAACACATGTCTGTCTCTGTTTTGTAAATTCTACCCAAAAGGCATGCGTGAGCACGCTATTTATTATGCGGTTGGTGCGGTAGAATTCAAACACAATAACAGCTGATGTTCATCACCACATTAATGTTAGTGTATCTTTCTTTCAATTGCGTGTAAGTGTAAGCAATGACTAAGAAGCGCCGGTGCTGTATATGTGGAAAGGGTCGTCCAGTAACGTTACATGGGTAAGTAAATGAATACTTATGTACATTAAACACCGATCTAACACAAAGGATCTATATAATTCGTTTTTTTTTCTATAATACTTGTCAATGTAAATTTTTTAGGGTTTCTGTTGGTATTATATAGGACCCTTATAAAATTTATGTTGTTTTCCTGATTTTTAGTAACATTTTCAATAACTACGATTTTAACGAAGTACATATTTATTGTAAAAACCTTTTCTTGGTAAATAAATGGCAAATAAGCACCCCACAACATTTAATTCATCTTTTCTTTTTGAATAACGAAATCTCAAACGTCAATGTGACATATTTATTTCAAAACATGATAAAACAAAACTCCCTGTTAATTTTGCCAAATTTATAACAATTTGACAGGTATTATAGAAAAAAAATAAGTATATGTCATATTGCTATCACTTCTGGTTAATCAGTAAGAACAAAAAAGGCCAGTTTCTATTATGACCCATTTTCTGTTTTTAATCTTGCCCTAACCTTAATTTTTGACAAAGAATCACTTACTGAAGTTTGTCAGTCTGGTAGAGAATCACCATGTATAGTTTCCTATAAAAATAAACCCTATTTTATTTATTTTATTGCGTTAAAAAGTGTTATGAAAGGTAACACCATAAATATTATTGCAGTTTTCCAAAAGATGATGTTAACCTTGCTTTGTGGAAACAAGTATGTAATTACGATGACAAAGATAAGGTTTCTAACCTTTTGATATGTTCAAATCATTTTCTACCTGAAGATTATATTGACCCAAATGCCAAGAACTTTGGCGGAGTATTAAAGTTAAAATCTAATAGAGTTCCATCTGTATCTGTGCCAAATAGACTCATAAAATGTGAATCTATGGTCGCAGCTTCTGTATCGACAGAAAATGAGGTTGCAAAATCGCCGGAAAGAATAGTACCGTCGCCAGTTACTGTACAAACAATAGCTGCAACATTATTAATACAGCAGCAATTATTTCCTGCAGAACCGCAATTAACAGAAAGTGTGGATACTGAATTGGGTGTGTATTGTATTGTCTTATACATAATTATGTCTTAGATTAATCCTTTTTTTAGATGAAACATTACCACACACTCCCAAGAAAAGAAGAGTCCACTCTCCTCGTTATATTGGTGAAATAACATCTGCTGATTTGGAAACTCCTCGAAGAGCCAAAAGGGCAGTGGCTTTAGCACAAGCCGAGGTACAAAAGAAAACGCGACTAATTAAAAGTCTAAGATCAAAAGTAACAAGATTGGAAAAAAGAGTTGCATCCCTGGAGAACATCATAAAGCATCTAGCAGAGAATGTTCTATCTAAAGATGTCAGTGATACATCAATGGTACACTTATGATCTCTGCTTTATCATTTATTAAAAAATGTTTTGATTTTTATAGCTGTTTCATGAATAAATTTATGGTTGGGAGCAAATCAATGTGTTTCGTAAAGTATTTAATAATGTTAATTTTATCTTACATGTGCAAGATCAAGGTTATCTAGATAATCATTATGATACAATTAATGAAAATTATTATCGATTAATCTCACGATTTTATTACAAAAATAATATAATAATTAGTGTTAATAAAATTAAAGTAAATCTGACATGAATTATAGGTTACTGTAAATTTCTCTATTAGTTAAATCTATTCGCCGCTAGATGGCGCTAAAAATTATTTAACCTGTAATATTTTATTTTGTTTTAATTATATCACTTTTATATGTAAACGTTGTCTAAACTATTTTACTTGAATCCTATATGTAACACATATTATTAAAATTGAGTTGCGATTCCTAAGGGTTACCTTTAATAACTTAAAAGAGTAACAAATTCAAAAAATTTTCATATCTATCTTAATATTGACGTATCTAATAGCAAAAGTATAAGAGAGCAATATTGTTAATAATAAAATTTGCAACAATTTTTGTTATAAAAGATTTCTTATAACATGCTCCGATTCCCGAGTGTTACCTTTAATAACTTAAAAAAGTAACCAATTCATCAAATTTTCACATATTTTCATACTTTTCTCCATATTGACGCACGAGAACCGTCTAATGTTCTGATGCGGAAGATATGGAACACCTGTATATGTTTATAAATACATTTATAAACTTTTACGAAACAATATTTTCTGACTTTGTATTTACCACTGATTCTACCGACATTTGGTCGGCATAGGTTGGCAACGCTGGTTTGGTGTGAAGTTAGACATTACAAAAATAAATTTAGTTTTTAACATTAAACCAAAAACGTTATTTTGAATCATTTGAGATAATCATAATTGAAGAAACCGATTATTTACGTTTATTTTATTGAAATTGCTCTTATTTAACTTAATTGATTAAAAAATTTAAAACTTACCTGTTTTTGTAGGTTAGGTTACTCGGCTTCTCTGGAATTGTTGCTTAAGCAGGATATTTGATCAATTTCGATTTTCACATCACAAAAATTAGTTAATTATACGTTAGAATAAGATTAATGAAAGAAGATTCGATAAAATCAATCATCAAGAGACGTGAATTATTTAATGGTAAAAATTCAACGGATAGGAGAACTTGGGACTGATTGTATGTCGAAATCCCACCGTAAGATGGCATTAGCGTCTATACTGAAATAATTTAATTAAACTAAAAATTTTATTATTAATAGTGGAAATGATGAGAGACAGCAATAACAATTATTACCAGTATCATTCTTTTAATTTAAAAAGTATAGATTCCAATTCGTGTTATATTTTTAAATTTGTCGCTAACTTCAGCTTTTAAAAAGTTGAAACACAGATGACAGATGAAAACGTGATTTTTTGGTAAGAGTATAATAAAGTAATAATGGTATGATTAAATAATTAGATTATAATTGACATTATAGCTTTGTTTCAGCTAACGTTATAGCTGGTTGGAAGCTCGTCAGATGCAATCTCACATGTCATATGACGCCGTGATATTCAAATGTGGCGGCATTATTTGACAGGTGTAATTGCATCTGAGGAATTCCCAAACAGTCGGAACGTTAATTGGAGCCACATAGTGGTTGGAGCTTTTATATATAAACCCAATCCACCTGTATTCTAGTGGTTCGGTTCTTAGCTGAATCATTCCAAAATATCCCTAACAGATGGCGCCACATGCGTTCAATTTTTATTACGAAGTTTTTGTTTAGAGAGTTGCATTTCTACAAAGCTATTTTCTATGGTTATCTCGGATGAAATAATTAATGTTTTTACAAATTTAAGCTACATTATTAGTGGAAATTGAATAAATTAATTAATCTTAAGATTAAATTATAAATAAAAATTGTGGCTGTCAAAAAATTTGAGGTTATGTAAATATAATATTAAAAAGAAATAATTAATAATTAAGTTTTTTTGAATATTTTTATTATTTACAAACAAAAAAGTACGTAATAAATAGTTTAAAATTGAAATTAGTTATTATTATATACAAAAAAATACACTATGTACACAATGTTTACTTTAATCTTAAGAGGAGAGAAGAAAAAAACATTATTATCCTTAAAAATATACAATAAAATATATTACTTCCTACTGTTTAATTAATTAATTACTTATGTATTTTTTCGCTTATTTTTTTTTAATTCACAACTTTTATAAATCTTTTTTTTTAACACATTGGCTCATACACAAAACTTAATTAAATTAACGCAATCTTAAATAATTAACTATTCGATAAACTTGGTGGCTAGTTGTTTTTTTCCAAGACATCGTGCTGTTTTGATCATCATCATTGGCTGTGAATGTGGGTGTTGTTTTCTTCCTCTTTTATTGTAATTGTTTTGTTTTAAGCTTTTTTTTTTGTAAATATCTCCAAACTCTGGGGCGCTGTTACACCTATGGTTTTCCAAAACAACATTTCTCAATTAAAATTCCTTTTTGCCTTTCTCAGCAGCCGTGTTTGCGGATGGCGAGCATCTTTTCACACCAAAAATAAAACTTATACAAAAACGGGGGCGCAAATATTACAACAAAATTTTAAACTTTAAATTAATTAAAAATGAAAAATAAACGAACATTATTTCCGTTTTCCGAACAATATTTTGCGCATATCGGTTTTATACAACGTATTTTTTTTTAATAACGAGATCGTTTTTAATCACTTTTAGTGTGCGCTTACTCTACTATTATTTCGTTCATTTTTAAAGTTGTTTTTTTTTAAATTAATCGAGTATAGAAAACGCACACGTTACACGTCTTTTTCATTTTAAACTATATCTAGAAAGAGTTTCCCTGGAAATTAATTTTCAACCCGTTTTCTTTTACTTTTATTTTTACTCACCATTTAATAAAATTGAAATTAAAAGGTCACTACGGGTTTTTTACAACATTTGTGAATGAAATAAATAAGAAATCATTCATTCGTTTCGTTTAAATCATTCAAATAAACATGCATAATTAAGATTCACTCATTAAACTAAATCTTTTTTGTTAAATCAAACAAAACCAATAAAAATGGCTTTGTACAAAGTTTGAAAATCAAGGAGGTATTTGATAATTTTTGGATATAATACCTGATCGGCACGGCCCTTACTCTTTCCTTGGACCTTTTTCGGTTTGACCGTCTCTTGGGGACCCTCTCCGCCTCCAGAAGCGATTCCAAGCCTCAAATGTATCGGCATTTTTCCATCTTTCATTACAAATAAATACAAACTTTAATATTTACATCTCATAAACAGCAAAATGAATTAATAATAACGAGGAAAAAAGGGCTCCAACAACTCTATGTTACCTGAACATTCTTCGACGAGATCCGATCGCAAAAATCTTACTTTTCTTTCGTTACATCTTAACCGGACGTTTCTAACCTTTACAAATGTAACGCTTGCGATCTTCGCGGTACGTTTAACAGCCGCGTATTCTACTCATTACCAAAATCAAGGAGATGAAAAAGGAAATTGGAAAAAAGGGGGTTTACAAAAAAATAATTTAATACCTTTAGGTGCTGTTTCATTTTCCGATTTAATTTTTTTCTGCTTTTTAAAGACAGCACCTTGCAGGGCGTTTTGTAATAATCTCGATGGCACATTCTCGACGGTTGGTAATCTACTTTGACGTTCAGCCCTTTTCCTACTTAATTGAGCACGTAAATCTCCAGCTAAAACAAAAAATTTTTTTTAAATTTTAATTCTAGCTTATTAGTCTTTGAGTTGGAAGTTAAATCTGCGCCACCAGGAAAATAAAAGAATACAAAAGCAAGGAGAAGGTGTGAAATTGGAGATACAAGATTAAATTAGCAATGAAAGTATGAACCAAGTGATAAACGAGGTTAAAATAAGAAATAAAGACCGAAATGGGCATTGTTGAGGATAAGCTGGAAAGGATAGACCAAAAAAAGGCACATCAAATATAGATATAAGATGTGGAAATTTCTTATTTAAAACATTTTTCTTTAAAATCACAAATGGCGAACTTATCGGCTATATTCCAGACATTTGACACATCCTGTATATGGATGAGATTTAAAAAAAAGTGTAAAATGATGTTCTTTACCATCATTTTACACTTTTTTCATAAAACACGTTAAAAATAAAAAGGAAGCGTGGAAAAGTTATTAACTTCAGTTGTGAAACTTCTATTATATCATAACTAACTTCAGGTTTAAAATGTCAACCTCAATTTTGACATATTTGTAATCTTCATTAAAAATCCTTTAAAATGAGTACAAACACGACATATTTATCTTCAATATTAATGAAGTTATGGTCAACTTCCGGTTAAGAATGTCAACGTCAATTTTGACATGTTTGTAATCGTCGTGAAAAATGCTTTAAAATGAGTCCAAACATGATACGTTTAATTCCAATATTACTCGAGATATGAGCAACTTCCGGTTTGAAATGTCAATGTCATTTTGATATATTCTCAATTTTTATAAAATTTGTTAAAATTGTCACGAAAACAAAAATATAATAAAAAAAATCAAAAATTAAGGTTGGTATTAATATTTAAAAATGAAGTTGGTATATTCATTGTTGCTAACTTCGGGTTTAATGTTTTCTTTTTAACTTTTATGTTTTTTAAGATAAGTGCGTCATGTTTGGACTCATTTTAAAGGTTTTTTAATGAAGATGACAAATATGTCAAAATTGACTTTGACGTTTCAAACCGGAAGTGATTGTATTTCCATTAATATTAACGTTGAATATGTCGAGTTTGGACTCATTTTAAAGGATTTTTCATCAAGTTGACAAATATGTCAAAATTAAAAGTTGAAAGTTGGAACTTTTGGGTTTATTGAGATAAATGCGTCAAGTTTGGACTCATTTTAAAGGTTATTTTATGAAGATTACGAATATAATAATAAAATTAAAGCTGACATTAACTAAACCCGAATGTTTCTAGTTCTCGTTCTAGTTTTAGTTCTAATGAAGAAACAGTTGGAAAATTTTGACATAAAATAAGAAGTAATGAAGAGTATGATGCTGAAGATGAATCAACTTTGAAAAAAATGTAGATAAATGAGGCACATGAATACACTCTTTCACATTTTTCACACACCTTTCATTTTAAATCAATGTTAATTTGTCCAAATGACTTTTAAAGCAGCTACAATTCTAAAGACATAAGGAAAGAGTTAAATATTAAGGCTTTGTACGATTTTATAGATAAGAGGCAGACATCTACAGGATACACAACAAAAGAAAAGATGTAAAAAAGAGTACTCTTTAAATATATTACTTACAATCACATTTTTGATTACTAAAACCATTTTCGTCATCTTCCAAATCAACTTTAGCATTTAACTCATTATTTTCCTCCTTTTTAGCAACTTCGACTTTCCGCGAAGGCCTCTCCTTTTCATTCTTAACATCATATTTACTCGTCGTTTCATATTTCGACGGATTCCGAATCTTAATTTCAATCTTTTTACTTTCAATGGTCGGCACCAATTTCTCCTTTCTTTCCGTTTTAACTTTTCGCGTCGTCAAACGTTCTTTGTGGTCGCCCTTAACTTTATGATTATCGCGATTTCGCAACGACGTTCTCGTTCGGTCTAAAGGAATCGATTTCGGTTTTGAATCTAACAATTTACTGAAAGGGACGACGCGAACGTTCGATTTTTTCTCGTTGTTCATGGAATTTTTGAATCTGCCTTCGTTTTCCGAGTCGGTTTCTTCGTCCGAAAAGATATCGTCGACTTTTGGGTTTAATATGTCTTCGAAATTTTCTTCTAGATCGTCTTCGATGGTGTCGGGGGGTTCTGGGGATTCTTCTTCTTTTGGAAGGATGTTTTCGGTGGGATTTTCAGCGACCTTCTCATCTTCTATTTTGATGTTTTCCGTTTTAGGGGGCTCCATTTTGATGATGTCATCTTCTTGTTTTGGTCTTAACCTGATTATTCCTTCTTTATTTTTAATTCCGTTCGTTTCAAATTTTCTTTTACGCGCTTCTAAAACGGGATCAAGCTTTTCTTCAAGTTTTTCGTCAATTTTTTGTATTTTATTTGTTACAGCTGGGGATAAACTTCTACTTCGTTTTTTTTTATTGCCCAATCTTTCTTTAACTAACAAAAACATCATTATTAATAATTATTTATTTAACAAAATCAAACATTTTTTACCTAATTTCTTTTTTAAATTTTCTGGACTCCTTCTTTCAGCACTTCTCCTCCTAAGAGGTGATCTTTTCCTAATCTCCTTCACTGGGGTTATCCTCCTTTCATCTTTCAAAGGCGTCCTCGACCTCGACTTAGATTTGGATCGATGATACCTCGGGGAAGGACTCCTCGAATAACTCCTCCGCGGACTTTTCTTCCTACGTTCGATCGCATCCCTATTTTGGAGCACAAAAGCGGCACTTCTCGGCGATAACGGGGCCCTAGCGATCGTTAACACATCATCAGTGTTTAATTTTAACGGCGAAAGGGGCCTCTCATAAAACATTCGGTGATGTAAATCAGGTGGGACGTTTTGTTGTTGCGGAATTTGGAGGTTAGGATGGATTTGTGGGGTAATAATCGGCGCTGGGGGATATTGGAGGGGGTTATATAAATGGGGAGGATTATATGGAGGTGGAACCTGATAATTTAAAGGACCAGGTGTGTACTGACTATGATTATTGTAAGGTTGACGCGGTTTTCGAATTTTTTGATCAAATTTTTGAAAAGGTCTCCGATTTCTTTGTAATGGAGGAGATCGTTTTTGTGGAAATAAATCTTCAACAACAGGAGGAACTAAATTAGGTTTAGTTTCAATTTCCTTCGTAATTTTAACTTCCTTTTCAATCTCAATTTTGACATCTTCACTTTTAAGCGTTTCTTGGTTCACTTCCAACTTTACAATCTCAGGCACCTCATCTTTAACTTCCACTTCCAACCGTTTTTTGCGCTTCTTAATCTTCTTTTTAACCTCATCGCTTTTCGTTTGCGAATTCCCTTGAATTTCATTCTCCAATTCTTGCATTAACGCCTCTAAACTATCCGCACGTTCCAATTTACCGGGAGATTCATTTTCCGTTTCAGAATCAGTTCGGTAATCGGTTTCACTCTCCGATTTATCCGAGTTATCGTATCGATCAAATTTACTCGATGACTCCGTTTTTTCATCCCCCTTTTTTACGTTGCTGTAACGATCTTGAGGTAAAATTAATTTAGTGAACGAATTTGTTTTAACATCTTGATTTCTTTGAGGGTTATCATCAATCGTTGGAATTGAAATAAGATTAGTGTTTTTAATCCTAAATTGACCCTAGATTAACAAAAAAAAAAATTTCTTTTAGGTTATGTCATTGTCATGTCAATTAAAAGATGGCGCCACCACATCACAACAATAAATAATCTTTATTTTTCTTTAAATTATTCGAAATATTTTTAATTTCACCATCTCTAACGTTATATTTTGATTAAGATAAGAGTGGTGTTTTTAATCCTAAATTAACCCTAATGAACAAAAAAAAATTAGGTTATGTATATTTTATACATTGTCATGTCAACCGAAAGATGGCGCTACATCACAACAATAAATAATTTTTTATTTTATTTATTATTCTTTAAATTATTCGAAAAATCTTGAATTCCAGGATCTCTAACATAATACTTACATTTCTGTTCCTCACAAAATTCCTCCGTTTATTATTATTCGTATTATTAATATTACCACCGTGAACGGAAGGTTTGAAATTAATGGGTGCCGGCTTTTTTAAGGATTGCAAAGCGACGAGTCGTAATTTCTCCAGTTCATCTTCTTCGTCCTCCGACTTAACATTGACCTGAAGAACAAAAATAAACAACAACTACATTAATCACCATAAGGTGCAAAACTAAACGATCGCGGCTTTATTAGGCTTAATTTAATCGGAAATGAATAATATTGGACTAAATAAAACGTACCTCCTCTTTTAATTCCATCGGCATCCCGAAATTCTTTAAAACCTCGATGATTTACTTTGCTGGCTTATTTGACAAACAACACTAAAAAATGGCGTACGTTTGGTTGTGTAAATGACCGTATGACAGATGTAGCGCTGACGTCATTTTCAATTAAATATCCCTAGATTTAATTTTTATAAATAATGATTTAATTTATAATTTTAATGTTTATATATCTAAAATTACTCATTAATTTGTTATTTAAGATATAAAATGAAATTATAAAGAAATTATTTATCACTATTCTTATTAGTTAGTGACGCATAGATGGCACAATGAAATTGTTAATAACAATGTTTTAAACAATAAAGAATTAATTAAAAAGTGTATGTTGTAATTAATTAATGCATCTATTTGAATTAATAAATAATGTCTTTGTAAATAATTGTAAATTAAAATGAATCTGCAGCGCCATCTATATTCGAGTAGTGAAAAGATGTTTGTTACTTGGCTAATGTTTGTTGGTAAATGTCCGCATATTCGGTGCTTAAGATTAATTTGTAGGAAAAAAGCGTATAAAAAGTAATAAAAAAAATTAAATAAATTGTTGAGGTGAGTATCGTTTTGAATTATAATAACAAAATAGCGATCCAAGTTAACATATGTCTCCCGTAGAGCGTTTGACTTTGAAGTGCGAGAAAATCCTAACCTTGTTTATTCTTCTGGATCTGAGAAATACCACAAAAAAAAGTTTTTCTACGTGCGATTAAATAAGAGAATGAGTTAAGTTTAATGATGGAATCAATGGGGAAGAATGAATTCCCCCTGGGAGTCTTTGAAAGCTTTGAAGCAAACGGAGCTTTATTTCATAGAGAAAAGCTGTCTCCTGAGGCTTTAGACGACCGAGAAGACGACTTTTGGGGGTTTTCTAATGAAAATAGCAAGGATATTTGCGAAACGAACGTTAAAATTGGAGCATGGATGGACTCATTGAAAGTATGCAACGAAAAGATGGAATATTTTAATTTCGAGCGTTCGGATAATGAGCAAAAACGTAGCATTTTGGTCCGCCATAACTTTCGTGATTGTAACTCACCAAAAATGGATGAAAATTTAAATAAACAGTTATTAATTGATATTCCTTTGAGCCCGGAATCTCAAAAAAAGAACGAATTATGCTCATATTTACAATTAATGAACATGAATAACACGGATAAGAAGACTGTAAGTGCTATACAAAATCGCCGGTCGAATAGGGTGAAAAATTTAAAGATAATGAGTGAGAAAAAGAGGATGGAACAAAATCTTTTGGAGGAATTTAAGGAGAGTTTGGAGAAAAAGTCATTTGTTGAGCTTGGATTGGATGTTAAAGAAAGTTTTGATTTATCTGAGAGGTTTCAGTTTAAAATTGATGCAATTCCTGATGATGTTTTGAGGAAAATTCAAGATTTTGATGAAATAATTATTGATGTGTATGGGAGAGATATAAAAGAAAGGTTGGAAAATGAAAATAAGAATAATAATAATGTTAAAAAGAGATTGTTAAAGAAGAATAAAAAGAAAGATGTGAAAATTAATCAAAAATATAGGAAGTCGTTGAGAAGTTGTATTAATTTGAATGATGTCACGATAAAATCTTTAGCATTAAAAGAAAAAATTAAAAAAATTAAGTCACTAAGAAGCTGTGTTAATTTAAATAATGTGGGGATTAAGTCGCTTGCTTTAAATGAAAGGAAAATTAGGGATATTAAAAGAAAAAAGCTGCAGAAATTAATTCGATTTAATAAAAAGGAGGTGAGAAAAATCAAGAAAAAACGTGAGATTAAATTGAATAATGAAAGGATTAATAATAATAAAAAAATAAAAAAGAAGGTTAAAATTATTAAAGATGAAAATGTTGAGCCTAAAATTAGAATGGACAAAGATATATTAATTGAGAATGATTCGCCAAAAATAATAATTCAAAAACAACAAATTTTAGCTCAACCAAATGATACAAAAGAAATTTGTGAACCTAGAAAGTTATATTCGCCAAAAACGGCGAGATTGTTAATGATTTCGAGGTTATCTAAAGATTTAAAGAATAGTTTTGATATAGATGATGAAATAACTAAAAAAAATGGGGCTGAAGTAAACGAGAAAATCGAATATAAAAAAGTACAAAGATCTTTGTCTTTCAATCAAGATAAAACCCCCAAAAAGAGAAGAAAAATATCATGTTCTATTGAACCCTATATTCCTGATTCTACGCAAAATTTGGATGACTCAATATCGTCGATATCACCCGCGTCATTAAAAAAATTAAGTTTTAAACCTGAAAAATTAAATAAACAAACACCCCCAAAAAATTCCTTCAACATAATCGATTTATCCCAAAGCTCATATAATTGTTGGGAAGAACACAATTACATGAAATTATCCCCTGAAGATGAACACTTCAACAAAGAATTTTTATTAAACGAATCAAGTAGTAGCTCAGAATTATCAAACGACGTTGTAAGTTACAAAGAAATCCCCGTTATTTTAGAACAAAAAATAGATTCAAATAAAAACGAAAACACCGACGACTGTTTCGATATTTCGAACTCAATTCGTATAGATTATGGGAAAGGAAAAGTCTTAGGGGCGCATTATATAGGGTATAATTTAGTTTTAGTTCAAGAACAATTGGTTTCATTTTGGACGCAAAGTCCTTTGGGGAATATGTTGGGTGCTCAAAATTTGTGGGTCTCAAAAGGAAACGTTCAAAGATTACCTTTAGATAATAATTACACGAAATGTAAAGAATCGAGACAAGTCGTCGTTAATTTCGATAACAAATCGTGCGCTTACATCGAATTATGGACGAAAGAACACAAATCCGAAAAACGGGAATTACCGCTCGCGGATGTTTTTGCGACGGTTTATTTTTGGACCAGTCGAAATTCGCAACAAGAATTAAATAAGAAATTATTACAATTAGCTAATATAAAAGGGTAAATCATTTTTGTTTCTTTATTACTTTTATTTATGTTATAATTTTAGGAACATTGAGGATGTTCAATATGTGGTGCTTCGAAATTCACGAAAAATCATCGTGAGTTGGGTCGAAAATCACTCACCTTCTTCATTAACAACAACCATAACTTGTTATACTTTATCCCCTGATTATCAAGCTGTGCTAAATGTGTTAGAGATGACCTCAGTTAATCATTATATACGATCTTTACACACCATGGGAGGTAAATCAAATAAAAATGAGTTAATTTTAAATAATATTGTAACAAAATTAGATTATGGAAACTTCGTCGTCGGTTTTGGCGAAAATATATTAATTTTATGGGAGTTGGAATATGGGGAAGTATTCGAAACCGTCGAAATAAACCAAAAATACGCAAATCCTAAGTTGTTGTGGTTAGAACGAGATCGGGTAATTAATTAATTCATTAATTAATCATTTTGATTCGTAATTAAATTAATTTTATTATTAGGGGTTATTATTTTTCGTCCAATACCACAGTTTTCAAAGGATATTAATGTTAGTTGCTGTAAATGGTTACAGCAAAGAATCAAAAAGATTACAAGTTTTTCGAATTCCAATAGGTTATGATGAGTAAGTAACATAACCTCAACTGTCAAATTAATTTAAACGTCAAATTTTTTTAAACGTCAAATTAATTAATTTTAGGTTAAAAGGATTATGTGTGGATAATAACATGTTGGGTGCGGTGTTTGAAAACGGATTAATCTGTTGGAATATAAAAACGGGTGATGAGATAATAGCCGAATTATCGTCCCATTCGAATTTGATGCCATCAAATAAACACGTGATTGAAATTCGATCTGATGTGGTGGAAGTATCACATTTTCAATCGTACTTTTTAACGAATTTTGATCTACAAACTTAGTTGGAATAGTTTTTGTGTTATATAGTTTGAGCAATTAATTTATTTTGTGCAATTAATTTAAAAAAGAAATGATTTTTTAATCCTTAAAGATTGATTTTTTTAATTTAATCGGTTAATTTAAGGAGAAAATTAAGGAAAGTGTACAAATAACACTAAATTGTAAATAGAGTAGGTTAAGAAAGTATTTTGTAAAATCGATAAAAATAAATTCTTTTTTTCTATTAGGAAAATAAATCTTTCGTTACTTTAAATTACACTTTTATTGCCTAAAAGATCATCACACATTTCCTAACCTCAATTTGATTATCTAATTGTTGTTGTAGTGCTATAGTAACAATTTATTTTTAATTTTTTCTAATTATATTAAAATTATAAAAAAAAAATCATATTTCAAGTTTTTCGAATACCCATAGGTTATGATGAGTAAGTGACATAACCTTAACTGTCAAATTAATTCGAAATAAATCTTTCGTTACTTTAAATTACACTTTTATTGCCTAAAAGATCATCACACATTTCCTAACCTCAATTTGATTACCTAATTGTTGTTTGTGCGTTGCTATGGTAACAATTTATTTTTAATTTTTTACTAATTATATAAAAATTATAAAAAAACTATATACAGTGATACAATAAAGTTAATGTACACCCCAGAAAATGTTAGTTCTAAGTCTAGTGTTAGTTCTAGTTTTAATTCAATAAAAATATGCAATATAGTGATATCTTATAAATAATAACGAAAAACTTTATTTTTAGATCTAAAAGCTTAATTAAGCATCTAAAAAAATTATTTCGTTAAGATCGAATCATTTTTCATTGAATTATCCGCCATTTTGCTTTATTTTGACAGAATTTAATTAAACCAACATCGTATTCGTTATCTATATTAAATTCTCTTTAAAACGAGCCCAAACTCGGTCGAGTTATCTTAAAAGACAACAAACTTCCGATTGTCACTTTTTTGAGGTTATGTCAAAATTAAATGTGGAATATCTCGGGTGTTTTTTAAGATAATTGGGTCGTGTTTGGACTCGATTTAAAGGATTTTTAATTCCCCACCCGATTATGAATAAAAAAAAGAACCTAACCTCACTTTGTAAACGTCAAATTGATATTGTTTGATATTTTTCGCCATCTTGATTAATAATTTTAATTAAATAATAATAAGATTCTTTATTTTTAGATCCAAAAATACCCGGCGAATTTAATTTCGTTCAAATCGAATCATTTTTCTTAAATCATCCTTCATTTTGTTTTTATTACTAGCGAATTTGATTAATCTAACATCGTATTCGTAATCTACATTAAATTCCCTTTAAAATGAGCCCAAACTCGGACGAGTTATCTTAAAAACCAACAAACACCACCAACTTCCCGTTGTCACTTTTTTGAGGTTATGTCAAAATTAAATATGGAATATCTCCGGTGTTTTTTAAGATAATTGGGTCGTGTTTGGACTCGATTTAAAGGATTTTTAGTTCCCCACCCCATTATGAATTAAAAAACGAACCTAACCTTACTTTGTAAACGTCAAATTGATATTGTTTGATATTTTTCGCCATCTTGATTAATAATTTTAATTAAATAATAATAAAATTCTTTATTTTTAGATCTAAAAATACCCGGCGAATTTAATTTCGTTCAAATCGAATCATTTTTCTTAAATGACCCTTCATTTTGTTTTTATTACTAGCGAATTTGATTAATCCAACATCGTATTCGTAATCTACATTAAATTCCCTTTAAAATGAGCCCAAACTCGGACGAGTTATCTTAAAAACCAACAAACACCACCAACTTCCGGTTGTGTCTTTTTTGAGGTTATGTCAAAATTAAATATGGAATATCTCCGGTGTTTTTTAAGATAATTGGGTCGTGTTTGGACTCGATTTAAAGGATTTTTAATTTCCTACGTGATTATATACAAAGATAAAACCTAACCTCACTTTGTAAACGTCAAATTAACTTTATTCGATATTATCCGCCATTTTAACGCAACGTTTTGTTTGTATGTTTTAGTTTTGCACTAGTACTATCACTAGAACTAACACAAGACCTAATTAAGTAGTTATTATTAATCACAAAACATAATCATATCTCTAACTCAAAAAAGTCTACATTATGTAAAATATTAGACTTCTATAGACTACATTTCAGGAGCTAAGATATTATGTATCATATTCTGGGATGTATGTAGATTTTATTATATCACTGTGTTAATAAACATCTAAAAAGTGAACGAAAGCTTAAGTATCAAAAACTTTTATTATTCATTTTCGTTTAGATTTTTCAGAAAGTTGTTTCCTCCAAACAATAGCATTCAACTTTTCCCCCAACAGATACAACCCCGAGGACAAACAAAACAGTCCTAAAAAGAATCCAACCCTACCAGGCAAATTCAAAACGTCCAAAACCGGATAAACCCACAAATTCGTGTACGCATGAATAACGTGAATCCACCCCAAATAAGCTAACATAAAAACGGTCAAAATCCCCAGCCCGATTTTCCTCGAAGGATATTTCCTAAACGCCGTAAACATCTCGATCAGGATAAAAATCATGATATTCGTGTGCATCACATGATTTAGCCACGAAGGAAAGTACGGATCTATCACTTTCGGAAAAACTAGCTCCCTGTCGATCGCATATAACGCCCAAAACGTTAAACCAACAAACATCGATAATGGAAACGCTAACGATGGTAGAAGCTAAAAATAAATAATTAAATAAGAAACCGTTCTTATTGTATTACTTACGATATCTTTAAATTTTCTTATTAATGACGTTTTTTTTGGTGGTGGTATTAAATCGGATGTTCCAATAAGTTCGTTTAAAAAACATATCGTGAAGAAAAACGATTGTAGAAGCTAAAAATGTATAAAGTATTAACAATGTTTATGCTCAAAGAGCTTGTTAAAAAAGCTTGTACAGATCTGACACGATGAGCTGAGTCTATATGTATGTGGAAAACTACTGGACTATATTATACTACTCATTTTTATTGAATTTTCCAAATCCCCGCTAAATTTTAACATAATTTGATCATATCTCTTGAGTTATTTCAGTTTTTCCAAAAATTTTGACAGATGCAAAAATGTATGGCGTTCGTAAAAACTTGAAAAAATGAAATTTTCTTGATTATACACCTGTATATATCAGCATTTATGGTTTATGCATAAAATTAAAAACTAAAACTTATTACCAAACTTATTATAAGCACAATACACATAAACACCATGATTAAAAACACAACAGACATTGACATTTCAAATATGACAAAAATTGACAGTTCTTTCCGGTCGTTTAAACAGCGCGCGCGGTGCTTAAATACGTATCAATACGAATACATATCAGCTCGTCGTAACAGACCCTGTACATAACAACAATAACCACATTAGCTTTTTTATATCAATTAACTTGATAAACAAAATCAACAACGTCAACGATAAAACTAAGATAAAACGTCCTAATAACGCCATCTCTTTAATTAATTTAAAACTAAAAAGTTTCATTAACATGAAATTAGTCAATTTAGTGAATTATCTAATCAATTTGAAAATTATTTTGCAATTAAATCTAAAAATAAAAAAAATTTAACCTTAAAGATAAAAAACCTCTCATTATATCTTACAGTACAACAAATAAAATGCTTACACACAAATCAAGGTTAATTAATTCTAAAAACTTAACATTCACTTCAAGAAAAAAATGTGTCATTATTATTAATGAATTGTACGAACCGCATCCCAATAAGTTAAAAATTTCAATTTTTTCGTTTTTCCAAATGAAACTCCGATCGGATGTACTTCCGGTGGGATATTAACATAGTTCCAATCGTAATAACACCCGAGCCAAAAGTGAGTGGATATTGCAAAATACAAAATTGCTTTGGCTGACATAATTACTCAAAATACACAACTTAACGGCTTCGTGGCCAGATGCCGACTGCAGCAATAACAAAATGATTGAACTTTGTGATCCGATCAAAAGATTCATTTCGAGGTTATCTCTTAAATTTGAGGTTATAATTTTTTTTTAATCAATAATTATTTTAATTTAATAATTATAACCTTACCACGTTCCAAATCGTTAAATATTTCAATTTTCCCCCGAAAGGTTCCTTTCCGCGATACTTTTCCGGGGCAAATCGGCTCAAATCGACGTATTTTTGATCGTAATAAATCGCGAAATAATAATAAGACACCAAAGCGAAGTAATAAAACGTTTTTACGCCCATCTCCTTTTTGGAGGTTATCTGGCCTACGCGAAATTCGTTAGTTTTCTAACCAGTTTGATTCAACGTTTGAAACATCATCGTTACAACTAGATTTTTAAATAACCTCTTAATTTTATGATAGTGTTTGGTAGGGGAAGTGATTATCTTATCGTTTTTACTCACGAAGTTTTAGAGGCACATTTTATTGATTTTTTTTCGCATCTAATTAAATCATAATTGGGGATTGATTTTGGGAAATGTATTGAAGTTAAAAATATCATATTAGAAGATAATTTATGATTATTCTGATTATTAAGGATATTTTTAGATAAAATAAGAAAATTATATAAAAAGAAATTTAATTTTTGAGGTTATGTGTATGTCAATGTCAAGCTAAAATTTGGTGCCTCATATATAGGTGTCCCAATAGTTTGTGAACATCTCAAATTTTTTGTTGTTGTTATTAACATACACGAATGTTACTGTTTAAAACTAATTAAACGTATACCATATTAAGAGAAAATATCAAACATAAATCTTAATGACACTATAACAACCAATAAATGCTGAATAAAAGTGAGTTCTGTAATTAGCTGGGTGTAACCTCTAAGAGAAAGAAAGAACTGACTTATAGAAGACACAAAGAATCAAAAATTTTCGTCTGAAGCAGAGTATATCATGATGCCATATAGCCACTTTGCACAGTTACGAGATAAACATACAAAATTTCTCACAGGATTGCGACATGATTTAAGTGGTCCTCCATATTCTATTGGGCCTATCTATCTGTCTGTCGGCATTCCCTTCGCATATTCGTACCATTTAAGTCTCTTTAATTCCAGTCAAATCCAATTTCTTGGCTGATATCAACATTCCTCACTTTATCTCTCCTTGTCTTTCTGCAACACCTTCGCCAATACTCCATTTACTCAATGGTATCCCCCTTGTCTGTAATTTGCACCTCCAGGTATCTTGCAGAAAAAAAGAATCATTTTTTAATCAATTTTTCAAACTATCAAAACTTTATTTTCGGTGCCTTAATCGGTCGGTTGAAGTGGAGGCGCTATCTCTATTTCAAAGATAAAACTCAATGTTTTAAACAAATATGTTCATGCGGGTGAGAGGTGCCAAATATTCAAACAATAGTGTCTAATAGTTGAGGTGAGAATAGTGACGAGAGGGCTGACAATTAATCGTGAACGCAAAAATATCTTAAAAATTGAATCTTAATTGAATTCACATACCTGTGGTATAGATTCAGGTAAGATGCATGTGAGGGATATGGCAAAAAGAGCTGATAAGGTGATGGGGAAGGTCTAGAGAAAGAGAAAGATTATGTTTGTTGGTTTACTGGATAAAAGGTGTATAGTGAGGCACGAAAAATAAAAGGTCCTTCAACAAATTCAAGGTTGGAGGTTTTGACACGCATGCACTTGTTGTTATATAATTAATTAATTAGTTAAAAATGTTATTGGAATAACCAAATGTCAAGAAAGTTGACAGGTGACAGCACACATTGTCAAGATTAATTATCTGAATGTAGCCTAATATAATCTAATAATTTATAAAAAAAATAAACAATTCACTATAAAATAATGTTTTCATGTCAATGAAAGATTTATATCTTAAGACTGCAAGATATATCAAGATGGTTTTAAGATAAGATTAAATTTTAATTAACGATTTTACCATATTCCACATTGTTAAGTATTTTAATCTTTTTTTTAATCCATCGAATTCCAAAAAGCTCTCTTCATAACCTTTTGGTAGCAACAAAGACAAATCGACGTCATCGTCATGTTTTGTACAGAATATTGTAAACTTTTAGTTGACAATAAATACTCTTAATTAATTAAATAGTTAAAAATGTTATTGGAATAACTAAATGTCAAGTTGAGAAAGTTGACAGGTTGTCAAGATTAATTATCTGAACGCTTCCTTTTTTTTAATATTATCATATCCTCATTTAACTAATAACAAATAATTATAACAAATAATAAATAAATAAATTATTTTTAATTTAAAAAAAATAGTAATTTGCTTACAATTAGTTAAATGAGAGTATTAAAAAAGGAAGCGTTCAGATAATTAATCTTGACAACCTGTCAACTTTCTCAACTTGACATTTGGTTATTCCAAGAACATTTTTAACTAATTATATAACAACAATAATAATATAAACAAGTCACTATAAATAATTTTTTTCATGTCAATGAAAGATTTATATCTTTTAGATTATGTCAAGATGGTTTTAAGATAAGATGAAATCTTAATTAACGACATTACCATATTCCACATTGTTAAGTATTTTAATCTTCCTTTTAATCCACCGAATTCCAAAAAGCTCCCTTCATAACCTTTAGGTAGCAACAAGGACAAATCGACGTACATTTGATCGTAGGTAAAAGCGTAACATTTACTAACCACCATCAAAACGTAAACGAAACCTTTCAAACCCATTTTCTTCCTTTAACTAATTATAAGTACAACCTTTTCGATAAACCACAACGAATTGAATTGATTCAATCCGGATTTAAATTACACTTATTATATTACATCGTCCTATCTTTTTCTTGGACGTCTCATTTTAATCTTTTAACCTCGTTAAAAATATTATCAAAAAAGTGCGATTATAAAAGAAAATTAATTTTTTTTTCGTTACGGTTCTGTTCGGTTATGATGTAATAAAGGACTTACGTGCGGGTAACCCCTCCAACGTGGACGTACGTCGTTTTAAGTCGTGTTAAAATCACAAATGAGTCATCCAGGTGCGTTTTTTTTCTCAACTAGGTATTAATGTTGTTGCTTTCCCTTCGGGTTTTCGGTTTTCGTTCGTTGTATTTTGCTCAAGCTCTAGTTTGTTTATTCCACCTGAAATAATCGAAAAATAAAAATATATAGCAACAATTTTAAATAGTAAGTTTTGTTGATTGTGTAAAGAGCAGTTGGTCAATATCGTGAAGGTTACATTAATTATTAACAACAAAATAGGTGAGTTCTTAATTTTAATTTAACAATTCTTGTTTCAAGGACGTTTTATTCGATATTATTTCTTAATATGAAGTTTAATCTAATTAATGTTGGATTATCCCAATTAAAATTCGTGGCACACAATTTATATCCGCTTACTGACTTTATTTCAACATCCATTTATTTGTGATTCCATAAAAAGTAATCACAAAGGTTATCGTCCGTCTGGAAGTGATTTTATCATACTTTTATTATCATTACAAACAGGATTTCCTAAAATCTCGCTTATCTCAAAGACAAATCTCTGAGTAATCTCCTTAAAATGTTATCACACTTACTTTTTACCAAATCATTTCGTCATTTCAAAAAATTTCGATTTCATCCTACAAAAATTTCACATTTACAAAGTATATAGTAATATTTAAAGTAAATTTTATTTAAATAAATTAATGTAGGTCAGTAAATATTACAAAACCACTTTAATTATATTTATTTTTGGTTTTAGATAAAAATAACCATGGCAGAATTCTTAGAATTTGATTGGAAGAGTAATATGATTTCAAGAGATATCCTCAGGGAGCAAATTTACACAGAAAATGAACCAACCGACGAACAAACATCCATAAAATCGTTAAGAAGCTCCATCCAAACAAGCGGGGACATCGAATTAATAGATAACATGCAACAAGATGATTCGACCCTTTTAAAATTCCTTTACGCGAAGAAATTTAACGTAAACGAGTCGTTCGAATTAATCCGGAATTATTATTGGTATAGGAAGAAGAATCCGGAGATTTTTCGCAATTTCACCATCCAATCAGATGATATTCGACAAAGTTTAGAAAATGGAATCCCCGGGGTTTTAGAATCAAGGGATCGAAAAGGGCGGTGTGTTTTATTGATTAATGGGAACAATTGGGATTGCTCCCAATACACTTTAATGGGAATTTATCGCGCTATTTTGTATACTTTAGAATTTTTAATACAAAACATTCACAATCAAGCGAATGGTTTCGTTATTTTAGTCGATTGGACCGAATTTTCGTTCCGCCAAACGACCCATTTGAAACCGGCCATTTTAAAAACGATGATTGAAGGGCTACAAGATTGTTTCCCCGCGAAATTTAAAGGGGTTCATTTCATCGGGCAACCGTGGTACGTCGAAGCTGCTTTAGCGCTTATTAAACCATTTTTAAAAGAAAAAACTAAGGAACGCATCTATGTACACGGAAATAATTTGAGTACGCTTCATAATTACGTGCCTACCGATATACTTCCGGCGGAAATGGGGGGCGAACAAGCCAGTTTTAACCCGGAAGTTTGGCTCAAACAACTCATGGAAAGCGACAAAGTTTAATTCATAAAAACAGAATCTCAAAGAACGAATGTATTTATGTATTTATTGTATACACTCTGTGATATTATATACAAGATGCTTATTTTAATCTTGATCATTCCAAGAATATTTTAAATTTGATTTTGCACTGACTGAAGGAAATTTTTGAGGTTAACTTTGACAATAATAATAATTAAGGGCAATATAATGATGTTTTTTGCATTAAATATTTAATAAAAACTATAAATTTATTAATTAAGCCATTATTTACCTTCAAAATCCTATAATTACTATATTTGTTATCAAATTTGATCAAAAATTAGATGAGGTTAGATTTTAAAATAAAAATTAGTACCAACTTCAAAAAAAAATAAATTTTCATTATTTATAACAAATTTTCATTAAACTCGTTATAACAATTATATAAAACATTAATTATTACAAAAAATGATTAATTAATTCATTCCTATTTCCATCTACATATATTTATAAACAAGGATTTGAGGCTATTTAGGTAAATTTGTTTATCTTAAGATTGAAGTTATGTAAAACGTAATATTTTTTTTTTACATTAAATTGTTTATTAATTAAACGATTATATACCTTTAAAATCCTACAATTACTACATTTATTATCAATTTTTATCAAAAATTAGATTTTAAAATAAAAATTAGTACCAACCTCAAAAAAATCAAATTTACCCCAAATTTAAAATAATAACAATTTATATTAAATTATAACATTTTTCTTCGTTATTTATATCAAATTTTCATTAAACTCTATTTAACAATTATATAAAACATTAATTAATACGAAAAATGATTTCATTAAAATTTGATCCAATTTAAACACTTTAAACGAATACGACCTTGGGTTTTATTACTAAATACCTCCCACCGTGCTGACTAAAGCTTGATTTATCAAAAGCACATTAAAAAACCGGCTTTATAACCTATACGTGGTAACTCAACCAGGTGTAGTTGTTAAAAGTGATTTGGTGTCAAATTCATTAAGAATTTAATTAAAAATGTCCGAGAGGTACGTTAAACTCACTTTTTCCATCAAATTTATTTAAATTAAACCAGTTATTATTAATCTAATCAATTCTGCATGTTTTATGCATTCTTTATAACCAACCCATAAAAGATAAAAAAACTATTCCTGACTCACACAATCATTATCGAATATGTACAAAAATTTTGCTATATTTCACTCAGTTTATAACAATTTCTTCGTTTTAAGCCATGTCGATTATCTTTAACCGTGTTAACGTTTTAAAACAATTAATTAATCTAAACAATTTAAGGCTATTTAGGTAAATTTATTTGTTTTAAGTTTGCAATACTTTGAGGTTATGTAAAACGTCATATTTTTTTGTATTAAATTGTTGAATCAAAATGATTATATTTTTGAAGCGCAAAATTAATCGATGGCAAATCAATCGCAAAAGACATTCAAAATCGCTTAAAACTCGAAATAGAAGAATGGGTTAAAATCGGCCACCGGGCCCCAACTTTACATGCGATCATAATCGGAGATGACCCGGCAAGTGTAACTTATGTAAATAAAAAGATGGAAGCTTCAAAAGAAGTTGGTGAGTATCAAAATAACGCGAATAAATTAATATTAATTAAAAAAAATTAAATTTAGGTATTAAAAGTGAACGAATTTATCTCCCAAAAACATCAACTGAAGAAGAAATAATTAAAAAAATAAACGAATTAAACGAAAACCCGCAAGTTGATGGGATTTTAGTTCAGCTCCCCGTCCCGGAAGCTGTAAGCGAACGCAATGTTTGCAACGCAGTTGACCCAAAAAAAGATGTAGATGGATTTCATATTTTAAATGTTGGAAAATTAACGTTAAACATGGATTGTTTCGTTCCATGCACAGCGCTGGGCGTTATTGAGTTGCTAAAATGGTTTGAGGAAGACTCTAAGACGAAAATTTTTGGTAAAAACGTCGTCGTTTGTGGTCGATCGAAAAACGTTGGACTTCCCATTTTTAATATTTTGCACTCGGATGCGCGTTATAATCTTCCTGGGTTGGAGTCAACTGTTACATTGTGTCATCGACATACGCCTAAAGAACAATTAGAAATGTTTACTAAATCAGCTGACGTCGTTATTAGTGCAACAGGAGTTGTTGGATTAATCAAAAAAGAAATGATTAAAAAAGGGGCTTGTGTTATTGATGTAGGGATTACTCGTATAACCACGCCCGAAGGTAAAACTAAGTTGGTTGGGGATGTTGATTTTAATGGTAAACTTTTTTCTATAAAGAAAAATTAAGTTTATTTTATTTTGTTTGCATTTTTAGGTGTTAAAGAAGTTGCTGGTTATTTAACACCCGTTCCTGGTGGGGTTGGTCCAATGACTGTTGCTATGTTAATGAGAAATACTTTTAAAGCTGCTAAGTTATTAGCACAATGAATTCTTTAACAAGTATTATCGCTTTTTTTCAGTATTTTTATATATTTAAATATGGATAATGTACTTAAAATGAATTTATATCGAATTTATGCCTAATAAATTATCAAGGATACAATAACATCTCAATTATTTAATAACACATAAATATTGCAAACATTACATTTTTTTCCATTTTCATTAACTTTCTTAATGGTATGTTTTGAAATACATAACCTTACTTAATAATATATACTTAATACACTTATAAATTACAATATATATCTAATATATATATTCGTGTGGATAAATTACAAAATGTTCAATAGTTTTAATTAATTAGTGTTGTATTTTTAAATTAATTTAAACAATTAGCGACATCTATGAACAATAGCTAAGAAATTGAACCTAAAGGTTATTTTTAGCAAACAATTCTAATCGATGGATTAAATAACTATACCGGGATTTGATTAAAAATAAAACTTATTTTTGAAGATAAAGATAGTTATTAATGATTTATTAATAAAGGATTTTAAAAATATTAATTTAACCAACTAGTGACATCTATGAAGATTAAGAAAAAACTAGTAAATATAACCTCAAATTTCGTTTCGGTTTTAAAAATATTGTTAATAAATTTTTGTTCTTTTAAAACGTGCAAAAGATAAATCATAATGTTTTATGTGGCGAGGAGTTCATTTTTATGGATAAACAGGTAAGAAATTGAATCCCAAACGTTATTTTTACCAAACAATTCTATTAGATAGATTAAATAACTACACCGGGAATTGATTGAAGATAAAACTTATTTTTGAAGATAGGAATAGTTATTTAATGATTTACTAATAGTTATTAATGATTTATTAATAGTTATTAATGATTTTAAAAATATTAATTTAAACAATTAGTGACATCTATGAAGATTAAGAAAAAACTAGTAAACTCAACTACAAGATCCGTTTTGGTTTTAAAAATATTGTTAATACTTTTTATGTTTTTTTTAAATGTTCAAAAGATAAATAATCATGTTTTATGTGGCAGGGAGTTAGTTATTAATGATTTTAAAAATATTAATGAAAACTATCAGCGACATCTATGAAGATTAAAAAAAAGCTAGTAAACACCTAAAATTTCGTTTCTGTTTAAAAAATATTGTTATTTTTTATGTTCTTTTAAAACGTGCAAAAGATAAATAATCATATTTTATGTGGTGAGGAGTTCATTTTTGGGATAACCAGGTAAGAAATTGAATCCTAAAGGTTATTTTTAGCAAATAATTCTAATTGATGGATTAAGTAACTATACCGGGAATTGATTAAAAATAACTTATTTTTGAAGATAGAAATAGTTATTGATTTTTATCAAAAAATACATTTAACAGGCGGTTATACATCGAAATATCATAAAAATATTAGATTAAACTATCTCCTGTGACTACTAAACAGTGAATTAATTATTTTTAGGTTGACCAACCTTAATCATTAACGTCATTATATGTAAACATAACCTAAAAAAATTTTTTTTGTAGAAAAAATTACAATAATTAATAATAAATGAGAAATAACGTACTTTATTATTATTACCAAGCGATTAAACGAAGCAAAATAAATACATCCAAATTGCACTGCCCATCGAGTGTACATTTAACTTTTAAAAACGATTATTGCTAAGATTTTAGTACGAATAACTCGTTAATAGATTTCCAAAGCAATTAGAATTCATTAAAAAGTTATTTCTAAGCGTTAAATTACTAATACATATCTTAGTAAATATAAAGTTCAAAAAAACTTAATACGAATTCTCTACGAAAGAGAATAATAAAAGTTTCCAATTTTTTTAAAGTCTTACATTAAATAAATTAAGAAAATATATATATGAACGGAATGTGTTCATCACAGTTGCGTTACAAACATTACGGTGTACTAAATAATGAAAAAAAAAAGCGTATTAAGCGTATAATATTCAAGATAAATTCTAATACTGCTTTTAATTTTAGATTTGTTTTAAAACGTTAACAATTTTTAATGTAATATTTGAAATTTTGTACTTTACTTGACATCCTATCGCAAGCAAAATTGTTGTTTACTACATAAAAATATTTTCTTTAGCATTTAAATAAGTTTCTAAGAAGAGAGACGATTATTGTGATTTTAGATTTTCTTTAAAGAAATCTTAACAATCTTCATTTGCCGATTTTAAGGGCCTCAAAACAATTCTGGGATCCGATTCAATCATTCTATCTGCATCTTCATTACTTAAATATAAAAATATTAACAATAAATCATTAATTTAAATAATTACTTACCTTAAAATGGTATGTTCTTGTACCATAAGTCTACTATTTTCCGTATCACCTTGCGATTGTTGATATGCCACATCCGAAACAGGGGGATACGTTGCAGAAACTAATAAATCGGTTGAAGGATTTGTTGAAACATGTTTACCAGCTACATCTAAGTGGGTCTTTTTGGGACAACAATATAATTTTCCAGCTCGTTTCATATAAAACACTATTTTTGTGTTAAAATTGTTTTTAATTTGGGGAAATTTTTACTTACAGAATAATCCGGATGATATTCCACAAAGTATGAACCCAACAATGATTAATATACAATTCGAAGGATCCTTTTCTATCGCTAAGTTCCCTAATGAACCAATTAAAATAAGAGATAACCTAAAAATTCGTTAAAATATCAACTTTAAGTACTTTAAATAACGTTTTTTGAACTCACCCTATTATTAAACAAATCAAACTTATTATAAGTGGTAATGACCTTATAATTTGATGCTTTTTGACTCTAGTTAAAGATGATATGTACCGTAAATTACTTGATATTCCATTCCCATTCTCACAGTTTTGTCTATCGATAGTCGTGGGTCCATACACGCCAGACATTTTCTTTTCTATTTAATTCGTTTTCTTTTTATGGATTAATTTTAGTGTGATGATTCCATTTAGCAAGAACTTAGTTCTGAAAGATGATAAAAATTGCAACTTACGTTTATTTTATTATATTTACATTGAAATTGTTTAAATTTTGATTATTGCAATGCGTATCACGTAAACACGTTCAATTTAAACCGTTATGTTTATTATTTGATTAGAATTGTTGATAGATAAACGCATATGTATAAAACAATTTTTTTGACAATTTTGACAGAAGTTGGAGAATAATACCAACCTTTTTTTTTTTAATAAATTATAATAATAATAGCCATAATAGTATAATAAAAATTTGATTATTTGTTTAAATAATGTTTATTTCTTTGAACTTATTTTGATGTAATAAATCGAAATAATTAATAAGAATTAAATTATTTAAATGAAAATTTAAGTTGGTAGTATCCGCACGATCTTCATCCTCTCCACGTCACGTTGAATACAAACATTTAAAAGTTTTTTTTTAAAACATTTTTATTAAAGTTAATTTCTGGATAAAAACGTAAGTAAGACGAAGTTGTTTATTAATTTTGTTATGTATTATAACTATAACATTGGAGTTTTCATGGTGCATTGTTTGTTGTTTTATGCGTACTTTCGCAAAAACAAAGAAAAGTGAGGTTATGTGCATTTTTAGTGTTATTTAAAGTTTAATTTAATAAAAATTTTATTTAATTCAAATATATTTTTAGGTACAGCTGGAAATCGTCGTTTTAGCCGCCTGGTGCCAGTTTTTTTGGACTTCTTTCTTCTGTTGGACTCCATTGCATCGCTCTTTTCGGGATTCTTCCCGAACTCATTCTTTGAACGTGGCCGGATTGGAGCTGTCTTCTTTGGAAAAAAAATTAAGTTGGTAGTATCCGTACGAACTTCATTCCCTCCATCTGTCACATCGAATACAAACATAAAAGTTTTTTAAACATTTTAAGCTTAATTTGTGGATAAAAGCATGGGTAAGTCGAAATTGTTTATTAATTTTATTATATTTATTGACATTGTTGTTTTTATGCTGCATATTTGTTGTATTTTCGCAAAAAAAGAAAAGAAAAGTGAGGTTATGTGCATTTTTAGTGTTATTTAAAGTTTAATTTCATAAAAATTTTGTTTAATTCAAATATATTTTTTAGGTACAACTGAAAACGGTCGTTTTAGACTTTTTGGATCGAATAAAAGCCCGTTGTTCGGCACGAAAGCTTCTCGTGAATTTTTTATAAAATCATGCACATTTTACGAAGATTTGATTTCGAGGTGTTGGTGGTTCAAATTGTTATCGAATTATTTTTAAACCCTTTTTTGAACATTAATTAAACCTCAACATATAATTTTCGATTTTTAAAAATTGGAAATTAATTTTTTTTGTGGTGAAATGTATTTTAATTGAATGGATGTCCTTGGAAAGTGGACTATGTGTGTCGTACACATAACCTTAAAAGAAGTAACGACGATTCTCGTTCGGGAATTGCCGAAAATTTCGAATGTTGCGCTCTCTATCGACTATTGCGTGTTGGAGTGGTGCGCATCCCTCCGCGGTATGGTCCGGTTTCCACCCTTACACTTGCTGCCAGTTTGGCGCCTTCCGCACCGCCACAGCCCACTCTCTCCCTAACGATCTCTCGAATTTTTTTTTTAATTTTTCGCTCACACCTTTAACCTCTCCGTTTTCGGCCGAAACTCTATTGATGCCGAAACGAACCCGACACTTTTTAAAAGACACCTTTAATTAAACATTCGAGCGCGTATCTAAAAGAAGAACAACCACAACGTTGAAGACGAAGAAGAAGTAACCCTTAGCATCTGTGTGCTGATGACCCTTTTTAAACGTTTTCTTGGTTCCTAAAGAAAAATCTTAAGTTTTGTGTCAAGTGATTTTTTTTTAATCTTAATAATTAGAATCGCGACTCCCCTTAAATTAATTTTATTTGGTGATTCATTAAAAAAATTAATTACTGATTGAAGAGGTAAAGCACAAAAATGTAGATTACCCCACGACTTTTTTCTTATACTTTATCTTCCATTAGTTATATTTTTTTTTAGAAAATTCCCGATTTTTAATTTTTTTTAGCACAAGTCTGTTTTTCTGCTCGGCTTTTTTAGGAAACAATTTTTTTATAGCCCAAGGCACAAATACAAAGTTTTCTTTTTTTAGTTAATGGTGGTGCTGATACGCTGATAGATTAGAAATTCTCCCCTTTTTATCGTTAGATACGATCCCCATTGACTAAATAGAAAGAGCATGTTTGAGAAGTAACGATTTCTGAGCTTTCTTTTTATTATTATTATTTTTTTTTGGTCGTTTCGAGGGGTGAACTCCCTCCCATTTATTTTTTTTATTAGATGCATGCTGTACACACGATCGTGTTGTTAAACTCGAACCGAAATGGGTTAGGCATGACTATAATCGATAAAAAATCACCTTGGAATAACATAATAATGATGGCCTCTTTTTTTACCTCAAAATTACATTAACCATATCTGAGGTAAATTAATAACTAATTTTTGTATCTATTTCTCTTACTATAAATATCCATTTAAATTCTTTAAAAAGCTTTTTGATTCGAAACAAAAGCTTTTCTCCCGTTTTCCGTGGTAATAAAGCTTTTCGGGGTATAAAGTTGTTTTGGGGACGTCGTGGGGTGCTGTTTTCAATTCAGACTTCGGCTCCAACTTGGTGATTTACTTCGCTGTTTGTTGACGGCACGTTGCATCTTGCACCGTTTCGAACTCATCCTCGTTGCGATGAAATCCGTTATTTACAAGTTGTTTATCCCGGTTGCGGACTCGCGGAACCGTATCGAAAAGAATTAATAAATAATTTTATTTCGTGAATCTATTGTGTTTAACTTTACTAGTTATTAGACAACTTAAGAAATGATTTTCTTAGATTGGTGTGTAAAACTGTTGAATAGAACAAATTGGTTATGTTATACTTAACTCAAACTGCGTTTCCAAGTTTTTAGCTCATCAATAGTTTTTGATCAAAACTTACAAATGGTAGTAGTGTTCGTGTTGCGACTTTTACTGCTGTACTAAACTTAATACTTGAGGAAAAAATCATAAAACATGATACCGTTACAACACTTCAATGTTTTATACTTAGGGTAATTGGAAAAAAATAATCTTGAAATTGTGGATCTTGAAAGATTGAAAGAAATTTTGGCCATTTCTTTAATGTTGGATTAATGACAGTTGCAAGTTTAATGTGTGTAAAGCTAATACCACTTGAGTCAAGGCATTGTAGTCTTGAAGTTTCATGATACACTCTATATTATTACACTGTAACAATGTTTGGTGCATTTGTGTATAAATTGTTGATTTCACCTTGTGAAGTCTCTCACTTAAGGCATTACAAATCGATCTTGTAGAATACTGGTTACACTTTAATGATTTTCTGTTCGTTCCACTACCTCAGGTTCTTGAAGTTCTTGAAGGCTCTTGAGGTTCTAGAAGCATACCATTACAATATGTCAACTTCTACGATCTTAAGCTACAAGGTACGGTTGTTACAATTTAGTACAACTCTATGTGATGCTTTACTATGAGGAATGTTGGTGTCCAATTCTTCTCTCAGCAGCTTGCAAAACTCAATTTAAATTAAATTTTATAAATACCCATCTTGGGTAAATACTCGGGTATTTAACAATACTGCCTCTACATAGTATTGCTGTGTAAGCATAGTCAAGGAATTCAAGGAAAAGTCAGGGAGGCCTTTTTGCACGTCTAAGAAATTACCTACCTTATTAGTTGAGAAGGTGTTATTTATGCTTGGGGCTGGTTAGAAAGAGCAAAAACGCTGATGATGGCTATGAATGCATCTTGTCATGAACGAGGCACAGTAAAGAAGCAATATTTTAAGTCTAATTTGAATTCTTAAGAGTTGTTGGAATCTCGATAAGCTCAAATTTAGAAATAAGAATAAGTTGTGGAAGTCTACACTTGTTTTCTATAGATTCTCAGTGTTACGCTGTCATAATACGTCCAACTTTCTTGATAAACTACAATACACGACAAACAAGTTACATCAAAAAGTAACGAATCATGCATTTTTCCCGATTCATCGATTTATCTAGTTCTTTACCATTAAAGAAATATTCAATGAGATTTCGAACATTTAGGGTATATAAACTTTTCAACTGGTTTTGTGGGCGATTGAAACAAATAAGAGCTAATTTTTCAGACTTGGAAGAGTTATGAATGCATAAAATTCAAGTTGAGCCGGCGATGATAATGTTCTTAACCCAACAGCTTTTCCGATACTCTAAAGTGTTTGAGTTTTCTGGAAAACATTCCCTTTAACTTGTATTGCTTCTGTCAAGTAATCTGAAGGAGTTTCTTAATGATTAGTATCATTTTGACATACACCAAAATTTTTTTCTATATTTCAGGGATGTTTTTAATCGATTAGAATCATTTTGATTGACACCAATCAGCTTTTCTCATATTTGAACTTTTCTGCAAAACATCCCCTTGAATGCTATTAACTTTTTTGCCTCACTAAAACGATCTGAATGTGTTTTTAGTCGATTAGCACCATTTTGACATGCAACAACAATCTTTTCTACTACACAAAATCTAATTTTTAATTATTTCATCGTCGTTAAGTATCCTAGGCATGTTTTTAATCAATTAGAACCATTTTGATTTCGACCAATCAGTTTTTTAAACTCTTTGAACTTTCTGGAAATCATTCCCTTTAACATTATTATCTTTTTCAAATAATTTAAAGGTGTTTTCAAATCAATTAGTACAATTTTGACACACATTAACAACATTTTTCGAATATTACTTTAATATTTATTGCTTGATAAAAACGTTTATGACTCAAATCGTTTTTTAATCCTATTATGCACCTGATTGATGAAAGTTTCAAGTGTCATCACTCATCGATTCGATTTCAATCACTCCGCACGTAATACATAAAATAAATACGTTGTGAGTGTGGAAATAATTACTTTTTGTTTTTGAAAAAGCTTTTTTCGACGTATTTTTTCCATTTTATTACACCACTTTTACATATACACGGAGAAAATGAAGGCTTTACATTGACAGGGCGTAGGCCTAACAACGCCCTTTTCGATTAATATTAATTTATGAAGGGAGCAAAAAGTAGTCGCTTTTATCTCTCCCCGATCGGGTGTTTTAACTTAACAACCCGGTAATGTTTATTTATGAATGAGTCGCACTTTGATGTTAAACGATGATCGATGCAGCTTTTAAAATTCCGAAGTCGATTTCTGTTGATTCTTATTCTAATATTAATGTTGACTTATGATTGATCGAATCGTTTGTACTACAAGAATAATTTATTGTTGTTTATTTCTTTTTTTGCAGATGTCATCAAACTTTACGAGAAGATTAAGAAGAGGTTTTTGAATATGGTAGCCTGTGATATTTCGATCTATAAAGGGAAACCGAGACAGTGAAGGAAGGGTAAGTCGATTTCCCTAATATACAACATTCAATACGTCCCTGAACTTTGCAAGAATACTAGATTTTACGCTCATTTTTCGCTTTGTCGAGTCGAGAAGTCCATTCATTTTTTATTATACGTATTCTTTTTAGAAAAATTCCATAAAAAAGAACGATTCAACCCAAATTTTTTCTTTCCTATTTATTTCTAAATGTCATTCAAAATGTTAAAAGTTATATTTAACTTTTATCATATACGGGGTGATTCAAAAATTTAAATTTTAAAAATCAAATTTTTAATTGTAACGAATAGATCTTTCACCTTAATTATAGCAATTTTGAAACGTTCTCGTAAACTTTAATTTAGCTATGGAATATTTTCCACGGTTGCATAATGTTTAACATGTTGACGTCTCCTCTCACAACTTTACGTTTAAAACGAACGCGACGGTAACTTCTGTTAAACATCGCATATTGTATGCATACAAAGTAGGGCGCCCAGCATACCTAGTTTAAAGGGGAATAATTAATTCCCGTCTAAGTGTAAATTAAAGAAGCTTTTATTAAAATTTGACATTTTAAGTGTAAATTAAACAGATTTAATGTAAATTGTAATGTGTAATATGTAAATTGATAAGATGTCCCAATAAGTGTAGTTTTTGAGCGAGCTGTGATACTTTTTGCAATATAAAGTAGACATCTTCCTATTAAGTATGGAATAAAATATTCTGAACATTTATGCAAAGTCACCAATGACGTGTTGGAACTCGTCCTTGAGCTCGGAAATAGATCGTGGCGCATTGGCATCGATGTGAGATTTCACAAAAACAGAATCTGCTGGTTTCAGCTCATGGGTCAGGTGTACCTTGAAGGATGCACAATGCCGAATTGATGTTTTAGTTAAATCAGCATCAAAAAAGTTCATTTTGTATCTTGGATCCAAATAAGTTGACATATCTTATCAGCTTTCTTATTAACTTCATTTTTATTCAAATATTCGAAGGGGATGCTGAATATCCGGTATTCGGCTTTTTGCAAAATCACTATCCGTTCTAAATATCATTCTAAACATCTTTCAATATATCGTGTGCCACCCTTCAACATCTATCAATATCGTCCCAGACATCTCTTAACTTCGTTCACTCAATGCCACCTATGGCCTCTCTCAGCGTCATATCTACTTCAAGTGTTGCTCTGATATCTCTCAGAATTATTATTCATCTTCCTCAATATCATCTCACACATGAGGTTCATGCTATTCCATAATGTTGTCAATGAGAGTTGTCAATATTGTCTGTAATATTTTTAATTTTGCTCATGATCTTCCCAAAATTATTCCTATTCTTAACTATAATATGATCATAAGATTATCCTTCAATGGCATCCAAAGTCTATGTCAAAACCGTCCATAATTGTCAAAAGGTCTGAATATCTTTAAAAATCCTTGGAACTTGCTAGACATCCTTAAAATCTCTATCTAGTATGAGAAAAAAGAAGAAAATCCTTTAGAGATTTCGTAGAACTACCTGGAAATGCTTATACGAATCTATCCATTTGATTAGAAGCCTAGATATTTCTAGTTGTTTTTCAAAATTCTTGCAAATCGTTACAAAATCCATGAAACTTAATGATTTTCTTTAAGTATTTTGCTGCCAATTTGGGAAGGTTATTGTGACAGCATTGGTAATTTTACACATTTTTGGTCTCATATCATTCTCAATATGGTTTCCGAACATGATGATAAAAATTGTTTTAATATAGCTAAATATGGTGTAAACTGAGGCAATACAATAAGGATATGGGGGTTTATTTGATATTGATCTGATGTTCAAGCATCACATCAACAGTTTAGTATTTACTTCTGCAAAGTGTATGTTAAGCTTTATAGTGTGAAACTCGTAGCAGATCTGGGTTGCTAAAACGAGGAGAGGATTCCAGAGTTAATTGAAACGTGTATCCCCTAAGGCAAAAGTCGTCTTTAGAATATTTTATGGCTGTACTTAAATCTGCATAGATAAAGAAGACCATGCTTTAAAGTGATATAAAATATTTATGACACTTTCTTGTTAATTAATTTTGAAAAATTAATCTTATCAATAATAACAAGATTACTATATTTTTTTTACCAAAAAAAAAATATTACACACTTCAACGTTTTCAACATGAATATTCATATCGCGTAGAGAGACGAGTTGAGATTAAAATTGCAAAATTAAACGCCGGAAATTATTCCTGAGATAGCAAAAAAAGTTTTAATCACCAATTAAAGAACGTTGTTTCGCCCGATTTTTTATTTTTTTATTTTTCCCCCGTTTTTCTCGAATTTCAAAGAGTACAAAAGTGTGCTTTTGTGTAATTGTTTGAGAAACTAGGGCTTCGTTTGCTTCGTTAAGGGGTATTCTCGAATTAAAATCACATTTGTACACTTAATTTGTAACCTTAATTCATAACCTTAATTTATAACCTTAATTCATAGTTTAAATTTTTAAACTAAAAGATTAAAAAGGTATCTTTATACAGGGTGTCCCACGATGAACTGCGTCGATCGATATAGGAGAAACTACGAGTAGTATCTTTCTGAAAATTTGTAGGCGCACTTAAGTCGATATGCCCAACTCACCTAAAATATTTTCAAGACTGTCGCACTTCCGGTTATACCGGAAGTAGACAACAACTTCGTTATTTTAAATGGAACCACCTATATATTATTACATATTTAGATTCTACATCCGATTTTAATTAACTTTTACTTAAACATCTTATATAAAATTCTTACCCGTTTCTGAAATATTTACAAATTTATGTAAAAAAATTACCTATGCAGGCTTGTATGTTATGTGTATTTCTGCTAACACTGTTAAGTATTTGTTATATCTGATGAAAGGAATTTGAAGAAGAGACTATAGCTTAACTTTTGGTAGCTCATATGTTGTCCTACTACATACAGGGTGTTCAAAAAAAGCTGCCAAATATTTATATAAGAAAAAGCGAAAAACTCAAAAAAATTAAATGGAAACCATATATTTTTTTAATTGTATCTGAATCTACATTAAAAATAAAGGTAACTTTATGTAAGGTTCCCTATATCTAACTATCGCCGTTTCTTTGTAATTTTCGTTTTAAATAGTTTAAGATTATTCAAAACAATTTTGTGTCAAAGACGGCCATGACTACCGAGAAACAAATGAAGGTAACACAAATGTCATTATATCATTTATAAAATTCACTATGCCCGCACGTTTAAATTATACTAATGAAGATTATCTAAATCTATTTATTATTTATGGAGAATGTAACAAAGTTTTAACAAGAACATGCGATACATTTGCTGCTCGATATCCGCGAAAACGGAAACCATCCCCGAATACCTTAAAACAAATAATTCATAACTTCAACATTTTAAACAATCTCCCGAGAAACAAATGAAAGTATGACAAATTATGTATTAAGTAATTTGTATTTAACGTACTAAGTATGAGAAAACTAACTCTACTTTAATAAATGTTCAAAATTTTTCCCTTGAACTTCTAAACATTTTTCGCATCGCAAGATGACTTGTTGATGGGTAGCCTTTCTCAAAAAATCTGGATTTAAGTTATTGAACGCATTTCGCACTCTTTCCATACAATTTTCCTGAGTGGTCAATGTCGTGCTATAAACTTGATTTTTGATAGTACCCCATATAAAGTAATCTAAAACCGACAAATCAGGTGATCTAGGTGGCCACAAGAAAGGTCCATTATTAGCAATCCATTGGCCATTAAATATATTTTCGAGGAAATTGCTAACTAAATAGCCGTTGTGCGGAGGCGCTCCATCGTGTTGGTAAAAAATTTGTGTTAATTCAACCAGAGGTAAATTTTCTAAATAATTAGTATCAAAATTTCGTAAAATGTTTAAATATCTTTCGCCTAGAAAAAAATTAATTGCAGCAATTAAAATTAATTGTAAATTATTCGTTATACCAATTATTTCTTAATTATTTACCATTTAGATTTTCCTCATAAAAATGCAACGCTACTACTCTATCGTTTCTTATAGCGCAGTAGACATTGAATTGCCAGCTTCCTTGAAAATTACTCGTCGTAAATTTGTGAGGATTAGAATCACTCCAATAATGCGAATTATGTCTATTAAACAAACCATTTTTGGTAAATTTTGCCTCGTCAGACCAAATAATATTGTCCAAAAATTGATTATTTCCATAGTGTTCAGTTAAAATAAATTCACAAAAATTCACTCTTCTTGCGAAGTCAGTATCTCTTAAATGTTGCACTATGGAAATTGAATACGGATGATACTTATGTTTTTTCAAAATTCTGTGGATTGAGCTTTTGGAAAGTCCAGATTCTTTTGAAACTTGTCTGAGAGATATTGTCGGATATGCATTGAAATATCCTAAAACAGCGATTTCCACATTTTCATTATCTACAATAGGCTTCTTTTTGAGAACTTTTCCTTTTACGGAACCATGTGTCTTGAAGTTATAAATTATTTGTTTCAAGGTATTCGGGGATGGTTTCCGTTTTTGCGGATATCGAGCAGCAAATGTATCGCATGTTCTTGTTAAAACTTTGTTACATTCTCCATAGATAATAAATAGATTTAGATAATCTTCATTAGTATAATTTAAACGTGCGGGCATAGTGAATTTTATAAATGATATAATGACATTTGTGTTACCTTCATTTGTTTCTCGGTAGTCATGGCCGTCTTTGACACAAAATTGTTTTGAATAATCTTAAACTATTTAAAACGAAAATTACAAAGAAACGGCGATAGTTAGATATAGGGAACCTTACATAAAGTTACCTTTATTTTTAATGTAGATTCAGATACAATTAAAAAAATATATGGTTTCCATTAAATTTTTTTGAGTTTTTCGCTTTTTCTTATATAAATATTTGGCAGCTTTTTTTGAACACCCTGTATGTAGTAGGACAACATATGAGCTACCAAAAGTTAAGCTATAGTCTCTTCTTCAAATTCCTTTAATCAGATATAACAAATACTTAACAGTG